GTTTATAATTTATTCTGTTTAATTATTCGAATATTACTTTCCCAATTAAATAATTTTTTAAAATTTATTTTTCTATTATTTAAATAATTGAACATAATAGTATTTAATTTCCAAAAATAAAAATCGAATTTATCTGCTGTATTATTTTCATTTTATGGAAATATTTAATTTGGATAAATCGAATAAATCCCATTTATATTTCTGAAGTTTATAATTTATTCTGTTTAATTATTCGAATATTACTTTCCCAATTAAATAATTTTTTAAAATTTATTTTTATATTATTTAAATAATTGAACATAATAGTATTTAATTTCCAAAAATAAAAATCGAATTTTTCTCTGTATTATTTTTATTTAAGGGGGATATTATACACAAATAAAGCACATAAATCCCATTTATATTTCTGAAGTTTATAATTTATTATGCTTAATATATACTTACCTATATAAGAATAAATACTTACCTATATAAGAATTTGTATTTTGAAAATATACAACTTCGAGGTGGTTTTTCTCCATTTAATTTATGTGTAAGAATAAAAATTGAAATAGATTCTGATAGAGCAGAGTCTAATCTCAGAAGAAAAATTTTTTTGGTAAATTGTCCATAAATCTTGTTGTTTAGTTAATTCACATATTTTAAAAAATCTAGAAGATTTAACATCTATATGTATTAATGACAGAAAAATCAAAAATTTTAGGTGCGCGTATACTTATGTAACACAGTGTATACTTGATATCGAATAAAAAATCTTACATTTTATTTGGTTTTATACCGACATTATAATCCATTAAGTTTCGTATCCCTAGGATCTTCTAGAAATTTCTTTAAAAATGTTGTCAAAAGTTTACGTTATTTGATAATTTGTAAAATGTTTTTAAAGACTTTATCATTAGAGCGTGTCAAAACATGCAAATGCATATTTTGCATGCGGATATGCCATGAGCTGAAACGCTCAAAAATTTTGTTTTTACATAGGTTTGAGCATTTTAGGACCCTGTTCTTAATGCATATTTTTGCATATTTAGGTACTTCCGTGCATATTTGCATATTTGTGAATATTTTTGCAAATTTTACATATTTTTACAAAAAATGTGCATATTTTGGCATTTTTTGAAAAATTTGTATTTTAAAAATTATTTTTAGCAAAATATAAAATTTTTTCAAAAATTTTCTTTTGAAAAAAATTTTTGAGAAAAATTTATTCAAATTATTTTTAGAAACAAAATAATAACTAAAAAATGATTAAATTTGTAATTAATTGTCAAACATTTTATTGCTTGTATTCACATTTTTTTGTGTAAAGCTAATCAATTTTGAGTGTAAGTATATCCATTCCATATTTTTAAAAATTTTGTATATTTCAGTGCATATTTTGGGCTTTTCCGTACATATTTTGACACGCTCAATTTATCATTATTTTTTCTCTTCATTTCCAAGTGAAAAAATTTATAATAAATATATCAGTAAGTAGGAAAAGTGGGCGAGCACGCAAAAAATGCAAGGAGGGAAGAAAAATGAAAATGCAAGAAGTGCGCATTCACGTTGCGGACAGGTGGATAGCGAACTGGACATTTACCACATTTAACGGACATTTACCACATTTAACTGGACATTTACCACACCACTTGAAAGTTTTGCTTTATGTTTTTCTAAACAAGGGCTTGGATCGGATGAATAGGCAGCTGCTGCAAAATATAGAGAAGGAAGGTATAATTTACTGTCCAATTGTTTTTGGGGGAATCGGAGGGAGAATAAAAATCCAAATCAGAATAGTGAATGTCGGATATTTTGTTAGACAACACCAATTGGGGTAAAAATAATAAAAGAACATCCTAAAATGTTTTAAAAATTTTTATAATATTTTATGAAAATTTTTTTTATAAAATTTTAAAGATATTTTTATAAAATATTTATAAATTTTATAAAATTTTTTATGAAATTTTATAAATTATATTTTTATAAATTATTTTTATTTTTTTTTTATATAATTATTTTTATAAATTTTATAAAATTTTTTATAAAATTTTATAAATTATATTTTTATAAATTATTTTTATTTTTTTTTTGTATAATTATTTTTATAAATTTTATAAAATTTTTTATAAAATTTTAAAGATTAAGAATTTTAAATATAAAGATTAACATTTTTCTAGTTTTATGAAAATATTATATAAAAACAGGATAAAGATTAACATTTTTCTAGTTTTATGAAAATATTAAAATTAATTTTTATTTAATTTATAACTTAATTGAAAAAATAAAAAGCAGTCTTCAACCAAAGAGATTCGACCAAAGAGATGGCCAATGGTCACCAAATCATAGATTTAGCCACTGCACCACCAACTAATCTCATTATACTTTAAAATACGAGCTAAACAGGATAAAGATTAACATTTTTCTAGTTTGTTTCTGTCATAAGCATGATAAAATGAGAAAGCATGAGAAAATGAGAAAGCGTATGATAAAAATGAGAAAGCGAAATTTAATTATAGAAAATAGATGTGAAAAGTGAATGAAGTAAAAATTTACATTATAATTAAACCTTTAATTGAGGAACTTTTCGCATAACAAAAATATTAAAGTTTAATTGACTTTCATTTAATTTTCCTATAAACTTGAGCAATTGAAACGAAATGAAAAGAAAAAATAAACATACAACAATACAAAACTTAAACAAAAAAATAGTAATATTAGACGCAGACAGACCTCACTATAAGATAACATTGTTTTTATGGTTCCGTGCTTTTGCGCCGAGAACATTTGCGCCGCGACTCTTGCGCCGCGACTTATGCGCCGAGCGACTTTTGCGCCGGACGACTTTTGCGCCGCCATTATCATTAAAAATATATAAATAACTTCAGCCGGACCTCACTATAGTAGGGTTTTCGGATAGTTTGAAATCTTCGGATATGGGGCTGAATATCATGCCGGAATAGGGTTAGCAGATCCAAATATCATGATCCGAAAAAGTCAGAACATCAGAAATCCTTTGGGATATCGGATAGGGGGATTTCCAATGCCCAGACCTAATTCACATTTATGGTCCAGACCAGACCTGGGCGAAACTCCAAAATTTTTTTCGGACGAAACGAAACGAAACAAATTTTTAAAAATCGTTTCGTTAACAAAACGAAACGAAACAGTCAAAATTTAACGAAACGAAACGAAACAAAACGAAACATTTTAATTTCGAAAAAAATCTCAAAAACTGGATTATTTTATTAACTACACAATTTTAAGCATGTTAATTGGCCAATAATAACATATAAGTGATTGTAAAATTATGTAGACCATAAATTGTGGTCCCATTAGCCAATTTTTCTCTTAATCTTACCTAAATCTAGAGTTCAGCGGTATCAAGATTTATAGAAAAGCCGGGATCGGGATTTTGGGATGGGTATACCGATCCCGACACGGGATCAGTATCCGACACGGGTCGGGATCCGACACGGGATCGGGGACTTTTGGATTATTGAGCCCAGGTCATTCCCTCCAAAATATACAAAAAGATTAATCTGCGGATACTCCCAGTACGGGCTCTAAAGATAATTAAAAAGGGGGTCAGCTCTGTACCCCTCATTAGCTCCGTTAATCCCACAGATCGACTGATTAAACTTGTAAAGAGATAAAAGCAAAAAATGGTGTTGATCAAAAGTTTGTAAGACTTCAGGGTCAATAGGTCATCAGAGTGTAGGTTTACAAGGGGAGTCCTTTCTCATCGCTGCAGGCAAAAATTTTGAGAATTTTGAAGGCCAAGAAGCCAGATTTGTTCTTTTTTAGCGCCGCAGGCGAAAATTTTGAGAATTTTGAAAGCCAAGAAGCCAGATTTGTTCTTTTTTCAGCGCCACAGGCGAAAATTTTTTTAATTTTTATCACCAAAGGGGAAATTTTTTTAGTTTTGGATAATATTTTGGCTTAAAAAATAGATAATGTTTCGTTAACGAAACACAGGTGTTTCGTTAACAAAACGAAACGAAACAAATTAAAAAGTGTTTCGTCACGAAACGAGACGAAACAGGAAAAAACAACGAAACTAACGAAACGAAACGTTTCGCCCACGTTTGGTCCAGACCTAATTCATTAGCTACAGGACCCCTATTGTACTAACTGAACTTCCTTCAGTTCATGGATACCATTTTTTAACCTCAATACACACTAAAGTGAGGTCCGATAGTATTCATGATTTTATTTTTTTAAAATTATGGCGGCGCAAATGTCGCGGCGCACAAGTCGCCCGGCGCATAAGTCGCGGCGCAAATGTTCTCGGCGCAAAAGTCGTGATACCGTTTTTATAACATCTCAAGTTAAGATAAGATTTTTAAAAATTTGTTTGACCACTGGATGTAAAGAGGGCTACCAAGCGAAACCCTCCTATTTAAGACACGCTCACACTAGATAAAATTTTTCAGCCCATGGGTGTTGCATCTAACAATTGAGGTCAATTCATTATTTTATTTTTTTAAAATTATGGCGGCGCAAAACAAGTGAGGTCAATCCAAAGGTAGATAAACGGCTACCCGACACTTGAGGATATGACTTTTGAGGACCAGACACTTGAGGACCGACTTTTGAGGACGCGACCTTTGAGGACGCGACCATTGAGGACGCGACTTTTGAGTATGCGACTTTTGAGGATCAGACATTTGAGGATACTCTAATGTAAAAAAAATTAAAAAAATAAATAATTTTAATTTTATGTTAAAAAATTTAAATTTTATAATTTTATGGCTTGCTCAAGGCCTAACGAGTAAATAGTGCTCATTATTAAATATAATCATTTAAGTTTTCGAAGTAGTCCGTGTCCGTCCGTGTTTTGTCTGACAACAGAAAAACAAAACACGAAAAAGTAATAATTTTTTGCTTTTAATTATTTCTCTATCATTCATTTAAATATGCCACAGAAATTCATTGGAAGTGAACGAGGGAAAAAGTCTGACCATTATGTACAAATTAATGGAAAATATGGAAATTTCTCACATGGCCTTCAGAAATTCTCAAAATTTTCGTCTGTGGTGCAAGTAAAAGAGATCTGCCCCATAGCCTTTTAAAAATCTCAAAATTTTCGCCTGCGGCGCTGAAAAAAGAAGAAATCTGTTGCTTGTTATTCCAAAATTATAAATACTTCTTAAAGCCCCGGTCCACCTCATATCCCTCTTATTCTTCCAAAGCTTTCTTAATCCTATATCCTTCCAGACATCGAGGTATTCTTCCGATATCCATTCTTCAGACCCACTTTTATCACACGATATCAAACCTCTTATATCCAACATATTCTCATATAAACCACCGCTAATCCTTAATAACCCTTAACCCTCGCTAAATTTTCGATTCGGTCCCGGATATCCGAAAATTATCGGTTCGTTTCATCAGTTCGGTTTCTGATATCCGAAGATTTCTAGGAACCGACAACCCTATTCATTTTATCAAAATTTTCAAAATTTCAACTACTTCGAAAACTTAAATGATTATATTTAATAATGATAACTATTTACTCGTTAGGCCTTGAGCAAGCCATAAAATTATAAAATTTAAATTTTTTAACATAAAATTAAAATTATTTATTTTTTTAATTTTTTTTTACATTAGAGTATCCTCAAATGTCTGATCCTCAAAAGTCGCATCCTCAAAAGTCGCGTCCTCAATGGTCGCGTCCTCAAAAGTCGCGTCCTCAAAGGTCGCGTCCTCAAAAGTCGATCCTCAAGTGTCTGGTACTCAAAAGTCAAATCCCCATGTGTCGCGCCACGAGATAAACATATTCTATTAATTTGTTGTTCTTTATAAAGACTAATTTTAGAGAAAAATTTTAATAGGCACAAATCATCATTAAAAAGAAATTTTTTTATTAAAAAATTATCCATCAATTATAATTCCCGCCGCAATTGTTTCACCATTAGAGCGAAGAGCCAACCGCCCCAATTGTTTATTTTTGTTAAAAGATTCAACAGAAATGGCTTGTTCAGTTTTAATTTCGACTATAGCAGATACATTACGAGGCAAAAGTCTGTTGGAAAAAAATATTAATTGAAGGGTTTCAAATGGAAAAAGATTTTGGAGAGATATTCATAAGGCCAAAAATATCAAAAAATAAATAAAATTTCACTAGTAATTGAAGAGTTAACTAATTAAAATTTTTCCCCAAAAAATATATTTTTTATTAATCCCAAAAACAAAAAATATTTTCTACCTCGGATTTTTCTTTTCCAATTCTTTAGATCCAGGATGTATTGAATTTAATTTGCTAATTACACAAGGAACACGTAAAGAATGAACAAAAAGTTCTGCATGCGCCCCTCTCAAAAATAGGCATTCGAATATCAAAAGTAACTAAACGAGCAAGAAAACGTTGGCAAGGATGTAAAAGTTCCTTTGAAAGAAAATTTTCAATTATTTTTATAAAATATTTTTAAATTTTTAAAAATATAAAAACTCTATTATTGTTTATATATTAGGACCCTACTAATCAGATACCTTCTTGGAGTTAAAAATTGTATTTTATAATAAAATATTTTATCTAGGAGATATCGCCTATTTGTCAGACGCTTCCACCCAAATCCGATGCCCAACTAAATTTAATATCAAATATTTAGCATGACTTATTTTGAAGTCCTCCTCTACAAAAAACATTTCCAGGATAAACAGAATCGGGTTCAAAATTTCCACTTAATGTAAGTGTTATTTGATCTCCCGCAAAACAAATCTTAAAAAAATAATTTATATTGTTTTAGGTACTTTTTCGTTATCTTCCCCCATTTGCCTTTCCTTTACCTAACATATTCCTTTCTCCAACTAGTATTTAAATTAAATAAGTGACATGGAATATTCGGAACAAAAAATGGAAGGAGAGAAGAAAATTGGGGGAGTAGGGGGAAGATAACAGAAAAGTAATATTGTTTTAAATAAACCTGTTGATCTGTTGGCGGTGAAATATTTTTTGATGATTGGGAAGTAGACGAAGAAGTTTCATCAATTGATAAGGCTAAAATTAAATAAAAAAAAAAACTCTTTTTTTTAATTCTTTAATTGAAATTAAAGATGTAATAAGGAAATTTAATTAAGGAGAAGTCAACAGAAAAACTTACAATTAGTAATATTTGTTGTCTACCTCTATTTTATTTTCCTCGCTATTTTACGAAAAATAATTATCAAAAAAATCCTATATTTATTTTAAAAGAAAAATAGTGCCAATTAACGTAAAAAAATTTTTAAAGACGAAGGCAATAAGTAAAAATATTTTAAGAAAATGTTTTTATTTTTTTTTCCTAATTCTGAAGGCTCACTGACCGCACTTATAAACGCCTAACAAAGAACAAACCCCCCAGCCCACAAACCTTTAACAACAACAGCAATCGCTTCAGGCATCAAAAACAATTTATCACCCGTCTCTACATGCCCTCCCTCAACTTTAGCACTAACACAAAGTATTGTAGGAGAAGTACGGAGAATATCATTAACAACAATTCTAAGGGGTTGTTCGGCTGTAGAAGTTGATGTAATTGGTAAAGAATCTAAATTCAATGTAAATTAGAATAAAAATTTCTAAAAATAGGAAAAAGTTCTAAAAGGTTAATAATTAGGGAGTGGCAAAACATGCAAATGCATATTTTGCATGCGGATATGCCATGAGCTGAAACGCTCAAAAATGGTGTTTTTAGGTCGGTACGAACATTAGGGACCGAGTTCCTATAGCATATTTTTGCATATTTCAGTACTTTTGTGCATATTTGCATATCGGGGCATATTTTGGGAAATTTTGCATATTTTTACCTAAATTTGTGCATATTTTGGCATTTTTTTTTAGAAATTTTAGTAAAAATCGGGCAAAATTTTCAAAATTTTGGAATTTTTTGGCAAAAAATTTTTCGATAAAAATTTGTCGAAAAAATTTTTTCGACAAATTTTTTGGAAAAATTTCTTTCAAAAAAAATTTTTTTTGGTTGAGTTTTAAGTTAATAAAATCTTAAGAAGTGCTCTTAAACTGCAATTATAATGCTAAATTTGTATTTTTTACTTGAAATATTGAATTTTAAAGCACATTTTCATTATTTTCGCTGCATATTTAGTGCATATTTCGGCAAATTTGGCATATTTTGGTGCATATTTTAGGCTTTTTCGGTGCATATATATGCGCATATTTTGGGATTTTCGCTGCATATTTTGCCACTCCCTATTAATAATCATAAAAATGAGCTGTAAAAAAAGAATAATGAAATCAAAAAAAATAGGAAGTTTTAAGAAAGAATTTTTTAATAAGCGGAATAAATCAAAAATCCTATGGATATAAGAAATTACGGTAATAGTTTGGAATTCGCCCCCCCTTTTTCCCTTTCTATTTTTTCCTAGTTTTTTCTCATTTTATGGCAAATTATATACCATTCGAAAGAGCTCTTCGATCCGAGTCGAATGACATTAAAATTAACGAAAACGGACTTAAGTGAACAAAGTTATGACCGCTTATTTTATCCACATGGATTGCCACAAAAAGTCTTCCCAATAAGGATTTAGCTTCATAATTTTGGTAAGAATGATCAGATTTAGACAATCAAGGTATCATTCGACTAAGTTCGAAGAGCTCTTTCGAATGATATATGATAAATTATGTATCAAACAAAAAAGCTCAAAATGGTCAGGGAAACGTTGAAAAAAGGGGGGCGAATTCCAAACTATTACCGAAATTACTCAAAAACAATGTCAGCGGATGAGTTTTTTGGGTACTCCTTTGGGTTTATATTTTTTAAATACGGAGCCAAAATGGGCATTTTCGAAAATTTCCCCATGTAAGACAAGAGAAAATGAGGCAAATTAATATCCTAAAGTTCAGTTCTTAATTCTTTTGTGGAAAAGATTTAACAAAAAAACCTTAGCAACAGTAGTATCAACATCCCCAACAGCAGCTCTTTGTGTTCTAACAGAAAATGCATTCATTCTTGCAGATTCGTTATAATCATGTAGAAGAGTACTTTAAAAATAATTTTTAATTTTTAAAAATAATTTTCAAAAAAAAACCTAGAAGGATTATCATCAACTAATTCTCTGACAGAATCAGATACATGTCCAATTTTTATTATATCTTCCAATTCTTTATCAAAAATTTGTGGTTCTGGTAAAATGAGTTTGCTTCGCTTCTTTTCATGTTTTTCGCTAACCTATGGGGGTTTTCCTTCTCTATTTGAATTTGAAAATAAAATTGTAATTTGTGAAGATGAATAAAAAGCAAAAATTGAAATATAAAAGTAATCAGAACATAACCGATATCAAAAAATACTTTTAAAGCAATCAAAATTTATTTTTTAAAAAAAAAGTGATCTCTAACAGAATCAGATACATGTCCAATTTTTATTATATCTTCCAATTCTTTATCAGAAATTTGTGGCTCTGATAAAATAAGTTTACTTCGCTTCTTTTCATATTTCTCGCCAAATATTGATTCTGGCAAGTCTTCGTTTCTAAAAAAAGCAAAATATTAATTTTAGGCTAAAAATTTTAGAAAAATATATTAAAACCGAATGACCCTATTTTCTTCTGCCTCACTGGACGTAAAAGCAAAACTAAGGAGACATTTTATCCCAAAAGGAAAATTGGGAAAAAAATTAAAAAAAAATTTGCAATAATTATCCTTAAGATTTAAATATAAAATAACAAACTTTCTTTTCTTCAGCTTGTCCTTATCAGCCTTTCTGTCATCCCTTTCCTGCTAATCTCCTTCTCTATTTGAATTTGAAAATAAAATTGTAATTTGTGAAGATATATAAAAAGCAAAAATTGAAATATAAAAGTAATCAGAACATAACCGATATCAAAAAATACTTTTAAAGCAATCAAAATTTATTTTTTAAAAAAAAAGTGATGATTTTTTAAAAATCAAAAAGAAAAGTGAAGATTTTTTAAAAATCAAAAAAATTCAATTTAAACACTTTTGTACTTTACAACATTATCCTCCTTGATGACGAAAGCAGGCTTCTTTTCTTTCAATTTGGATTTTGCCTCCAATTTCTATAAAAAGATATTATATATAATTGATTTTAAAGAAAATAAGAATTTAAAACTTTTTTTTTGATACCATTCGGGTAAGCAGTGATTCTTAGTAATATTTGTAATATTAAAAAAATACTTTGATCTCGAACAAAACATCCTCCATAACCACCATCATATTCATTGTTGAGTTCCCAGCATCTCCATGACATGTAACAGCTCCAAGATTTAAACCGACTAATCCATCAGCGCTCCAAACACCTGCACCATCATCACAACTTGATGGAGAAATGGTACCGATTAAGAAAGGTCCTACATCATCTGATCCAACTAAATTTTGAATTAAAACTATAATTTTGTAGTATATTTTAAATTGCTCGACCTTTAAAAGTTTCCATTTCGTCAGAAAAAATTTTTCCTTTTTTGGTTGAAAGGTGTTCAAAATCGCTTTGAAATCCAATTAAACATATTTCAGAACCAGTAGAATGCACATAGTCGATTGGTGGCCCTTCTTCAATACATTTATTTTCAGATTTTAACAATACAAAATCGTATTTTTTTGAGATAAATTCAATTGTTGTTTCATATTTGTAATTATCGTTATAAACTAGGAGCTGTTCACCAATTTTAAAAGTATTATGTCGTCCGTGGGAAAAAGTAGTCAAATAGTTAGGTGTCACCGCCAATACACAAGACTTTGTCATTGGTATGTGGAATAAATATTTTGTTATTTTATCAGAGGTTGGTAAAACTTAAAAAATTTTCATTGTTAAAAATTTTAAGGTTCGGAGGAGTGATACTCAGGGTCCCTTTACCCTTATTTACACCTTTTTTGACCTTTTCACCAGTTTTTCCTGATTTTACACATTTGCCATATTTTTCCCTATTTTTAATTTGTTGTAATATTTTTAAGAGGATTTTTGGCTTCTTGGCCTTCAAAATTTTAAAAAATTTCGACTGCGCCGCTGAAAAAATACCGGCTTATTAGTGGTTGGCGTAAGACAAGGAATTTGGTAATTCTTGCGTTCGTACCCCCCCCCCCCTTTTTTCCTTTCTCAAAGTATTAAAAAATGCTCAGTCAGTGTTATGTCATAGAACTCGTCGAGCTGTGTCGAATGACACTAAAATTAACCACCGGTCTTAACTTTAGGCCGAGATACAGATCCCCGAAGATTGAAAAATAAAGGGTGGACCAAGCTCATTTTTTGGGCTAAAAATTCGATTAATCAAATAATAGCTCATTCGAAAGGGCTTGTCGAGCTGATTCGAATGACATCGAAATAAACGTAATTGAACAAGATTTGACGAAGTTATGACATAAAGTAATCCTATTGTAGTCGGTGTGACGCTTTTGCTAAACCATCGCTTTACGCAGGTCTTTTGACTGTATCTCGGCCCAAAGTTAAGACCGGGGGTTAATTTTGGTGTCATTCGCCACAGCTCGACGAGTTCTATAACATAAGACTGACTGACCATTTTTCAATACTTTGAGGAAGAAAAAAGAAGAATTACCAAGAACTTTCGGTTCTGAATTCGGATATCATACTTATAGGTTCGACTACTGCTTAAATTTCTGAGGTTACTTTTGTCAGTTTTGAAATTCTTTTCAATCTTAATAATTTTTTAGTTTAGGACTTGAACATTTTTTTATTTAGAAACAGCCTAATCGGATTTGTTCATTGAGTTAAAGCTAGTTAAAAATATGCTTAATTAATTTCAATTTTTAGAATGCCATATTTTTGACCGATTTCGCCCTATTTTACTTTTGAGTGAACGCGCTTTATTTTTGTGCTTTGGAAAGGGTCATCCTGGAGATGCTAAAAACACTAACCACGAAGTTGCTTGTTCTTGTCCAAACCTATAATAGCAATAATTTAGAAAGTTAATAAATGAAAAATAAAAAACTAACCATCAGAACGATAAACAACTTCAAATTTCTTGTTGGCCCAGCCACCTAGTGGCTCAATAAAGCATTGACTAAACTCATCAAAACTAAAAAGAAATGGAATTTCAAAAAAAAAGAAAACCCAAACTAAACTTTCCGTACTTGGCTCAAAAATGGACAATTTATGTCAATCATAAAAGCTCACCGAGCTGAGTCGAATGACACTAAAAGTCCGCGGACACATATATGGGCCGAGATAAAGGGCCAATAGAATATTCGCTGGAAAATTCAAATTTTTACCCCAAAATGAGCTTACACCCCCTACGGATTTTCAATATTTAGGGGTCTGTATTTCGGCCCATAGTGTCGTCCCAACCGAAATTCTGGTATCGAAATTCTATACCAAGTACGGAAAGTAGTTTAGCCAAAAAGAAACATACAAAACAAAAATAGTAGACGGTTCATCATTATTTAAAGAAGCATTTTCATTCAAATATTTCAACCCGCACGCATCAGCTGAGAATAAACCTTGTAAAACTTCTAATTGCAACGTCCCTGCTAATGTAAGTCCCACTGTAAAAGTACAATTTGAACCGGACACTTCAATAAACTAAAAAAAGGAGTTGCAATTATTGAAATATAATCATTATTTAAAAGATAACCTGTCGCGACATTTTTAAAATTGAAACTAATTTCTAAAAATAAATCTAAAAATTATTTTATGTAAAAATTAGTAAGGTAGGAAATGTATAATTTAACGTTTTAATGATAAATTTAAAAAGTATAAAGATTTTAATTTAAATAAAAAAAAATGAATAAAATACTAGATATTAAAGTCATTATTAACCCTAACTTTTTCATTTAATTGTACAAAATATAACTTTAAAGGAACTTATATGGGTTAGGTAACCTTTTTTAGCCACGCCCTTTTTTTCCTTTTCCATCCTTTTTCTTTAACTTCTCCTTCTTGCCCACCAATCAATTCAACTGAAGATGAAGAAAAAGGTCAGTGAAGAAATAGATTAAATCATCGAAAGATACCTAAACCATATAAATTCATTTTAAAATTGGTTAAAAATAACATTCCATGCCTGCAAAACAAAAAATAAACATAAATCAAAAATTAAATATACGACTTGAGTTTAAAAAACCAATTTAGCATTTTCAATCAGCAAAAATATTCAGTCGTCCTGAATTAGTAAAATTATCAGGCAATAATTTGAATAAGCACCTCTATTACAAACAAAACATTGCTGAAAGTTGACAGAGGTCGTATTTACTTCTTAAAAAATAAAATTTTTATACACTTTTAAATTTTCTTAACTTAAAAAAACATTTATGGTAAAAAAGGGGAGGGAATCGACAGGCCAAATTCTTTAAAAATAAGCGTTTGGCGCGTCATGTAAAAACTCGTTAAAGCAGCGAATTTAGATTTTTGAACTAATCACGTATCACAAAAAAGCAAGTTTAAGAAAAAGGTACAGTGATCACAAACAACAATCATATATCTCATTATATGACTCAAAGAACCACTTTTTCGCTTAGCTTTTAAATTCAAACCTGATAAATTACATCCATTTATTTCAGAATCAATACAATTTTTACAAAAAATGTGACCACAAGAACTCATCCAAAACGATAAATTGTTCTTTGACGGTTGCACCAAACATTTATTACCTTAAAAATAAATCTAATTAGAAGAATGAATGTAACAATAACAATGAACCCAATTTTGCATACTCTGTGCATATTGGAAAATAATTGAAATAAATTTTTAAAAGCTGAAATTGAAAGTGAAAATAAGACAAGTCAATCGAAAAAAATTTATTGAAAGGTTATTTATACTGCTCTTTTAATCAAAGGATAAAATCTTGCCTTATTTGAGTAATTCAAACAAATCAGTAAACAACGAAAGACTCGTCTTTGTAATGTTTTTTGAATGCATTCTCAGCAGCCAAACAAAGCGTCGTTATCTCGCTAGGGTGATAAACAATCTGAAAAAGAACACTTCGATTTGTTGTTGTTGATTCTCGATATAAATGTTTAGGTAAATCAGAAAGGATTATTTGAATACTTTCCAATAATTCCAATTGATTTTTTGGTTCAAATCTTAATTTTTTGGAGATTAAAATAAAAATTTATAAAATAATTCAAGACATAGAAATCTGGCGTTTAGGATTTTAAGTTATTTAACGATTGGTCACTAAAGTAAAAGCAGAATCCCAACGAGACGAGGACTTAAAACGTGAAAAAAAATAGGATTGCAGAACAAAAGAGCTCAAAACAAATTGAAATAAATCAGAGGAGATAAGTGGGGAGAAAAAATATAAAAATACAACAGAGGGGTCTTAAAGATATAAATATTTTTTTAAAATTAAACCTGCTTTTAATTACTTTTCCATCCAATCCAACACTATTAAGTATTCCTTTATGTTCATCTAGCCAATGAAATTGCGTAATAGCCCTTGAGTGCAAGCCTGCTGTTGGACCGCCGCCATTCCATAAAACTTTGCCCACATTTCCCTCAAATGTTGAAAGCAATAAAAGTCACCGTTGTAAAGGCCAACAATTAATATCTAAAAAATAAAAGTTGGTACTTTCCCCCTATCTTAATCTTTTTTCCTCCTTTTTCCAAAAAATATTTTTATATTTGCTTAAACTTAAGTTACAGATCTTGACTATTTGGGTACTTAATCTTCAAACAAATCAACAAACAATCAACTCCAGAGAGCGTAGACCGCGATCTACATAGTGTAAAAAAACAATCAGAAGATCACTAGATTCAATAAAAAATGCTAACCTTCAAGAAACAGATAAGCCTTATCGCCAGGCAACCCCAACACATTGAATATTCGCAAAAGTTGACGCCAATTACCGTGGATGTCGCCAATTATGTATAGCGGTAAACGTTTGATTTTTACAACACAAAACTCGTCTTTGTAATGTTTTTTGGATGTATTCTCAGCAGCCAAACAAAGTGTTGTTATCTCGCTAGGATGATAAACAATCTGCAAAAATAGATTTTAAAAAAAAATAGAGAAAGAAGTCCCAAACCGTTTCTTTGTATAACACAAATGCTTCTCAAAAAACTTTTCAACGATGAAAGTCGGCTGCTCGCGCTCATAGTACTGTTGCTAGTCACAGTTGGTTAGATTTGACTGAAATTAGATTTGACTAAATTCTGATTTATTATTTATATATTTTTAATCCTCATACATCATTCTTATTCTTAACACAGTCAGTCCTGCATCGACTTCTTTATTTCTTCCTCTGTTGGCATCTTAAAAAGAGAAAAAATTGAAATGATGTTAAGATTTAAAAATGTAAAAGGCAAGCGCTTATAAATTCTAGGAAGTCCCCGCCTCCTTTCCTTTTTAAAGGAAAAGAGTCCGCCTCCTTTCCTTTTTAAAGGTCTCCCTCCAAATCCACCAGTATCCCCTTATACTGCCAAATCCGTCATTAACTCCTTTAATCCCTACGAACATAAACTGTGTTGATCAAAATGTGTAGGTCTTCAGGGGTGGACTCAGTTCACTAAACCCAACTAAAATGCTCACCCCCAAGAAACAGATAAGCCTTATCGCCAGGCAACCCCAACACATTGAATATTCGCAAAAGTTGACGCCAATTACCGTGGATGTCACCAATTATGTATAGTGGTAAACGTTTGATTTTTACAACACAAAACTCGTCTTTGTAATGTTTTTTGAATGTATTCTCAGCTGCCAAACAAAGTGTTGTTATCTCGCTAGGATGATAAACAATCTGAAAAAAGAGATTTTTGGAATGATAAGAGAAAGAAGTCCCAAACCCGTTTCTTTGTATAACACAAATGCTTCTCCAAAAACTTCTCAAAGATGAAAGTCGGCTGCCTTGCGCTGATAGCACTGTTGGTACTCACAGTTGGACCTATACTTTTACGAGCAGCAGCACCCCGACCAGAAATTGAACGAGCCGTTCTTGCAGTGCTATCATTAGCGGTACTTGTCGATTTGATCCTTGAAATCCTCAAAATGCAACAAACCCATCTGAATAATTTCAACTGACGCGTGCCGCCATTAATGACAAGAGTTAAATATATGTATATTTCTGTCTCACCCTCCTCTCTCTACACATTCTTTTTACTTAGTAATGGAATTACAAAACAGGACACTCCAGTCCCGCTATTTTAGTCCCTCAACTCATTTGAAGCTTTTTCAATTCTTGACCCCCCCCCCATTAAAGTTGCATGAGTCATCCAAAAAAATCTGAAATTGACTGCCACATTTGACTATCCAATTTTAATTCAATATCCTCAGTTTCAGCCATTTTAGTTGCATCAATATCAATCATTTTCTTGTCTAATTCCATTGCTTCTTTTGAATAAATTTGTTTTGGAGGAGGTTCTTTTTATTTCGGATTTTATTAGATCATCCGCCTGGAAAAATATAAAAATAAAGTTAACCCTCATTTTTAAGTATACCCCTTTAGGGCTGCAATAAATTACCCTATGAGGTTATCCTAAATAAAGGGTACCGCTTAGACAATTGCAATTTAAAAATAAATCTTAAATACATCAACAACCAGACGTCCAGTCTGGTTTAAAAATTGAAATCTGGTAATTTTGTTGACCAGATTCTGGCCAATATTTAAGTTTGAAGAGGTAATTGTCGTTGAAAGGCCTCAAGTTCTTTTGCGGAAAAAATTTAAACAAAAAAACCTTAGCAACAGTAGTATCAACATTCCCAACAGCAGCCATTTGTGTTCTAACAGAAAATGCATTCATTCTTGCAGATTAGTTATATCATGTAGAAAAGAACTTTAAAAATATTTTTTTTTAAATAATTTTCATAAAGAACACCTAGAAAAATTATCATCAACTAATTCTCAACATCGTTTTCTGTGCCTTATCAAATTTATCCTCGCTTGGATCATGAAATCCTGCTGGGACTTGTTTTTCAAAAGGTATTTCATTATTATAATCCATTAGACGGTGCTTCTTCATTTTATAAGCCCAACCAGATCCAATAATTATTCCAGCAGTCCGAAGTTCTCTTCGTTTTTGTAAAGAAGCAAGTCTTCGAGCCTCGCCTAATTGCTTTTCACGAGCTCTGCGTTTTGCTCTCTTTCCTTTGAGTTGGCTAGACTAGCTCGGGCTTCTGATAACACTTCCAATTCTGAAAAATTAAATGAAAGTTGGTGTTAAAATTAGAGAAAATTTCGGCGGGCATCAAAAACGATTTTCTGGCATAAACAAGAAGCATTAAGATATTGTGGATTTAACAATCAAATTAGTGCAACAAAATTAACTGGATCGTTAAAAATATTTTTATAACTAAATTAGTACGGGTTAACCAGATAAAACAGTTTCAAAAAGTTTCCAAAGTCAATCTGAGCTTGATAAGACCTCTAACATTTATCTAATTTTCATTGTTTTTGAATAGTCAAATATTAAAACTGACCCAGAATTTATTTAATTTATTAAATTAATTTAAAAAATAAAAAAAAACGTTTAGAGAACTAAGGACAGGCCAAGAATACCGACCGAGTTTAATCGATAGAAAACCCCTTAATCGAGAATTTAATCAGTCCAATTTTTATAATTAACCTAATTAGAACCAGATAAACTCACCTAAAATCCCCTCATAATTTTTATTAAAAAATAATATTTTTAAACCTTATGTAAATCTGTTCCACCTGCCCCACGCTTTTTATATTCAATATTTAATTTTGATGGAAGAGGTAATTGTCGTTGAAAGGCTTTTGTTCGTTTTTCCAATTCAAGTGCTTTCTTCTTTTCGGCTATTGCTTGACGACGCTTTTCAAGTTTAGCGGCATCCTCAATCCATTCCTAAGAAAAAAATTTTTAGTATAAAAAATTTTAAGGAATTAACAATCCTATAAGGTATAGAAAATTATAAATAAAATCAGCAAATAAATACATAAATAGGCAGTATTTTTAGGACTCAAAAACTATCCAGAATCATAACGATCGTGGAACCGTGATGCTTTGGAACCAAAAAAACACTGTTAATAGGTCTAAAAACGATTTTAAAAATATCCTAATAAAATAAAATTAAGGAAGAATCAACAAGATTTTTTAGGAACATAAAAAGAGATCCACAAAAAATATTGCAATCCTCCCTCACCATAATTTATTTTTTGTTGAACCCAGAACATGATCTTAATAATTCTTCAATACCTATAGGATTGTTAACTCTCCCAATTTAAAACAAAAAAACCTCTCTCAATCCTCCCTCTCCACCAAAATCATCATCTTCATCCCCAACTTCAGTCAATTCAAAATCATTTTTAGGTTTAGGTAATTGATAGAATTGTTGTTGTAATTCTTTTTTGAAGGTCTAGTTTCATCAGAAATTGGGTTTATATTTAATTGGTCTCTAAATGGTGTATTCATTTCTGTTGTTGTTGTAGAAGCGCCGCCAGGTGTTGAAGAAGCTAATGTTCGTTGAGATTCAGTAGTTTCTATAAAAAAATTAAGAATTATAATTGTCAAAATTTCAAAATAAAAGAGGAAAACAATTATTTTTAATTAGGCAAAGAAATTATGACAAAAAGTGGACATAATTATTGAGAATCTGAATCGGTTGATTTAAAGTAATCATAAAAACAGTAAAAAATTTTCGAGAACAAAAATTTTTGGGAAACATCATTAGACTATTAAAAAGTTTTTAATAAATAGGGAATGTCTGTTATTTTTGGTTTTTTAAAATATTAAAAAAAATATTTCTTAAACAAATTATAAAAATTTAAAAAAAACTAACGTCCAAACCCAACATTCTTTTGAGTTGCTGCCATTACAGAAAGAACAGTGTTTGGTGTAGAGATTGGTTGACGTTGACTTCCCGGAGCGCTAAAGTCGTGATTGTGAAGAGGAGTGTTGAGACCTCCTTTAAGTGGTGTTTCTACGTTTATAAGAGCTAATAAATCATCTGCTGCCTAAAAAAAGGAAAATTATAAAGAGATTTTGGGAAACTCAGCGGCTTTTAGTGAATTTTCTCTTGTTTTACCATTGCCAAACAAATCAACCAAGGATTAATTTTGGATAGTTGCTTCACTAAAAATAACTTGCTGGCCTCCATCTTTATGGTAGGACCATTTCCCTGAAGCTTTTCAACCCCGAGCCTCTTGATTGATCTAATTGCCAGAAACCAAGAAAAAAATAGGGGAAAATGAAAAATTAGGCTGCTAAAGTTCCGAATTCTGAATCGGTTTTCAAAAAAGTTTAATAAAAAAATACCCTAGCAACTGTATAAACATCCCCAACAGCAGTCTTTGTGTTCTAGCAGAAAATGGATTCATTCGTGCAGATTCGTTACAATCATGCAGAAGAGATTTAAAAATAAATTTTAATTTTTTTAAAAATAATTTTTCAAAAAGAAAACCTAGAAGGATTATCATCAACTAATTCTCTAACAGAATCAGATACATGTCCAATTTTTATTATATCTTCCAATTCTTTATCAGAAATTTGTGGCTCTGATAAAATAAGTTTACTTCGCTTCTTTTCATATTTCTCGCCAAATATTGATTCTGGCAAGTCTTCGTTTCTAAAAAAAGCAAAATATTAATTTTAGGCTAAAAATTTTAGAAAAATATATTAAAACCGAATGACCCTATTTTCTTCTGCCTCACTGGACGTAAAAGCAAAACTAAGGAGACATTTTATCCCAAAAGGAAAATTGGGAAAAAAATTAAAAAAAAAATTTGCAATAATTATCCTTAAGATTTAAATATAAAATAACAAACTTTCTTTTCTTCAGCTTGTCCTTATCAGCCTTTCTGTCATCCCTTTCCTGCTAATCTCGTCTCTTTTCTTCAACTCTCGTTTTCTGTGCCTTATCAAATTTATCTTCGCTTGGATCATGAAATCCTGCTGGGACTTGTTTCTCAAATGGTATTTCATTATTATAATCCATTAGACGGTGCTTCTTCATTTTATAAGCCCAACCAGATCCAATAATTATTCCAGCTGCCCGAAGTTCTCTTCGTTTTTGTAAAGAAGCAAGTCTTCGAGCCTCGCCTAATTGCTTTTCACGAGCTCTGCGTTTTGCTCTCTTTCCTTTGAGTTGGCTAGACTAGCTCGGGCTTCTGATAACACTTCCAATTCTGAAAAATTAAATGAAAGTTGGTGTTAAAATTAGAGAAAATTTCGGCGGGCAATCGTCCTCAAAAACGAATTTGATGGTATAAACAAAAAGTATTGAGGTATGGAAGGGGGCATAAGGTAGAAAATCAGAACTCAAATCCAAGTAAATGTCCGGAAATTTAGATAAGGACACATTAGGAAAAATACAAAATAAAACCAAAATTAGATACCATCTTCATCCATATCAATAGGATCAGGCCTAGCCGGTTTAGTTTCTGGTGTTGGATCAACATCACCGGGCTTTAGCTTCTTAGCCTCTTTTAGAGAATCCTCTTCAATACCTTCAGCACGACGTTGAGCTTCGTCAAGAAGATATTCATATCTTTAAAAAAATGAAAAAAATACCGTTAAAATAATACAAAAGAAACCTTTCTAAACACTGCGCAGCAGTTCTCCCCACAATTGGAGCAATTGTACGTCATTAAGTTGAAATAAAAATTGAAACACAACAAAACATGCCCTATAATGTTAAGAGAGAAAATACAAGTTTCTAAAGATAAAAATATGTTAAACGAAAAAAATATTCGATTAAATGAAAATTATAGTATTCACTCAAAAATTTATTTAAACAAAAGTTTAAAAAAATACTTTTAAACAAGTAAAATTATGAAAATTTTTAAAAATCAAATAAATTAAACAAAAAGTTTAAATTTTTCTTCATCTTTATTTTTCTTCAATTTTTCAAACATCAAGCATTGTAAAATAAGGTTTCTTTTTGGTACTTGGATCCATGGCCTAATAAATTAAAATTATAAGATTGTATCCTTACCCTACCCCCTTCCATTTTAAAGGTTACGCCCATTTTTCCTAAGCGAAAAAATTATAGAAACTGCCTTATATTGCTACAAGAAAGAGGCTTGTGTAATGGCGGCCGATTTAAATTAAGAGGACCAGCTAAAATAAAATTGAGCGTAGGAAAATAGCTTCTGACTAGAGTTGTCGGTTTCATGAATTCTTCGGTTAAACGAAACCGAACCGAAAAACTGAACCGAAGCCTTCGGTTAAAAAAACCAATACAATATTTTTCGGTTAACCGAACCAAAAATTTTTTTGAGAGTTAAGGGGATTTTTTTCTATAATTTATTCGGCGCAGGAATAAGGGTACGGCATTGAAAAAATCACAAATGCATCCACCCCAAAGGTCAACTCCCAAAATCTCCCACAGAGTCAAATAACTCAGAAGGACAGCTTCAAGTATTTTAGTGAACAAAGGGGACTCAAAATCAAAAATACGTTGGCTTGCTCCCTTTGCCTAATCTGAGTTTCTCAAGACCGCCTTATTCCCTTAATCCCAAAGAATCATCTTATCCCTTACTAACACCAAAACCTTTTTAATCCGCACAAATACTTTATCCACCCAGCTTTTCAAATCTCAAGTCATACCTTCAGCGCATCCATAATTCGACGAATACCAACAAAATAATTCGAAGCAGAATAATGAGCGGCCTCATCTGTGGCTGTATATTGATCGTAAGTTGGAAATCCAACAAATCCCAAGTTGATTCCAATAAGACCGTCTGGAGACCAAACACCAGCTCCAGAATCTCCATAAGTTGTTGATACATTACCCAAATAGAAGGGACCAATAAAGTCATCAGTGTTATCTAAAATTTATTAAATTTTTAGTCTTTAAAATTTTTTTAATCAACCCCTGAAAGTTTGTTTTTCTTGGATGTGTAATATTCCATTTCTATATGAAAGACATTCAAGTTCGTTGCCGTAGCCAATTAAAGCAATGTTTGTTCCAAGTATTGGATTGTATTTCATAGGCGGGGCTTCCGGAACGACATTTTTATTTGATTTCAGAATAACAAAGTCAAAACGTCTAGACACATATATTACATTTGTTTTGTATTGACTAAAACCATTATGTGTGTAAATTGTAACTTCATCATTAATTGAATATTGACTATGAGGTCCATGACGAAAAGTAACCATATAATTTGGTTTTAATAGAACAACACATGATTTACTTCCAGATGTTTCTTTTATGTAGAATAGATATTTTTCAATATCATAAAATTCAGGCACATTTCCTAAAAAGCAAATTTCAGATTTTATGTTAAAGGTTTAATCAAAGTAAAGATAAACTAATAGTGAAAATATTAATAAAATACTTTTTGTTGATTTGAAAGGACCAGCAAGAGATAAATCTAAAAGTAGAAAAAATTTTTAACTTTATTGTAAAACGCGGGGCCAATTTTAAAAATAAAAAATATGACTGAAATATATAAAGAATAACATAATCTCAATAAAGACATAATCTCAACCCAGACTAGCAATACTTAAATAACTCAAAGTATCGAAAACCATAAAATCAACACTAATTTTTAAAATTTCATTAAAGAACAATGGGATGTTGTTCCAATGACGGGGAAAATTTATTTTTGATCAAATTTTTCAACTGATCATCTGAGTGATCAAGATAAATTAATCTCTGAGGGTTGATTGTTCACTGATGAACATAAAATATTTTGACTAAAGTTCAAAAAATTAGGACCAAAGGACACAATAACAAAATCTGGATAAAAAACCGAAAATATGAGTAAATCTCACAACATGAAAAAATATGGATTGATAACATAAAGGACCCTATAAACATATGCTAGACTGTTATGTACGTTTCAAAACCTAGAGAGGCCAGGAATGGAAACAGCAAATTAATTTTTGAAGGATAATGCAAAACATTAAAAATTGAATAACCTTTAGCACGATAGACAACCTCGTAAGTTTTCCCCATCCAACCTCCAGCTGGTTCTATAAAAGCCTTTACATTTTCATCAAAACTAAAGGCAAATTATAATATTGTTTAAGAAACAAAAAATTACTTGACAATAATATATGATTGTTCTGTAGTTTGATCAAAACCAAAAATTTCATTCTTATATTTTAAACAGAGTGAATTAGCAAAAGCAGTTTCCAAAGCTGAACGTGTCAGTACACCTGTTTGAGAAAGAGAAATTCCAACAATAATACCATCAGCACCCTTGACATTGATAATCTAAAATTATTTATTAAGTTCAATTAATATAAAAAAAATTTACTTGTCGAGACATTTTCTTTTTTAAATTATTTTGGCAATGTAAATATTCAAAACTAAAAAAATCGTAAAACTTAATCATTGTAGAATACGAAAAATAAAGATTGTTAAATTAACAATAAATTAAAGCTTGAATGATATTAAGTTTAATTTAAAAGAAAATAAGTTATTAGGATTATTATTTAGAGATTTTAATTCCTTTAAATGTTGGTTACAACTGATTTGCAATGTTACTTTCACCAAACAATTCGCTTGTAGTTGTGAAATGTCTAAAAATTTAAAACAAATTAGAAGGAAATAAAAAATAAAAAGAAACAGTGAAGGGGTTTCATTTACGAAAATTTTTCTAAATTTTGATAAATGACCAAAAATATAAACACCAACTAGTCGATTTTCGAAAAATTTCTGACTCCCGGAAATTCGCTTTGTCAAAAAATAATAGAATTGAAATGAGTTATGTTGATTAGTATTTTGGGATAGTAAATTTGCGACTTATTGAAGTTTTGACACTCAGCTATTCAAATCTATCTCTTATAGGAACAAACAACTTAATAATAAAATAAAGAGGACTCCTATTCATAATATGTTTATCAATAATTAATTCTTACCATTTAAAATATCCCAAACAATTAATTCATTTTTCAGATTTTCTTCTAACATTATTTTTTATGGTTATGTTGATTAGTAGAAAGTATAAAGAGTAAATTTGTTTCGTTAAAATGAAAATTTCCATCTGGTAAGGCCTAAAAAATAAAAAAATATTTGCCAAAAAATAATAGAATTGAAATGAGATCTAATTCCAGTAAAATTCTTTGCTACGTGAAAACAATAAATTATAGTCCAGTACTCAAACGGACAGATTCCCCCCGTAAATATAAATTTAAAAAATTTCCTACCCACCAATAGGTAAAAGTTTTTCAACTTGAGAATTATTGTTAAAATGTCCATCTTCAAATTTAATTTTTTGTAAAATTCTTCCATCCAAAGTTTTCCAAATGAAAATTCTTTTCTTTCCAAAATTAAAAAAATAAATTGTTCTGCTGTTCCTTCTCAAAAATTTTCATTTTCAAATAATGTTTGTGAATATTTGATTTTATTTAGATTTTCTTCAAGTTGGATTAGAACGCCTGTTTCTGCTTTAAAAAAAACTTTCGCATAAATTCTAAAACACATTTTAAAAGACCAAGAGGTGATTTTAAGGGAAAATATTTTTAATTTAATTTAAAATAAAAAAATACTTGCAATCCACAATTGTTGTTTATTCTCCCAATTTTTAAATGTAAAACACCAACAAGTCCAACACTTCGATTTGTTGTTGTTGATTCTCGATATAAATGTTTAGGTAAATCAGAAAGGGTTATTTGAATACTTTCCAATAATTCCAATTGATTGTTTGGTTCAAGTCTTAAATTTTTGGAGATTAAAATAAAAATTTATAAAATAATTCAAGACATAGAAATCTGGCGTTTAGGATTTTAAGTTATATTGAACATTAGGGCACTAAAGTAAAAGCAGAATCCCAACGAGACGAGGACTTAAAACGTGAAAAAAATAGGATTGCAGAACAAAAAAGCTCAAAAACAAAGAACTAAATCAGAGGAGATAAGTGGGGAGAAAAAATATAAAAATACAACAGGGGTCTTAACGATATAAATATTTTTTTAATTAAACCTGCATTTAATTACTTTTCCATCCAATCCAACACTATTAAGTATTCCTTTATGTTCATCCAGCCAATGAAATTGTGTAATAGCCCTTGAGTGCAAGCCTGCTGTTGGACCGCCGCCATTCCATAAAACTTTGCCCACATTTCCCTCAAATGTTGAAAGCAATAAAAGTTCACCGTTGTAAAGGCCAACAATTAATATCTAAAAAATAAAAGTTGGTACTTTCCCCCTATCTTAATCTTTTTTCCTCCTTTTTCCAAAAAATATTTTTATATTTACTTAAACTTAAGTTAATAAATATCTTGCCTTATTTGGGTACTTAATCTTCAAACAAATCAGCAAACAATCAACTCCAGAGAGCGTAGACCGCGATCTACAGTCTAAAGAAAAGGCAATCAGAAGATCACTAGATTCAATAAAAAATACTAACCTCCATGATCCAAATACATTGAATATTCGCAAAAGTTGACGCCAATTCACATGGATGTCGCCAATTATGTATAGCGGTAAACGTTTGATTTTTACAACGCAAGACTCGTCTTTGTAATGTTTTTTGAATGCATTCTCAGCAGCCAAACAAAGTGTTGTTATCTCGCTAGGATGATAAACAATCTGAAAAAAAAGATTTTTGGAATGATAAGAGAAAGAAAAATTACAAACGGCCAAGAATTAAAACATCCGGGGATAACGCAAAAGTACAAAAGTCACAATAAATTTCAAAAAATTAAGAAACCTCTCCATGACAACCAAAAATTGCATCACCCGGACAGGCAGGTAATTGAATCCAATTATTTTGTCTTCGGCGTAAATTCAAAAGTAAGTGGCCTACATGTTCTGCACAATGAGAATCGTGTTCAGGTTCAGCAAAAAGAACGGCTACACGAGAGCCTAATCCACAACGAATTGCAAAAGGTTGACAAGTTGGTGAAAATCCTTCGGTCTTTAAAATTGAATCTTTAAATTTTGTTTTTTAATTCTGCTAGACAGGGGGTTAAAATCTATTAAAAGAGAAGGTAAAAGTGATAGCTTTACAGATATTTTTGGGTTCACTAAATTACTGGACGCCAGACATGAGTAGCCTAGTAAGGAGGTACTAGTTAGTGAAAATCCTTCGCTAATAAATCCCGGGAAATCCCCGGATCCGGACCAAAATTTTCGATATCAGGATCCGTATTCTTCAATTGTATAGAAAAAACTAATCCCTACCTAAGCGTCTTAAATGATGCAAAATGACATCTTCCTTCTAAACTTATCTACTCCCCTACTCAGATTTTAAAAATAATAAACCTTAGGCAATTCAATTTCTCTTAAAAGTTGTAGAAAAATTCCTTTTTTGTTCCTTTCCAAAATCATTTTCCCAAACAGAACGTTCATAACTTTCAAAAGAGGCAATTCTGCAGAAATATTATCCAATTCCTTTAACAATAAATCGACCAAAGTAGATGAAATTCGAAGAGAATTAGCTGCTGAACGATTCCATAATAAATATTCTTTGTCTGTTTGTGTTTCTTCACTTTGCGAGGTATATTTGTGTTCCACGTTCAGGAACTTTTAATGGATCTGTTGGAAAATTTTTTTAGAAATTTAATCGAATTTATATTTCATTTAAAAAAATGCTTGAACAAACCTGTCCCTGTAGCATTATAAACAATTTCTTCACTTTGCGAAGTATCTCGCTGTTGCTACCTTTGTAAGGTCACTGAGCTTATTCAATTTTGGCGAAATCCCTCCATGCATGCACAGAATGCTATCTAAAAAATAAGAGGAAGATTAAACTACTTAAAATTAAATTTCCTCACCAACAACCAACGCACACAGGGGAAAATGGTAATTCCAAGGCTGGTCCCCCCCTTTTTTTCCTTTCCATTTTTTTCGATTTTTTAAACTTTTTATGGCAAATTATATATCGTTCGAAAGAGCTCTTCAAGCTGAGTCGAACGGTACTAAATTTATCGAAATCCGACTTAAATAAACATAGTTATGACCATTTGTTTTAATCCCTTTCAACAGCACAAAAAGCATGTCCATCGAGGATTTAGCTTCATAATTCTGTTCAGAATCTCCAAATCGAACCGATCATAGTATCATTCTACTCAGCTCGAACAGCTCTTTCGAATGATATATTGTAAATTATATGTCGAGCAAAAAAGTTAAAAATGGTCAGGCGAACAGAAAAAAAGGGGGGGGACCAGCCTTGGAATTACCGGGAAAATATCTGAACAAGCTATTGATGTGTTTATACACAGAATAGGCATCGCCCAAATTGAATCGAGTTTTTAACTCTTCTCGGAATCCATAATATGCATTGATGTAGTCTTAAAGAGGAGAAGGTTACTTTAAAACTGACACTACAAATTTACCTGTTTCGTGGTTGCCGCGGAGCAGAAAAACCTGAAAAATAAGACTGGGGTAGAATTAAGCATATAATCTTGCCTTATTTGGGTATTTCATCTTCAAACAAATCAGCAAACAAGCAACTTCCAGAGAGCGTAGACCGCGATCGACATAGTCTAAAGAAAGAAATCATTCTTTAATTTGTAAGGGAAAGATCGCCAAAGATCATCTTACACTTTTCGAATGAACTTAGTAATCAGATTACTAGGGTCAACCTATAAGATCTACACCATGAAGACCTATACACTCTTAGTGCCCGATCCACAGATCCTCAATATCCCTCCAAATCCATCAATATACTCTTATACGGCCAAATCATTCATGATCTTCAAGGTTAGAAGGTCTTCAGGGGTGGACTCAGTTCACTAGACCCAACAAAAATGCTAACCCCCAAGAAACAGATAAGCCTTATCGCCAGGCAACCCCAACACATTGAATATTCGCAAAAGTTGACGCCAATTCCCATGGATGTCGCCAATTATGTATAGCGGTAAACGTTTGATTTTTACAACGCAAGACTCGTCTTTGTAATGTTTTTTGAATGCATTCTCAGCAGCAAACAAAGTGTTGTTATCTCGCTAGGATAATAAACCATCTGAAAAATAGGAATTTTTTGGAAGGATAAAAGAAAGAAGTCCCAAACCCGTTTCTTTGTATAACGCAAATGCTTCTCCAAAAACTTCTCAAAGATAAAAGTCGGCTGCCTTCCGCTCATAGTACTGTTGGTACTCACAGTTGGACCTACACTTTTACGAGCAGTGGATGCTCCAGCACCCCGACCAGAAATTGAACGAGCCGTTCTTGCAGTGCTATCATTAGTGGTACTTGTCGACTTGATGCTTGAAATCCTCAAAATGCGAACAAACCCCTCTGAATAACTGAAGCGTGCCGCCATTATTTTAGACTGCTTTTATAATAAGAAAAAAAGCATTTAATGACAGAATGCCAAAAAAGTTAAATACAAAAATATCGGAACGGGTCAGTTGAGTGCCGCAACTGAGTGCTGCCAACTGAGCGCGGGCAACTGAGAGCCCGTTGTAAAAGGGCCAACTGCGCCAGTAATTTTAATTACCAGAAAAATATTAGAATATTTTTTCTTACACTTTGTTTTGTTTTTCTTCACTTTTTACGATCTAAAGAACATTTTAAATGCCAGCCGAGTTAACTTTAACTTTTTTTGGTTTTTTGGCCTTCGTTGAAGTCATAGTCTCGATTTTTCTCTCCAAGCAAAAAATTTAACTTAAAAACCGAGTCCAGCACTTAAAAAGTTATTGTTTTCATTTCACCTATTAAATTTGTGGCCCTAAAATTAAAGACATAGTTGGCACGTTCATACTCTCGTTGGCCGCACTTAGTTGTCCCGCTCTCATTGGCAGCTCTCAGCTGGTGGCACTCACCTGACCCCAACCACAAAAATATATGTATATTTCTGTCTCGAAATCCTCTCTTTACACACACTTTTACATAGTTAATGAAATTACGAAACAGGACACTCCAGTCCCTCTATTTTATTCCTGAACCTCATTTTAAGAAACCTTCGATACTTGACTGATTTGAATAATCCCTATATCGATCGAAACGCATAAATATTTTTTGGTTTTTTAAACTAAAGGAAAGAGTCAACAAATTAAATCAAATCTAATTTTGATAAAATTTCTCAAAATATTTCAGACGAAAAAAGACAATTTAAAAACAAATTTAAATTTAAAAAATAATTAAAAGGGAAGGGATGAATAAAAAAGTTGTTTTTAATCAAATTTGGTGGAATATACATATTTACTTTTTAACTACTAAAAGCAATTCCCTCAGCAACACCTTTCATTGAGTAGGCATAATTTTTGCTAAAAGCTACCTAATTCAAAAGATTTCTTTATTATTTGGCTCTAACTTTGAATGTAACAAAAAACATGCCCTAGTAATCATAAGAGAGAAAACACAAGTTCCTAAAGATAGAAAAATTTTAACAGGAAAAATATTCAATAACTAAGACTATATTATCCACACAAAAATTTATTTAAGCAAGAGTTTAAATAACTTTAAAACAAGTAAACTCAAAGAAAATATTTAAAAAATCAAATAGAAATTTTGAACAAAAAATTTAAATTCTTTATTAGCCGAAACCATCACGATTCATTCTGTAACAAAAAAATTGTGTGGGGTGGGAAAATAAATACCAGAAACACTACCACGAAGTTGCTAGTCCTCGTCCAAACCTATAATACCAATAATTTAAAAAGTTAAGAATTGAAAAATCAAACCAGCAGAACGATAAACAACTTCAAATCTCTTGTTGGTCCAGCCACCTGTTGGCTCAATTAAGCATTGACTTAACTCATCATAACTAAAAACAAAATGGAATTTAAAAAAAAGTAGAAAACATACAAAACATCAATATATAATGGTTCAGATTGGTTATTTAAAGAAGCATTTTCATTCAAATATCGCAACCCGCACACATCATATGAGAATAAACCCTGTAAAACTTCTAATTGCAATGTCCCTGCTGATGTAAGAGGCACGGTAAAAGTACGATTTGAACCAGTCACACTAATAAACTAAAAAAGGAGTTGCAGTTATTGAAATATAATCAATAATTAAAAGATAACCTGTCGCGACATTTTTAAAATTGAATCTAAATTCTAATAAATCTAAAAATTATTTTATGTAAAGAATGAGTAAAGTAGGAAATGTATAATTTAACGTTTAATGATAAATTTAAAAAGTATAAAAATTTTATTTCAAATAAAAGAAAAACGAATAAAATACTAGATATTAAAAATCATTATTAACCCTAACTTTTTCATTTAATTGTTCAAAAAATAACTTTAAAATTGGTTAAAAAAAGACCTCATTTAAGTGGTGTTTCTACGTTTATAAGAGCTAATAAATCATCGGCTGCCTAAAAAAGAAAATTATAAAGAAATTATAAAGACTTTATTATTTTGATTTGTTAAATATTTTTTCTTAGTTTACATTTGGCAATGAAATCGCCCAAGAGGGATCAATTTGGTTAGTTGTTTAACAAAGTAGTTGTTAGGCCCAGACATTTATGATAGAAACATTTCTTTTGAAATCATTCGATTCCACCGAACCTCCTGATTGATCTGGTTGTCAGAAACCAAAAAAATAGGGGAAAATGAAAAATAAGGCTCCTAAGTTCCGAATTCGTTTTTCAAAAACTTTGAATAAAAAATACCCTAGCAACTGTATCAACATCCCCAACAGCAGCTCTTTGTGTTCTGGCAGAAAATGCGTTCATTCGTGCAGATTCGTTACAATCATAATGAAGTCTTTAAAAATAAATTTTTAATTTTTGAAAAAATAATTTATAAAAAGAAAACCTAGAAGGCTTATCATCAACTAATTCTCTAACAGAATCAGATAAATGTCCAATTTTTATTATATCTTCCAATTCTTTATCAGAAAATTGTGGTTCTGGTAAAATGAGTGCTCCGCTTCTTTTCATGTTTTTCGCTAACCTATGTGGGTTTTTCCTTCTCTATTTGAATTTGAAAATAAAATTTTAATTTGTAAAGATGGATAAAAATTTAAGCAAAAATTGAAATATAAAAGTAATCGGAACATATCCGATATCAAGAAATACTTTTAAAGCAATCAAAATTTATTTTAAAGAAAAAGTGATGTTTTTTAAAAATTAATAAGTTAAAAAAAATAAATTTAAAAAATTAAATTTAAACACTTTTGTACTCAACATTATCCACCTTGATGACGAAATCAGGCTTCTTTTCATTCAATTTGGATTTTGCCTCCAATTTCTATAAAAAAAAGTATTTTATAATTGATTTTAAAGAAAAGATTAAAACTAATATTGAACTGTCAGAACGAATTCGATATTTTTTGATAACATTCGGGTAAAAGGTAGTTCTTAGTATGAAATATTTTTAATATTAAAAAATACTTTGATTTCAAACATTACATCTTCCATAACTACAATTATATTCATTGTTGTGTCCCCAGCATCTTGATGACATGTAACAACTCCCAGATTTAAACCGACTAATCCATCAGCGCTCCAAACAACTGCACCATCATCATGACTTGATGGAGAAATGGCACCAATTAAAATTCCAATAGATGTACTCTGAGCCTACTAAATTTAGAATTAAAAAAAATAAAAAATTTTTATGTATAAAACTATAAAACCCTCACACAATTGTCAATCCGTGTCTCCTAATTGTATCCTAATATCTACCCCAACCTTATTCCATTTCTTCAACCTTATTTGTATTTCTAACACTAAATTTAGAATTAAAAAATATAAATTTTGAGGTATAGTATATTTAAAACTTGCTCAACTCTAAAAGTCTCCACTTGGTCAGAAAAAATTCTTCCTTTTTTGTTTGAAAGATGTTTAAAATCATTTTGAAATCCATTTAAGCATATTTAAGAGCCAGAAGATTCATCATTGGATTTTAGCGAGTACCGGAATTTTGGTCACTGTAAGTTTTCACCAAGATTTCTCAGAACTTTGGTCACCACTTTTCTGAAATTTTGATCACCAATGGGAATTTTGGTCACAAAACATAAAAAACGAATCTTATCTAGAACTGATATCAAAGTGATAAAAAATTGATTTTACACTCTCAGATGATTAATTTCCTGGTTGATCACACTCCCTGATAATCACTCACTCTGAAAAATGATCAAACATGAGAGATCAGCCTGGAGTGTGATCAACAGGTAAAGTGATCAACGCGTAGTGATCAGTCATATGGGAGATTTTCAACCGGAAAATTGAGCAACAGAAAATTGATCGTCCTTGAGGGATCAACGGGAGGGTGATCATCCTTAAGTTATCAGTCAGCTGGGCGATTGACAAACTGGAAAATGATCAACCGGAAAATTAACAACTAAATTGACAACAGCAGAATTGACAATTCTTCCTGTTTGCAGGTTCAAAACTTAATGTTTTTACACGTATGGTAACCAAAATTCCGCTAGTGGCCAAAATTCCAAAAATTGGTGACCAAACTTCCGGTGATCAAAATTCCGTCACCATTTTAGCAAACAAAATCATATTTCTTAGATAAATTCAATTGTTGTTGTATATTTGTAATAATTGTTAGAAACTTGGAGCTGTTCACCAATTTAAAAAAAAAAGTTGTAAAATAATTTGAAAAATTGTAAAATAATTTGATGTCACCGCCAATACACAAGACTTTGTCATTGATATGTAGAATAAATATTTTCATATTTTGTCAGAGGTTGGTAAAACTTAAAAATTAATGTAAAAAATTCAATGGTTCTGATTAATATCAGGCTTTCTTTACCCTTATTTACACTTTTTCGACCTTTTTATCGAAGGTTTTCTGAGTTTACACATTTGTCATACTTTTCCCTATTTTTAACTTGTAACGTTATTAAGATTTTTTGGAATTTTTAAACAACTATGAGTTATCTCCCCCACATGTCCACAAATGTTTGTCAGCAAATTTTTTTCTTTTCACTTCTTTCTCCTCATAGATTAGTAAATCAAGGATTAATAATAATGAAAATAAATACTAAACAATTTGTGAACGTCTTAAACAAGTTAAAAGTTCGAAATTTTGATTTAAAAACTAGAGTTAGGTTACACACGCACAATGCTGGACCATAGGCTCTAACACACATAGCAGGGTTAGAGGTTACATAGTAGGTTACCTCCATAGTTTTATCGGTTCTTGGAAAATCTTAGGATATCCGGAACCGAACCGAGAAATCGCCGGTTGTCCTTGACCTACATCAATTACTGATCGAACAACTGTTAAGTGGAGTTGTTAACGGTCAGTTAACCGAGCCAAAACCAGTGTTTTTGGCGAATTAAACGATGGTAGGATTAACAACCAGTAGTGAACAACCCTACTATTATGGTTAAAAAATCATTTACTTTTTTTCTTTGATAATCTTTATGAGAGAAAGGAAATTAAAAGATAAAAATTTGCGGACAAACATTTGCGGAAATCCAGGGAAACGCATAGTATCAATGGACGATTTCTGGCTGTTTGTCTCTTAAAATTCTCGAAAATTTTCACCTGCGCCGCGGAAAAGAATACTGGCCTATTTTTAGTGGTTTGCCTTTCTTGTCTTGAACAATGCCCAATTGTAAATGAAGAATACCGGCAAAACTTCCCTAAAAATTAATTTAAACACTAGGCTTTTAGTTATAAGAGACACCTTCACAACATAGTCCGTCGCCCCAAACAAAGTAACCATCCTCTTTCCCGCAAAAAAGCCAAAACCGCGATTAAAAGCCTGATGAGCTCGCACAATGAGCTTCTCACAAGTCGAATAAACCTCTTGTGGTCCAAACCAAACGGAACTTTGTCGAGCTTCATTATACTCAAACACATCTACATCATCCTTAAATGAAAAATATTAAGGTTCAAAACAAATCAAAGGGTACACCTAAACTGAGTCCCGGACCGGTCAATTTAATGCTCTATCTAATAGTACCAAGAACTTAAAAATTATCCAACACTTCTTGAGTTATAGGGCCGGGACTCAGTTGAATTGCTCCGCAAAGCAAACTCACATTAGGGTCAGAAGAAGATCCAAGTCCAATGGATGATTCTCTAGGAAGAAATTTTTGGGAAGCGAAGTATCTCGCTGTTGTGCAATGATGTCCCTGGGAAGTTTAAGCTGCAAAAAGGTAAAAATTTTCAGCCTTTTGAAGTCAGAGTTACCTTTGTAAGATCACTGAGCTTATTCAATCTTGGCGAAATCCCTCCATGCATGCACAGAATGCTGTCTAAAAATGGGAGGAAGATTAGACTGCTTAAATTAGATTTCCTCACCAACAACCAACGCACACAGGGGAAAATATCTGAACAAACTGTTGATGTGTTTATACACAGAATAGGCATCGCCCAAATTGAATCGAGTTTTTAACTCTTCTCGGAATCCATAATATGCATTGATGTAGTCTTAAAGAGGAGAAGGTTACTTTAAAACTGACACTACAAATTTACCTGTTTCGTGGTTGCCGCGGAGCAGAAAAATCTGATAAATAAGAGACTAGGGTAAAAATTAAGCACATAGTCTTGCCTTATTTGGGTACTTCATCTTCAAACAAATCAGCAAACAAGCAACTTCCAGAGAACGTAGGCCGCGATCAACATAGTCTAAATAAAAAAACATTCATTAAGGGAAGATCGCTAAGGATCATGATACTTGTGCAGTTTACCCCCCGTAAGCCCCGTACCTTTTCTTCTTTTCCTGTAAGAAGACTCAAGTACAAGGATCGTTAAAAACTTCTCGAATGAACTAAGTAATCAGATAACTGGTGTGAACCCATAAGGCCTAAACCATGAAGCCTATACCCCTTATGCCCTGATCCACAGATCCTCGATCTCCCTCCAAATCCACCAATATTCCCTTATACTGCCAAATCCGTCATTATCTCCTTTAATCCCTTCAGATCCCAAGATTAGACATGTCAAGAAACAAAAACAGTGTTGATCAAAAGGTGTAGGCCTTCAAGGGTGGGACTCAGATCACTAGCTCCAACAAAAATGCTAACCCCCAAGACAGATAAGCCTTATCACCAGGCAACCCCAACACATTGAATATTCGCAAAAGTTGACGCCAATTCCCATGGATGTCGCCAATTATGTATAGCGGTAAACGTTTGATTTTAACACGCAAGACTCGTCTTTGTAATGTTTTTTGAATGCATTCTCAGCAGCCAAACAAAGTGTTGTTATCTCGCTAGGATGATAAACAATCTGAAAAATAGGAATTTTTTGGAAGGATAAAAGAAAGAAGTCCAAACCCGTTTCTTTGTATAACGCAAATGCTTCTCCAAAAACTTCTCAAAGATAAAAGTCAGCTGCCTTCCGCTTATAGTACTGTTGGTACTCACAGTTGGACCTATACTTTTACGAGCAGTGGATGCTCCAGCACCCCGACCAGAAATTGAACGAGCCGTCCTTGCAGTGCTATCATTAGCGGTATGTGTCATTTTCAATGCCGTCATACCTTCCGTCACTTTAAACTAACGACGTGCACACTAGTATTTAGGAAATGCTTTTATAATAAGAAAAATTAGCAAGCGTACAGTACACATTATAAAAAGAGAACATTAGAGAAACAAAGATTGCAGAATGCCAAAAAAGACGCCAAAAGTAGAAAACTTTGAAGCCCTGTAATTTTTCGAAATGGGGGGTCAGGGCCATAGGTTAGAAACAGGATCTACACGTTGGTTGTTTTATTTAGAAATTTTTAGGCATTCCGAGTTCCTTCGAACTAATTTTATAAATAAGAAAAAGTCCCGAATTCGGACATTTGACATTTTGATTTTTTATCGCCGCGAATAAATACAAAATATCTAACTTAAAAATGCCAACCACTGAGAAATATCGCATTTCGTCTGTTTTATTTGCGACAACTAAAAATGCAAAAAAATATTAAACATTTCTGACAGTTTTTTGTTTTAATGAACTGTTATTCTTACCATTTTTCGATTGTCCATTAACTCGCTTGTTAACGATTTTTGCTTTTTCAGTTGCCATTGACGACTGTGTCCCATTTTCAAATATGGGCACAGTTCGTTTTCAAAGTGATTTTGATGGAAATTTGGGACATAAAAAGCGTTATTCTTCTACTTCTCGATTGTCAAAAGGAACTCAAAGTGATGAAATTGTTTATAATGCTACAGGGACAGGTTTGTACAGAATTTTTACTTGAAACCTAAATTAAAAAAATTTTCTCAACAGATCCGGTAAAAGCTCCTGAACGTGGCACACAAACAGACAAAGAATATTTATTATGGAATCGTTCGGCAGCTAATTCTCTTCGAATTTCATCGAATTTGGTCGATTTATTGTTAAACGAATTGGATAATATTTCTGCGGAATTGCCTCTTTTGAAAGTTTATGAACGTTCTGTTTGGGGAAATGATTTTGAAAAGGAACAAAAAAGAAGAATTTTTCTACAACTTTTAAGAGAAGTTGAATTACCTAAGGTTTATTATTTTTAAAATCTCGAGTAGGGGAATGAAATCAGAATTGCCTCTTTTTAAATAAGTTTAGGGATGGTTTCATTTTGCAGCATCTTTCAATTCTTTTTCTAGAATTGAAAGATTCGTATACTGATAGCGAAAATTTCAGTTCGGATCTGAGGATTTCCCGTGATTCGTCAACGAAGGACATAGTTACTCGGTCTACCCAAGTCTGTTGTCCAGTAATTTATTTAACCCAAAAATATCTGTTAAAGCCACCATCTTTTTTAATAAATTTTAAGCCCTTGTCAACAGTATAACTGGCAGGGACACGCCCAGATAGGCGCGCGGCCAGGTAGGCGCAAAGCCATAACTACCTGGAAAATTTTTGGACGTTAACAATTTTGATACCAATCTCTTTAGCTCGATGAGAGGAATCGTTTATTGCTAAATTTTGAAAGATTCGAAAATCTTGAAGCAAGTTATGGCTTTGCGCCTACTTGGCTGCGCGCCTACTTGGGCTGTACCCTAACTGGCAGAATTAAAAAACCAAACTTAAAAAAATTCTAATTTTAAAGACCGAAGGATTTTCACCAACTTGTCAACCTTTTGCAATTCGTTGTGGATTAGGCTCTCGTATAGCCGTTCTCTTTGCTGAACCTGAACACGATTCTCATTGTGCAGAACATGTAGGCCATTTACTTTTAAATTTACGCCGGAAACAAAATAATTGGATTCAATTACCTGCCTGTCCGAGTGATGCAATTTTTGGTCGTCACGGAGAGGTTTATTTTAAATTTTTGAAAATTTGCTGGAATTTTGATACTTTTCGTTATTTCCGTGTTTCTTTTCGGTATCCCCGGATATTTTAAATGACCTTTGACCGTTTGTAATTTTTTTGGGAAACTAGTAAAATAAAGGGAAAAATACCTAAATTTTTAATTTTTTAGATATTAATTGTTGGCCTTTACAATGGAGAACTTTTATTACTTTCAACATTTGAGGGAAATGTGGGCAAAGTTTTATGGAATGGTGGCGGTCCAACAGCAGGCTTGCACTCAAGGGCTATTACGCAATTTCATTGGCTAGATGAACATAAAGGAATACTTATTAGTGTTGGATTGGATGGAAAAGTAATTAAAAGCAGGTTTAATTTTTAAAGAAATATTTATATCTTTAAGACCCCTCTGTCCTATTCACGTTTTAAGTTCTCTCGTTTCGTTGGGATTCTGCTTAAACTTTAGTGTCCTATTGTTGTGGAGCTTTTTTATTCCATGTCTTGAATTTTTTTATTATTTTATAAACTTTTATTTTAATTCCCAAAAATTTAAGACTTGAACCAAACAATCAATTAGAATTATTGGAAAGTATTCAAATAACCCTTTCTGATTTGCCCAAACATTTATATCGAGAATCAACAACAACAAATCGAAGTGTTGGACTTGTTGGCGTTTCTATATTTAAAAATTGGGAGAATAAACAACAATTGTGGATTGCAAGTATTTTTTTATTTTAAATTAATTATAAATAATTTCCCTTGAAAGCCTGGGTTATAAGGAAAATTCACAAAATAACCTTCTGAAAAGTGAACCACAGACAAATATCAACTCGTGGCTAATGCCGAAAATTGACCTTTAGGGGTCAACTCCTTTAAGAAAATTAAAATAAAAAAGAATTTAATGAAAAGTTTTTCTTTTTAAAGCAGAAACGGGCGTTTTAATACAACTTGAAGAAAATTTAAATAAAATTAAATGTTCACAAACATTATTTGAAAATGAAAATTTCGGAGATGGAACAGCGGAACAATTTATTTCTTTTAATTTTGGAAAGAAAAGAATTTTTATTTGGAAAACTTTGGATGGAAGAATTTTACAAAAAATTAAATTTAAAGAAGATGGACATTTTAACAATAATTCTCAAGTTGAAAAACTTTTACCTGTTGGTAAGAAAAATTTTTTTTTGGAATTTTTTGGAAATTTATATTTTCGGGGGAATCTGTCATTTGAGTGCTGGACTATTGTTTGATGTCACCTTGTAGCAAAGGATTTAATTTTATTCTAAATATTTCGTTGGGTTGATTGGGAAAAAATTATTTTAGATTCCACTTTTTATATTTTTTGTTAAAATTTTTTTAATTTTTAGGCCGTAGCAGATGTGAAATTTCCATTTTAACGGACACAAATTTACTCTTTACACTTTCTACTAATCAACTAAAACAAAAAACTAATAATACAAGAAGAACATCTGATAAAAATGAATTAATTGTTTGGGATATTTTAAATGGTAAGTTTTATTTTATCATTACATTTGTTCCTAAAGGAGTTGGCTCGATGGAAACTGACGAAAGTGTCAGAATTTGGATAAATAGGAAATCTCACTATCCCAAATTTTAGGAATCCGGAAAATAAAAATTTTTCGAAAATCAAGAAAGTCGATAGGTTGAAGTCGTGATTCCAGCCTACCTCTTTTTCCTTTCAGAGAACGTGCCAACTTAAAAAGTATATTCAGATTTTTGGGAATAGGAACGTTATATTCCCTTTTTCCTATTTATAAAATAATAAAAAATAAAAACTTTTAAAGATGAATTACTTCTTCGCGAAACTCAAATCAGTGATCTTGAAACTTTTACATTGGATAAACTTACAGGAAATATAATGATTGGAATTTCTTTTAAAGATGATGGTAATAGTAAGAACAATGTGGTTAGAGGAGAAAATCAAAAGAAATATTTCTTGAATTTTTATGAAATTGTTTTTGAATGATATGAAACTCAACACACTAACAGAAATTGCGGTAATAGTTCGGATGAGACCCCCCTCCTTTTTCCTTTCTAAAGGTATTAAAAATGGTCAGTCATTCTTAGGTTATAGAACTCGTCGAGCTTTGTCGAATGACACGTAACTCAACCCCGGACTTATCTTTGGGCCAAGATACAGACCCCCAAAAATTGAAAAATATAAGGGTGGACCAAGCTTATTTTTTGGGCTAAAAATTCGATTAAACTAATAATAGCTGATTCGAAAGAGCTTGTCAAGCTGATTTGAATGATTTCAAAATCAACATAATTGAACAAGATTTGTCAAAGTTATGGCATAAAGTGATATTTTTGTTGGAGGCGAGATGCTTTCGCTATGCGCAGTGTTTTGTCTGTATCTCGGCCTAAATTTAAGAACCAGGGTTGATTTAGGTGTCATTCGACACAGCTCGTTGAGTTCTATAAAATAAAAATTTGATTAACTAACTGACCAATTTTAAATATTTTGAGGAAAAGGAGGGGGGGGGTCTCATCCGAACTATTACCGAAATTGCATCACAAGGACAAGCAGGTAATTCAATACTTATTTTGTTCTCGTTGGAAATTTAAATTAAATGAGCATTGAAAAATCTAGAACTATATTTTAAATATAAATCTTAGTTATGTTTAAAAAGTAGCTCAACATTTGTAATTGGTCTAAACGCCTGCCTCTCTATCTCCATAACTTGTAAAAATTGTTCCAAGCATGAATAAATATAGCACACAATTGATATCGTTAGAGGCTGCTTTTTTTACGCTTTAGAATAATTTTTAATCAGTTCAAGAAAGTTTTTTTCTTGTATATGCAATATTCCATTCCGATGTGAGACATTTAAGATTGTTGCCGTAACCAATTAAAGCGATGTTTGTTCCAATAGTTGGATTATATTTCATAGGTGGACCTTCCGAAAGGACATTTTTATTTGATTTTAGAATAACAAAATCAAAACGTCTTGACACATATTTTACATTGGTTTTATATTGATCCATTGTGTGTATAAATTGTTACTTCATCATTAATTGAATATTGACTATGTGGACCATGACGATAAGTAACCATATAATTTGGTTTTAGTAAAACAACACAGGATTTGATTCCTGATTCTTCTTTAATGTAGAATAAATATTTCTCAATATCATAAAATTCTGGCACGTTTCCTAAAAGGCAACGTTTCAAAGATTTTATGTTAAAGATAATTCCGGGCTCCAAACGACCGCCCCAGCATCACCATCAGCTGATTCATAGTCCCAATTAAATAGGGACCAATATATTTAGAAATTTCAGATACTAAATTAAAATATAAAAATTTTCAGATGCTAAAATCTAGTCAGCCTTTAAATGTTTGCATTTTAGATGAGAAAATTTTTCATCTTTGAAGAATAATTTTTGTAAATTGTTGGAGTAGCCATTCAACATAATTGTTGATTCAGGTTAAGGCATATAATCAATAGATGGGCCTTCTTTAAGTTCTGTCGAATTGCTTTGCAGAATAACAAAACCATATTGTTGAGATACGGACTTGACGGTCGTTTCATAAGCATAACGATCATTGTGTGAAAAAATACGCACTGATTGTCCGATTTCATATTTGCCGTGAATTCACGAAGAATTCAGCCGTTACAGCGACAACGCATTCTTTTGGAGCATTTTCATTTTGGACCTAAAACAGAATTTGGAAATTTTGTCAAATCCAGGGAGTGGTCCTTAAAAATAATTTACTTAAAAGGAACCTACCGAACTATGATCCAAAACTTTTTACTTTTCGGTACCAATCGATAGAGCATCATCGATTTACTCTAGAAAATTTCTGACTTTTCTTCCTAGGAATGTGAAACTGAAAGTTCACATTTCTATGAAGAAATCATAGTTCAGTAAAATCATAGTTCGGGAAATAATAGTTTGGATCATAGTTCGGTAGGTCCAAAAGAATGCGTTGTCGCTGTAACGGCTGAATTCTTCGTGACTCACGGCAAATATGAAATCGGACAATCAGTGCGTATTTTTTCACACAATGATCGTTATGCTTATGAAACGACCGTCAAGTCCGTATCTCAACAATATGGTTTTGTTATTCTGCAAAGCAATTCGACAGAACTTAAAGAAGGCCCATCTATTGATTATATGCCTTAACCTGAATCAACAATTATGTTGAATGGCTACTCCAACAATTTACAAAAATTATTCTTCAAAGATGAAAAATTTTCTCATCTAAAATGCAAACATTTAAAGGCTGACTAGATTTTAGCATCTGAAAATTTTTATATTTTAATTTAGTATCTGAAATTTCTAAATATATTGGTCCCTATTTAATTGGGACTATGAATCAGCTGATGGTGATGCTGGGGCGGTCGTTTGGAGCCCGGAATTATCTTTAACATAAAATCTTTGAAACGTTGCCTTTTAGGAAACGTGCCAGAATTTTATGATATTGAGAAATATTTATTCTACATTAAAGAAGAATCAGGAATCAAATCCTGTGTTGTTTTACTAAAACCAAATTATATGGTTACTTATCGTCATGGTCCACATAGTCAATATTCAATTAATGATGAAGTAACAATTTATACACACAATGGATCAATATAAAACCAATGTAAAATATGTGTCAAGACGTTTTGATTTTGTTATTCTAAAATCAAATAAAAATGTCCTTTCGGAAGGTCCACCTATGAAATATAATCCAACTATTGGAACAAACATCGCTTTAATTGGTTACGGCAACAATCTTAAATGTCTCACATCGGAATGGAATATTGCATATACAAGAAAAAAACTTTCTTGAACTGATTAAAAATTATTCTAAAGCGTAAAAAAAGCAGCCTCTAACGATATCAATTGTGTGCTATATTTATTCATGCTTGGAACAATTTTTACAAGTTTTGGAGATAGAGAGGCAGGCGTTTGGACCAATTACAAATGTTGAGCTAGTTTTTAAACATAACTCTAAGATTTATATTTAAAATAGTTCTAGATTTTTCAATGCTCATTCAATTTAAAGTTACAACGAGAACAAAATAAGTATTGAATTACCTGCTTGTCCTTGTGATGAAATTTCTGTTAGTGTGGTTTGTTCATATCATATAAACAATTTCATAGGTATAATATAATATACCTATAATCTCAATTGTATTGAAATTTTTATTTTTCACAATTCAATTTGATAATTTTGATTATAAAAGATTTGTATTTATTTCATTTTCAACCAGATTCATTTTCAATCAAACTAGGTAATATATGTATTTTACAAATATCAAAGATTGAAGGAAGGAAAAAATTAATTTTTACATTATTTTTGCATCCATTTTCTCAACATCTTTCATTACTTCTACAAATTCTTTTATTCCTCTGAGCCAATACTCAATTGTCCAATAGACTTAAATGTGTCAATTGTCAGTCGAAAATTTATGGTCCACAGAGTTCGGGTCCGCAAATTAAAATTCGTAAAGTTCGGCGCGCCCTTTTTTCTTTCAATTAACATGTTAGTTAGCCAACAGACTCAATTGTCCAATGACTCGTTTCCGGGATGGTATACTAATGTCGTCAAATCTTTACAGGATGAAAATATGTAGTAAACGTATTTTTGTTCTTATTTTGAAAATTTATTCATTTTATTAAAATAAATTGAAATTTTGAAATTTTTGTAAAATAAAAAAATGTTTCTCTATAATTTAGTAAGAAGATATGATTTTATATAAGGAACAACCTATTACAAAAATTAAAAAAAATTCCTTTTCCTAGTAAAATTAAGCAGAATAAGCATTCGATGTAACTCGTCCTCCTTTTCCTGTCCAATTTGTATGTAAAGCATTCCCTGGATTAGAAAGAAGTTCATAACAATGAGCACCAAAATAGTCACGTTGTGCCTAGAATTTTTTAAAAATTTAAAAATTTTCTTTTAAAAAACCTGTAATAAATTAGCTGGTAAAACTTCAGAACGATAACCATCAAAAAATGCTAAAGCAGCGCTAAATGCAGGCATTGGAATACCGAGTTGAACGGCTGTAGAGATCACTTCACGCCAAGAATTCTAAAAATAAAAAAATTTTAGGCTTGAAAAAATTTAAAAATTCCAAAAAAATTTTTTTTCAAAAATTCTCAAAAAAATTAACCTGAGCATTCTTCATCGCATCAAGAAAGAAATCATCCAAAAGTAAATTTACAAGCTTCGGATTTTTCTCAAAGGCACTTTTAATTCGTCCCAAAAATCGCGAACGAATAATACATCCACCCCTCCACATCATTGCAATAGCCCCATAATCCAAATTCCAATTAAAATGATTGCTCGCCTCAGAAAGTAGCATAAATCCTTGAGCATAACTGACAACTTTGGAAGCGTATAAAGCCTTTTTAAAATTAAAAGAGAATTTTAAAAATTAAAAAAACCTGTCCAAGATTATGAATAAATAATTCCAAGTCTTTAATAATTTCTTTAGATTTCTTTACTGGTCCAGGTAAAACTTTCGAAGCACTAACACGTTGTTCTTTTAGAGAAGATAAACAACGGGCAAAAACTGCTTCAGCTAGAAAACAAATTTTTTTTAATTAAAAAATTTAAAATAAAAAATATACCAATTAAAGTAACAGGAATTCCATATTCAAGTGCAGCAATGCCCGTCCATTTACCCGTACCTTTCTAAAAAATTTAAAAATAATTTTTAGAAATTGAAAAAAAAATTTTTTTAAGAAAAATAAAATTTTTTTGTTTTCAGCATGGTTTTTCCCAAAAGGTCATTATCCATTTAGAATTACCCAGCGATCAGGAATATGCTGAATAGCCCGAAAGCTTATAATTTACGAAAAGGTGGCTCGACAATGCTATAAAATTAAAAGCATATCGAATTTCCACACTGCCAACCCTAATGGAGGTTGACAACTTTTCGAGGAATAAAGAGGTGATAGAACCCAAAGGCTTTCACAACAAAATCAAACACACTACCACTGAACCACAAATTCATATGTGAGAGGGGATTTAAAGTAAGGTAGTAAATGTCAAAGTTAATGAGGAAATTTCTTTAATCATAGCATTTCAGGCTCGAAAATTGAAATTTTTCCAAAGAAATTTTTTTCTATTTTTCCAAAAAAAAATTTCTAGAAATTCCAAAAAAAATTTTTTTTAATAATTTGGAAGACAGGAAATCGGAGCGTTTTATATTGCCAAAAGCTTGTAATGCCAAACCCCCAAAAGCTGTTGAAATGCCAAAGCGTGGAAAAAAGCTTGTAATGCCAAACCCCCAAAAGCTGTTGAAATGCCAAACCGTTGAAAAAGGCTTGTAATGCCAAACACCCAAAAGATGTTGAAATGCCAAACCGTGGAAAATAGTTTGTAATGCCAAACCCCCAAAATATGATGAAATGCCAAATGTTATTCCAACACAACGGGGGATGTTGTTCCAATGACGGGGGATGTTGTTCCGACGATGGGTGAAGTTGGTCCATCAACGTGGGATCAACATCACACTTCCCCCATCACTGGAACAACCGTCCCCGTCATTTGAACAACATCCCCGTCGTTGGTACAACTTTCCCTATAGTCGGAACAACTCCCCCCAGCCGTTGGAACAATTTTTCCCCGTAATTTGAACAACATTCCCCGTAGTGCCGGCCCCTCCCCACATTCCCGGCCTAGAGTTTTTTCAGCGAACATTCAATTGGAACAACGACATCCTTATTGTTGGAACAAACAAAAAATTTTAACAACAAATTCTATCAGAAATAACAAAAAATTTTCTAGTTTTGTATTTATTTGCCAATTCAAGCTCTTTTCCACGGTTTGGCATTCCAACATATTTTGGGGGTTTGGCATTACAAGCTATTTTCCACAGTTTGGCATTTCAACAGCTTTTGGGGGTTTGGCATTACAAGCTTTTTGCATTACAAGCTTTGGCATTACAAGCTTTTGGCATTATAACATCATACCCAGGAAATATCTAAAACAAAATTTTTTCTACAAAACCTGTTGAGCAGAGTCAAGTATTTTCGGCACCATTGGCTCTCCATCTTCATCACGATAACGTAAAATGTTTGCAGTAATTTCAATCAAAAAAGAATCAAGTTCCCCTTTATTCCAATCCTCAAAAATCTTTAAAAAAATAATTTTAAAAAATTATAATCAAAAAAAACCTCAGCCATTTTTGTAAAATCAAGTCCTAATCCTTTACTCATTAAATGGAAAGCTTCACAAATTAATTGCATATCACCATACTCGATTCCATTATGAACCATTTTAACGAAATGTCCAGAACCTGCAGTCCCCACCCATTCACAACATGGAAGGCCATCTGGGGCTTTTGCTGCGATTCCTTGGAAAATTGGTTTTAAATGTTCCCAAGCTTCAGGAGAACCACCAGGCATTAAAGAAGGCTGGAAAAAGGAAAAAATAAGCAAAAATAGATTAACATTAAGTATAAAAATAACCCCATATCTGGCTCCTTCTTCACCACCACTGACACCGGAACCAACAAAATAAATTCCTTTCTTTGATAATTCTTCAAATCTTCTCTGCAAAATATAAAATAAAAAATATTTCAAAAATTTATAAATATTATTTGAAGAAAGTTCAAGGTTAATTTTGGGTCTATACTATTTTCCAAACTTGTAAAATTAATCAAATTCAATAATTGTAGTTATTAAACAATCCTTTCCCGGTTTAACGATTTGAGGATTCAGATTCCTGAGGCTCCAAAATTTCAAAAATTACGCACCAGGGAACTAGCCGACATAAAAATTCAATTCACGATTTTCGGAAATCGAGTTGGCTAGATCCCTGTTACGCACTTCCGGTTTTAGACGTTCCACCATTTTGATTTTGGATGGATACAAAAAATTGGTATTTACAAAACCGAGGCACTTCATTAAGACTTAACTTCCCCAAAACTCCAATTTCCCCCAAAAAATCTTTAAAAGAAAACCTTACATTAGAATCATGATAATCACTATTCCCTCCATCAATAATAATATCACCAGATTCCAAAAGTAGAACTATTTTGTCAATCATATCTTGGACAGCACTTCCAGCCTTTACCAAAAGCATAACTCTACGAGGCCGTTTGAGAAGTCTTTAAAGAATTTAAAAAAAGTTTAAATTATAAAAATCTACTTACTTAACCATATGTTCTAAAGAAGTTGCTCCAACTATTTTAGTCCCTTTAGCTTCATTTGCAAGAAATTCTTCGACTTTTTGAACTGTTCTATTGAATGCACAAACCTATAGAAATTTTGAAAATAAACTAATTTAAAGAGAAGTTTTTCTGAAATATTTTTAGGCATGATTTTATTGATATAGTTTAATCCTAACTAGAGGTCGACAAAATCGTACTTCCGGGATCCCGAGTCGGGATAACCAGGCATGGTCATGTATACGGATAATACCCGAGGATATCCGCGGGACGGACGGATATGTACAGAAAAATCTGTATCCATGTCCTGGTCTGATAAAAACTATGACGCGGTTAAAAAAATTAAAATATGGGAGGTTTAACAGTCCAGTCTTAATCCCGAAAAGGAAAGATTTAGAGAAGGACCAGAATTAAAAGAAAATAAATAAAAAATATACCACAAATCCATGATCGTTCATATTCAAAATTAAATTTTGTCCCATTACTGCAAGTCCAATAACGGCAATATCAGCTACTGGTTGAGTCATTTTTTCACTATAAATATCTAAAAAATAAATTTAATTAGAATATGTTAAAGACAAGCAACAAAAGAAAAATTAAATTTAAAATAATTGTGTCTTTGTTTAACCATCTCAAAAAATATAAAATAAATCATTCCACCAAAGTGTAAGAAAAAAAATATTTTAATCATATTGATAAGACAAAGTAATTTTCCGAGATTCGATTAAAAAGAAATTTCCCAAAATATCACCATTCAAAATATCGCTACGCGATGAGAATTGCATATTTCCTTTTGCTGGCGAATTGTCCGTTTTTACATCTGTTGGCGATTTGTCCGTTTTTACATCTGTTGGCGATTTGTCCGTTTTACCGTCAGTGACATTTGAGAATTTTCTTTTGTTTTTTTTTACTTCTCATTTTTTGGGACACGCCCAAGTAGGCGCGCGGCCATGTAGGCGCAAAGCCATAACTTGCTGGAAAATTTCCGGAACTTAATAATTTTGGTACCAATCTCTTTAGCTTGATGAGAGGAATCGTTTAATACTAAATTTCGAAAGATTCGGAAATCTTGAAGCAAGTTATGGCTTTGCGCCTACTTGGCCGCGCGCCTACTTGGGCTGTACCCTCATTTTTTGAATCGTTGATTTTTTTATCTTTAATTTATTTTTTAAATTTTTTTTTTGAAGAATTTATTAACAAATTCAGATCCTAAAATCATTAAAATGTCTACATCTGCAAAAAAACGTAAACTTAAAGGTGAAAATGAAAGTGGATCGGAATCTAGCTGTGCAAGGGGATCTAGTTTGTCTTCAGAAGTTGAAGTAGAAACTGAGGATAAAGTATATTTCACCTGAAAACTTAGAGAATTCATTAAATATTTTTCAGTTTGTTCGTGTAACTGACCAAGCTAAAACTTTGAAAATTCCTCTTTTAGAGGACGGGACGTTAGAATTCTCATCACTTGAACACGCAATTCCAGGAGCGTATGGGTTAAAGTACCCTACGCCAAATTCTAATGTCAAGCGCGGTGTTCCGTATGTTTATTTAAGATTGTTTAAGTACATGTCATCTCATTTAGATTTAATGATAATAAAAAGGCTTTTGAGGCACCTTTTGGTGGATGGAAAGGGAAGCTGTTTGAAGTAATTTATCGTCGGAAGCCTCCTGTTGTTGGTGTAGCGCCTGGTTAGTTTTTTAAAAATTTGAATTTACAAATTCGAATTTTGGAGCGGTCGACTCTCCCTCACTTTTCATATTAAAAAGAAATTTTTCTCCTCTTTAAGAAAAAATAAGGCCCCTAACAGTTCGAAAGGTTCCCTTTGAGGTTTTTAACGTGTTCCTAAGAAGACATTTTTGGTTAGATTTTATGAAATGACTAGGGTTTTTGTACTTTTTAAAATATTTTTCTTTATATTTTTCAATTTGACTTGTTCCTTTTAGGCCCCTGACAGCTCAAATAGCTTTTTAGAATTTTTAATTGAGGATAATGCTAATCATTTGAATTTTTTAATTTTAGAGTACTTAGATGAAGTCGAGCGGTTTGCCTTGAATTCTTCTTGGCTGCCTAGTTCGGGTATATTTTGATTTCGAAAAATAGTTCTTAAACAAAACTTTTTAAGTAAATGGGCCTTTATTGGGAGATGTGAAAAAGTATTGTTTTTTCATCAAAATTGATAATCTTACTACATGCGTTACACGAATTCACAAATCATATTTTGCTACTTTCCGCCACATTGAGCACAAGAAAATTAACTGGGGAAATGAACTACTTATTTATTCTGATGATGGATCTCACTTTCTAGCAACTGTCGTATATATAAATGATTATTGGGACTTTATTTTGTTCAAAGCAGATACTGATGTTAAAGGTGATGGACCTCCAATTTCTCACTCCGTTAGGGCAGGCGATGAAATTAGTCTCTACGGTCGTGGGAATGATGGATCAATTCTTGGTCCTAAAAAAGGAAGTCTTCATTCATCGAAACAGTTTTTTGGTTTGAATTAATTTCAATTAAATTTATTTTTAATTATTTAGGAGAGAATGACGTATACGCAAAATTTTTGGTTGGAACTATTCAAACTAACGATGGCGATAGTGGCGGTGCAGTTTTTGACTCAAAAGGATTGTTAGCGATGAATGTAGGGCGAACTTTTTTTCCTGATCACCCTCAAAGTATTGCTACAAATAAGGCTGCTTATTTCAATCCATTTAACTTTATGGTGTTGGCATCGAGTATGATTTCTGTTGTAGACGTATGATTTTTTAAAATTATTTTTAAATCTGGCTTCAATTTTCCGAAACTCCGATTTTAATGAAAAGATTTTCCTATTTTTAATTAAATAGCCTGAGAATTTCAAAAAGTATTGATTTGACAAACACATGAAACTTAACCAAGATTTTGAAATTTGACTAACCGAAAATAGTTGTACTTGTAAATTTGTTGTAGCTTAAATGATAATAAGTAGCTTATATTTTTATTCCAAAAAAGTTATTTTTTTTCGTTCAAAATTTTAGCAGCTTGAACGACCGCCATCTGATTTAAATAGGTGCGAATTTTCTCCTATTTATCAAAAGATGGCCAGATTGCCGCCGTCAAGAACTAGAACTTGAAACAAACTTGAATTGGTTTAAATGAGAAATAAATATAGGCTCTTGTCCAGTTTATGCGTCCCATGAAAGTATATGCGTCCCATCAACAAAAAATTGGATATTTCTTGGTGTTGCAAAGTAGGGGTATGGTTCCAAAGCATTTCTTCATGTTCGGGATCTACGCCCACTGGGTCTGGGACCGTTCCTTACCCTATACCTCGAAATTTCTGAAAGTTAAAATCGTTTTTCTGAAATTTTTAAACATTGGCTATAACTTTCAGAAATTTCGAAGGATAGTGTAAGGAACGGTCCCAGACCCAGTGGGCGTAGATCCCGAACATGAAGAAATGTATTGGAACCATACCCCTACTTTGCAACACCAAGAAATATCCAATTTTTTGTTGATGGGACGCATATACTTTCATGGGACGCATAAACTGGACAAGAGCCTAAATATATTCTTGATATAAAAATATTTGTTATATTTAATTCAGTCCTCTTTTATTGCTTATAATTTTGCTTATAAATATGACTGCCTAATTAAATTTTTGTATATAAAATTATTTTATTTTTTCCTGTTGATCTTGTTAAAGTTTGGATACTCAAATATTTTTATTAGATTTTTTTCAGATTTTTTAGATTTCAGACAAACTTTTCTGTTTTATTAGTTCTCTAATTTTTTGCATGAATTGATACAGGCCCGTAACTAGGATTTTTTTTCGAGGGGGGGAAATTTGCTTGCGCCAAATTTTTGGCGCCGAAGGCGCCAAAAATTTTTATTTTCAGCGCCGCAGGCGAAAATTTTTTTAATTTTAGAAGGCCGTAGGCCAAAAAAATTCACTTTTTCGGCGCCGCAGGCGCCAAAAATTTGATTTTCAGCGCCGCAGGCGAAAATTTTTTGAATTTTGGACCTCAAGAAGCCAGATTTCGTCCTTTTTTAGCGCCGCAGGCGAAAATTTTGAAAATTTCGAAGGCCGTAGGCCAAAAAAATTCACTTTTTTGCCCCAGCCCTTCCCCAAATTTTTTCCTTTTTCCCATTTCGGGGGGGGGAATTCCCCCCCTCACCCCCCCCTGGTTACGGGCCTGAATTGATAGAGCAAAAATGTTTTTAACGAAAAAGTTGATGTCAAATGTTCCAGAACTTGTATCTGGTTCTTGTTGGTGGAAAAAACCGTTAGTTTTTAATTTTTATTAAAAATTAATTTGTCGATAGTAATGATCAAGTAATTTGCTTATCAGTTAATCATTAACTAATTTTCAGGCTTTATTACAATCCCGTTGTTCGGCCACTAGATAGAGGACCTGATTTTAGTTTTGTGGATGGTCGTAAGCCTTCAATTACTACAAAATGGGAGTTGGAACGGAGGAAGAAACAAGTTGAACTTGGGGTATTTATTTTTTGTTTTTTAAGCTTGTACTTATAGAGGTTCCTCAGTTATTGAAAATGAGACTTTTCTAGATCTCGAGCAATTTAGTTTGGTCTCTGTTATAAATATTTCCAATAAAGATAATTGTAACCCCTCTTTTCTGACCATTTTTTTATTTCTCCTTCCCTTTCCCCTTTATTTTTTATAAGTTAAGTATCAAGAAAGATTTTAAGTATCTGTTCATGTCAGTATTTGTTCAAATCAATCAGTATTGTTACCTGTTTGATGGCGGAACCTACGCTTATAAGATGACCAAAATAATTCTATATTTTGTGTATACATATCTGACTCTTCTGTACTAACAAAAATTCTTTGAATGATTGACGGTCCCGTGACGGGTCCAGATCCCCCTCATGAAAAATATGGAAGAAAGGAGGAAGATGAAAAGATGGTCAGAAAAAAATATGGCGACGAACCAAACAATTGCCCCAAAAAAGAATTTTATTAATACAAAAAAAATCCCTGGGACTTATTTTTTCCTGGAACTTATTTTTAGTTCCAATTTTATTAAAAATTATTAAAAACTTTTTAATTTGATAACCTTTTACAGAAACAAATTGTCCATTATTTGAATGAAATTAAAATTGCTGAGCAACTTTATGAAGAACAACAAATTCAAAAAACTTTGCGTGCTGAAAAGATTGAACAAAGTAAACCAAAAGAGAAGGGAATTGAAAGTGTTTTTTAATTAGGGTTGTTTTTTGGATTTAATTTAAATAAAAATTGTTTAAATTTTTGAAAATTAATTTTTAAATTTAATTGTTGAAATAAACAATTTTTATTTTTTTTTCATTTTTACATAAAATTTGCAATATTTTTGGATTATTTTTTTAGAAATTTTCAGCTTAAAAATATGTCTAGACACAGGAATGTACGCAAATTGAATATCGCTGAAGGTTTTTTTCAATTTTTTAAATAATTTAATTTTAATTAAATTAAGAGCTCGACGATGATTATGGGGACGATTATGATGATTATGACGAGGAAGAAGAAGACCCGCAAAATTGTATTTTTATTATTTTGTTTAATTTTTATGACTCGAAATTAGGGGAAAAAAGCTTTTGGGCTTTTTGGCTTTTTTTTAGCTTTTGGGTCCTAAAATATTTTTGGGGGTTTAAGTAAAATAGGGACGTTTTTAAGGCTTTCCTTTCCTTAATTGGTAATATTTAACTGACAGACGCCAGTTTTTCCTTTCCAAGTTTTTCTATATATTTGCTTTCATTTCCAATTGCCTTTCTATATTTTGCATACAAACGATCAAAAGGAATTAATTTTTATCTTCCCTTGGATGGAAGAAAGGAAAATTTGGATGTAAGAAAGGAAAAAGTCTGACCATTCTGCAAATTTAGGAAAACACTTGGGGAGGAAAAAATGGGGTCTGTCAGGTTCAATATTACCCCTTAATTTTTAAGTTTTTACCCACTTTTGAATTTAATTTTATTTTTAACTAGATGAGCAACCTAACCAATATATTGACAAAACAACAACAAAAAAGCAGAAACCAGTAGAAGCAATACAAAATAAATCGCCTTCTAAAAACGAACAGATTAAGGTTCTTTAAAATTTATTTTCAAATAAAAACTGAATTTTAAAGCAAAATTTGGCAATTGCCCCAACCGTCGAAAATTTAAAAATAGATGCTGGTTATTCAAAAGATCGTTCAGATTCAAAATCTCCAAGTAGAGCTTTAACGCCAAAACAAACTTTGAGTAATCTTGAAATGGCTATAGCTGCTGTTCCTAAATACAGGCAAGAAATTTTGAGTTTAATTAGAAATTTGTGTCTTAAGAGGCTTGCTTTATTAGTTAGGTTAATTTGGTATGGGTACTTTAAATATTCTAATAGAAGCCCATGCCCTATTAGAAGCCCACCCGATGGGAGGTATTGAAAAATATAAGCCCAGGGTTTATATTAGAATATTTACGGTATATTAGATTAAAATATTCTCGCGATTTTTGTTAATGTAGGGGATGCTGATATAGACCACAATTTTAACTAATATCAAAAAATTAAAAATTAATTTTTCGATCAATTTTCTAAAAAATGCCTAACTTCGTTAATTTCCTTAATAATATTCTATTATAAAAGGGCCACAAAAATATGGAGTGCTATAATCACCTCACACCAGAATCTAATTTATAATTTTTTATATTTTTTAACCATTAGGAAAAGAACGCGCCCAGAAGAATCAAAACCTGCGTTGAATTTGGTTATTATTGGACATGTGGATGCTGGTAAAAGTACATTAATTGGTCACCTTCTCTACCAAGTTCGGTTGTGTTTCTTTAAAAAAATTTATTTAAGCAAAGTAAAAAGAATTGACCTCGGCCGGGTTCGAACCGGCGACCTTCAGTGTGTAAGACTGACGTGATAACCGCTACACCACGAGGCCCGATAGTGGAAATCGCTAAAGTATTTAAATATGCCTAGAGAAAAGGCGTTTTGTTTGTCTTTTTTCTTTTTTCCTCTTTCTAATAGGGAAGGGGTAAAATAAATTGGAAAAAAAATTTTTTTTAATTAAAAAATAAATTTTTTAAAATTCAAGTTAGGAAATGTTGATGAACGTGCAATGCATCGTTATAAACAAGATTCTTCTCGGTTAGGAAAATCTTCTTTTGCTTTTGCTTGGATTTTAGACCAAAATGAGGAAGAACGGTCTCGTGGTGTTACAATGGTTTTCTTTAAATTTTATTTTAGAAAATTTTTTTAATTTTTTTTTAATTTAAGGATATTGCAAAAACAAATATAGAGACTCCTTCTGGTAAAAAAATTTATATTTTGGATGCTCCTGGACATAAAGATTTTATTCCGAATATGATAAGTGGTGCTACACAAGCAGATGCTGCTCTTTTAGTTGTGAATTCAACACGTGGAGAATTCGAGACGGGGTTTGATCAGGGCGGTCAGACACGAGAACATGCTTTGCTTGTTAGAGCGCTTGGTAAATTATTATTTTTTGAATTTTATTTGGTATATTTTTGGCTATTTTTGATGTTTTTTAGAGTGAAATTAACCTACTAGAACCAAACAAATTCTGTTTATTTTAATTATTCGATGTCAATTTTGGGGTTGAGAGCTTTTTGTAGGCCGAGAACTTAATTCTTAATTTATCTATTAGAGTTGGGATGGTTTGAGAAAATATTGTGTCTGTTTTTCAGATTTTTCTATAGTCAAAAAAACTTCAAATTGTTTTATTTTTTGACTGACACACCCATGTTGTGTAATGCTACGCTTACATAAAAAACGCTAGCGTTTTGCGGAAAACGCTGGTGGAAAAAACGCCGGCCGAAAACGCAACTTATGTAAGCACTCAATCTGCCGAAAAAACGCTAGCGTTTTTTCGGCAGCGGCAAACGCAACTTGTGTAAGCACTCTCATTTTGCGGGAAAAACGCCGGCGTTTTTTCTCTCTCATTTTTCCATACTATTTTCTGCGAAAAACGCTAAGCGTTTTTTATGTAAGCGTAGCATAAATAAATAAGTAAAAATTTTTTACATTGAAAAATATTTTTTCAAAATTTTGCAGTTATATTTTTTTCAATTCTTGAACACTCTAAAAGTTCTCCTTTGAGTTTTTCAGGAATTTTTCTAGAATATTCTTAATTATTTTTTAATTATTTTTTATTTTAAAAAAGGTGTTAGCCGTTTAATTGTTGCTGTAAACAAATTAGACACAGCTGATTGGTCTAAAGAACGTTATGATGAACTCTGCTCTATTCTTTCCGTTTTTCTTCAAAAACGTACTGGATTTGAATTTGTTCAATTTGTGCCTGTTTCTGGACTTTATGGAATTAATTTGGTAAAATGTCCGTCCTCTGATCATCCTTTGGCTGTTTGGTATTTTGGAAAAGACTCTCCTACACTTGTTGAAGTTTTGGGTATTTTTTTATTTTTTTAGATTTTGGTTAATTTTGGGTAAACACATTTTTAAGTTTAAAGTCGACTTAAGTATTAGAGATCGAGCTGGACCTGGACCAAGGCCTGGGGTTTTCCTGTACCCAGGGCGTTTTTGACCTTCCTGGGTTTTCCTGGGCCTGAGTTTTTCATGGACTACATGCCCAGGATCCAGCCCAGGTCAATAAATCAAACCCAACAGTCCAGGAACCGGTCCAGGCTTTTCAAAAATCTCGATCTCTATTAGCTATAAGATATACCCAATGCATAGCGAAGGCTACCTCTATTTATGCGATATTCCCTATTTCATAGCACCTCATTATAAGATAATACAATTTTTTAGCCTCTAGTCTTATCTCTATTTTTTTTCAAATATATTTTTTAGTTTTAATTAAGTCAATTGGATGAAACTTTTTAAAAATATTTTTAGGACTCCCTATTTTGTTGATTTCATTATTCTTCTTTTATGGTCCCAATTTTACGATTATTAACCTTTAAGAATTTTTTATTCTAATTTACATTTAATTTAGATTCTCTACCAATTACATCAACTTCAACAGCCGAACAACCCCTTAGAATTGTTGTTAATGATATTCTCCGTACTTCTCCAACAATACTTTGTGTTAGTGCAAAAGTCGAAGGAGGGCATGTAGAGACGGGTGATAAATTGTTTTTGATGCCTGAGGCGATTGCTGTGGTTGTTAAAGGTTTGTGGGGTGGGGGGTTGTTCTTTGATAGGCGATTATAGGGGCGGTTACGGGGCCTTCAAAATTTGAATAAAGCTAAAAACATTTTCTTAAAAATTTTTTTTAAATATAGCCTTAATTAAATGGCTCTATTTTTTTTAAATAAAGCATTTTTTGATTATTGCTTTAAATAAAATAACAGGGAAAATGAAATAGAGGTAGACCAACAAATATTGCAAAGTTTTTTTGTTGACTTCCCCTTTATTAAATTGTCTTATTACACCTTGAATTTCAATAAAAAATTTCAATAAAAGTTTTTTAAATTTCGTTTTAGCCTTATCAATTGATGACTCTTCTTCGTCTACCTCTCAATCATCAAAAAATATTTCACCGCCAACAGATCAACAGGTTTATTTAAAACAATATTACTTTTCTGTTATCTTCTCCCTACTCCCCCAAGTGCATTTTCTTCCCTCCTTCCCTTTTTATTCCAAATACTCAATGTCACTCATGTTTAAGGATTAAGTTAAATACTACCTGGGGAAAGGAATAATTTAAGGGAAGGGGGAAGATAACGAAGAAGTACCAAAACAATAATAAAATATTTTTTAAGATTTGTTTTGCGGGAGATCAAATAACTCTTACATTAAGTGGAAATTTTGAACCTGATTCTGTTTATCCTGGAAATGTTTTTTGTAGAGGAGGAACAGTTAGTTTATAAATTTTTTTTTAATTTTTGAATATTTTCGGAAGAGTTTTAAAAATTTATAAAAATATTATCTAAACATTTTCGGATAAATAACATTTGAAGTAACGACCATATTTAATATTTGGGCAGTAAACTTTAGTTTCTCGGGGTTATATAAAATGTATAAAATACAGGCAGACTTCACTATAAGCTATGACGAATATTAGATATACCTCAATTTAAGATAGGGTTTTTTTTAATTTAGTTGGCCATTGGATTTGGGTGAGAGCTGTCTAACAATAGGCGATGTCCCCTATATAAAACACTATTATAGAATACAATTTTCAGCTCCAAGAGGGAGAATAAGAAGCGGATAGCTGCGCCAAACCCTTTGCCTAGGGTCAAGTCGGCGCTGCCGCTGCCCGGGTAACCTTACCCTCAAATTTATTCTACGGGCCAAAAAGGTATCTGGTTAGTAGGGTCCTAATGTATAAACAATAATTGAGTTTTTTTATTTAACAAAAATTTAACAATTTTTATAAAAATAATTTCTAAAAAATATTTTTTTCAAAGGAACTTTTACATCCTTGCCAACGTTTTCTTGCTCGTTTAGTCACTTTTGATATTCGAATGCCTATTTTGAGAGGGGCGCATGCAGAACTTTTTGTTCATTCTTTACGTGTTCCTTGTGTAATTAGTAAATTAAATTCAATACATCCTGGATCTAAAGAATTGGAAAAGAAAAATCCGAGGTAGAAAATATTTTTTGTTTTTGGGAAAAATAAAAAATATTTTTTTGGTATGTGATAAAATTTGTAGTTAAAGGCATATTTTCCTTGGGTGTTTTTTCCCTTGATTTAATATAATTAGGGTTGAGGTTTTAGAGTCGGGCCGACGTTCGGGTCATTTTCTCGGGCCTTATTTTTATCGGGCCAGCCCGGCCGAGTTTTTTTCGGGCCAAAATTCGATGCCCGACTCGATCTTTCGAACCGGACCAGGTCCCCAACCCTAAATATATTTAAATAAGTTACTAGTGAAATTTTTTGATATTTTTAGTCATGAATATCTCTCAAAAATCTCTTTCTATCAGAAACCCTTCAATTAATAATATTTTTTAATTTTTTTCCAACAGACTTTTGCCTCGTAATGTATCTGCTATAGTTGAAATTAAAACTGAACAAGCCATTTCTGTTGAATCTTTTAACAAAAATAAACAATTGGGGCGGTTGGCTCTTCGCTCTAATGGTGAAACAATTGCGGCGGGAATTATAATTGATGGATAATTTTTAAATTAAAAACTTTCTTTTTAATGATGATTTGTGCCTATTAAAATTTTGCTCTAAAATTAGTCTTTATAAAGGACAATAAATTAATAGAATGTGTTTATCTACCTTTGGGCTGACCTCACTTATAAGATGCAACACCCACGGGCTGAAAAATTTTCTTATAGTGAGCGTATTTTAAATAGGAGGGTATCGCTTGGTAGCCTTCTTCATATCCAGTGGTCACCCAAATTTAAAAAACTCTTATCTTAAATTGAGATGTTACTATCATAAACTGGGTTATCTTATAGTGAGGTCTGTCTTGACTAATATGATTATTTTTGTTTATGTTTCATATTGTTGTATGTTTATTTTTTCTTTCCATTTCTTTTCAATTGCTTCAATTTTATAGGAAAATTAAAGGAAAGGTCATTTAAACTTTAATATTTTTTGTTATGGGAAAAATTTCCTCAATTGTAGGGTTTATCATAATGGAAATTTACTTCATTCACTTTATTTTCTTATCTCTCTTCTATAATTAAATTTCGCTTTATCATTTTTATCATATGCCTATGAAAGAAAATAAACTAGAAAAATGTTACTCTATTAATTTGTTTAACCTGTATTTTAAAGGGGAAGTAGATTAGTTGGTGGTGGTGTAGTGGGTAAATCTCAGATTCGGTGACCATTGGGTACCAGGTTCGAACCCTTTGGGTGAAAACTGCTTTTTATCTTCCCATTTAAGTTATAAATTAAATAAAAATTAATTTTAATATTTTTATAAAGCATTCTAAAATTTTTAAGACATTTTAGAATGCTTCTTTTATTATTTTTACCCCAATTAGTATTGTCTAACAAAATATCCGACATTCACTATTCTGATTTGGATTTTTATTCTCCCTCAGATTCCCCCAAAAACAATTGGACAGTAAATTATGGAAGTTGGTTAACCCTTCCTTCTCTAGATTTTGCAGCAGCTGCATATTCGACTGATCCAAGCCCTTGTTTAGAAAAACATAAAGCAAAACTTGTTTTGCGCGTACAAGTGCCCTGTGATGCTTTTAGAGACGAGGTGAATTTTCTCTTAAAAAAGCCTAGAAAATATTATTTTCCCAATTTTCAAGTGTTGGGCATTCATTGCAATTTCAAAGCATTTTATAATATTTAGTGTTCGTGGTACTCAAACACAAACACAATTAATTGTTGAAATTATTGAATCGATGACTGGTAGCAAAATTTTAGAAAAAATTTTTTTTGAAAAATTCCTTCCAATTTTAGCCCCCAAAAAGGAATTCCCAGCAGGCGGTTCTGTTCAACATTATTTTTATGAGTCACTTCAGGCAATTTGGAATGCTGGTTTTGGTACAAAATTGGCAGAATTGAAAAAAGTTTTTCCCCAAGATTTTTACAAAAACTTGTTTCCTCTCATTTTCCAGGCTTATCCAAAATTGAAAGTTCTCTTTACCGGCCATTCTCTAGGTGGAGCAATTGCTTCATTGGCGAGTGCTCAATTTGCAATGGAAAATAATCGGACAATAAAGGCAATATAATTTATATTCAATAGAGTCTGGGTTTTGTGGGGGATGGTTTCTCTCTTCCCCCTATTTTCCAGACTCTAATGGGCTTTAAATTTAAAAATATTTTTTAGCCTAAAGAATTGTTGTTGGTGACGTTTGGACAGCCACGAGTTGGAAATATTGAATATGCAAAATTACATCGACGTCTAGTTCCAAATTCTTTTAGAATTGTGCATAGATATGGTTTTTTTCTAAATACTTTAGAAATACTGTAGAAAATAAGGAATGGTCAAATAGACTAGTTAACGACAAAACGTCCCCAAACCTTAAATAGGGACAAAACGGTTCAACCCTAATTATGGACAAAACGGTTCAACCTTAATTAGGGACAAAATGCCTAAACTTGTTTAGGACAAAATGATAAAAATATATCAATTACAAAATGGTCAAAACTTTTTTGGGACAAAATAGTAACCTCTTTTAAGGACAGACTGGTCAATACTTCATTAGGAACACTAAAATATTAACAAGTTTCATTCAGATTTGGTGCCACACATTCCCTACTGCTATGAAAGGCTAAGACGGCCACACAAGTAATACGAGAAAATTTTTTTCCTTAAAATTTCTGTAGATGTATCCCTTTACACGCTCACGGCCCCTTTCACCACCCAACAGAAATTTGGTATCCAACAGAAGAAATGAATTTAAATAATTCTTTATTTAAAATTTGTGACGGATTGCCTATTGGAGAAGACCAAAATTGCAGGCAAAATAAAATTTTTAAAAATTTTATCAAAAATTTATTTTCTAGTAATGCCTATTTTGTTCATTTTCAAGTTGGCGATCATTTAAAATATTTTGGAAAAATTATTCGTTTATATGGGATTAATGGGTGTCAGTGAAGAATTTAATTTTAAACAATCGAAGCAAGATAATGTAATCAAGCTTGAAAATGTTTTCAATTCGCTACCGTAATTGTACAGTACTCTCTAAAAAAATTTTTCTTTTATCTATTAAAATCCGCAAAATTAATCCGCAATTCCAAAATCTTTAAAAATTTTTTGTCCGCAAAAACTTGCGGACAAAAAATTTTGTCCGCAAAAATTTTTTTGCGGATTTTCACAAAACAGAAAAATTACCAAAAAATTATTTTTAATAAATTAAAAAAATAAAAGGCACAAATAAATTGCAAAAAAAAATTAAAATTTGAAAGAACGATACGCTCAATTTGAATAAATTTTCCTCCCCTCTTTCCCTCCCTTCATTTCCCCTCATAAAATACTACAACAACTAATTAAATTAAAAGAAGAATTTTTTTGTTTCTTTTGTTGTTTAATAATTTTATTATTTTTATTTATTTCTTCTTCATTATCTTCTCCATTTTCTGAAGGTAATAAATTAAATGAAGAACCAAAATAATTGGAAGAAGAAGAACGATTTTCTGACTTTAAAAAAAGAGAAAAAATTTTAGGTTAAGTCAATCCTTCCACTGTCAGTTTTTGAAGAAGAGAGGACATTTACCTTTAATTCCCTTTAATCTCTCCACGTAATTTTAAAGAAAAAGAGAAGAGATTCCCCCAAAATAAGAAGAAAGATTCTAATCACTTTCCCTTCTTGGGGTTCTTTCAAGCCAAATTTCCTCCTAGAAAAAAGGGAGGGGGGATAAAAGGAAATAGGAGCTTCCCTTATCTTTCTTTCTCTAAAATTAATCCGCAATTCCAAAGTCTTCAATAACTTTGTCCGCAAAAACTTGCGGACATCAAAATTCGTCCGCAAAAATTTTTTTGCGGATTTTGGTAAATTTTTACTCTTTCCAAAACTTTGATTTAAAAATCTAAACAAAACCTCAATTAAAATACTTTCGGCAATTGCTTGCATTGCTGTTTCAATTCCTCGACCATTCAAAGCTTTAAAAACAAAAAATTTTTATTTAAAATTAAAAAATTACCAGAAGTTTCAAAATATTTAGCATTTTGTTCCTCAGCAAATTTAACAGCTTCTTGTACACTAACCTTTCTTTCTCCATTTAAATCACTTTTATTTCCAATAATAAATAATAAAATATTTCTATATTCTGAATTATGCTCCAAAACTTTAAAATGCTCACAATCAGTGGACAAAATGGTCAGTGACTTAAATGGTCAGTCAACCGGAACTTCATATTAAAGACCGAGATTTTTGAAAAGCCTTGACCTGTTCCTGGACTCTAGAGTTTGATTTATTGACCTGGGCTGGATCCGTAGTCCAGGAGAAACCCAGGAGGTCTAGATCGATCTATACTTCTTATTAGGGCAAAATAAAAAATTATTTATAACCCTTTTTGGAGGGAATGAGGCTGTACGGAAAAATTCGATTTTCTGACCATTTTGAGACCTGACCGTTTTGTCCAAATTTTAAAATTTTTTCATTTTTTGAACGAAAAAATAAATTTAAGCAAAACCTTTAATCCAAAAACCCAATTCTCTAAAAGATTGACGATCTGTTATATCAAAGACAACAAGTGCTGCAGCTGTATTACGTAAATAAAGGGGAACCTTTTAAAATTAAAAAAATTTTTTTAAAGTTAAAAATTAAAGAAAAACCATTGAACGAAATCTTTCCTGCCCGGCAGTGTCCCATACTTGTAATTCAAATTCTCTTCCATCATTTATTTTTCTAAAATTAAAAATTGATTTTTCGTTTGCAGAAAATGTCCGCAAATTTAATCCGCAAATTCTAAAAAATATTTGCGGACAAAACTTGCGGATTCTGTGTAATGAAAATTTTAAAAAAATTCTAAACAAAAACTAACGGGCGTGAACAAATAAAAAAGGCTCCTTGAGTAGAACTTAATTTGCTAGTAAATCCTTGGCCATCATGACGAAGTAAAATTGAGGTTTTCCCGACGCCTTGAAAAGAAAAATTTTTTTTTGAAAATTTTCAAAAAAAAAATTTTTATTTAAAAAATTAAATTTATAAAAATTTTTCTAAATAAAAAATTAATTAAAATATCCAAAAATACCCATATTTCCCAACATAACAACTTTAGCTTTAAGTGGAAGTTGATGACTTGCTGCAGTCTTCTTGCCTCTTAAAAATCGAGTTTTTCTTTGGCTTGAATTTTGATGATTATTTTGTTGTTGATTACTACTTTCTCCTCCATTTTTATCCATTTTTTACAAAATAAAATAAATTACTGAAAAATCTAAAAAAATTTAATTTAAAAAATTTGCGGACAAAACTTGCGGACAAAATTGAATTTGCGGACAATTATTAAATTAAAAAGAAAAAATATTTAAAAAGACAAAACTTTATTTTTAAATTAAAAAAACAATTAAACTGTTATTCTTCTCCTTTTAAATAATTTTTATTTCTATTAATCATTTAATTTTTAACATTTATGAGAAAATTAAAAATAAAAAGAAAAAGCAATGTAGTAAACAAATATTTATAAAAATATTTGTAAAAATTAAAAATAATAAAAAAAAATAAAAGTGCAAATGAAATATAAAATTGAAAAATCAGAAAAATAAAAAAAACACCGAAAAAACTAAAAAAATAAAATTTAAAAAAATTCAGAAAATTTTGCGGACAAAATTTGCGGACAAGTACGGAAGGGGTTGTGGGAAAGAATTTTTAAAGAAAAATTAGCAAGTGCGGGTTTTTAATTTTAATATAATTTTTGATAAAAATGATAAAGAAAGAATATTTTTACTTTTTATATTTTAGATTGCACCAATCAGACAGGAAGTAAATTAACTATACTAAAACGATATAATTGTTTACAAGTTTTTCATCTTAAAAAAGTGAATTTTTATTAAAGCGAAAATTTTTAAACGATAATTTAGAGAAAAATAAACAAAAGACTTTAAAAATAAAAGCGAAAAATAACAAAAAAAATTCCTCTAGCACGGCCGCGGTAGTGTTCTCTTACCTATTGTTAGCACTTCTACGCCGTGCCCGCACAAAATACCGAATTCTCAAAATCGCGAATCGGCTAAAAAAGCTCAAAATACCGAATCGGGAAAAATATCTCAAAATATGGAATCGGCCAAAAAAGCTCTAAATATGGAATCTTAAAATATCGAATCTCAAAATCTCGAACAGGCTAAAATGCTCAAAATACCGAATCGGCTAAAAAGTAAAAAAAATGTCGAATTTTTTAAAAACGAAAAGGGCCGTTTGAGTGCCGCCAATTGAGTGCAGGTCTTTTTCAGTTTATTCAGGGGTCTGTATCTCAGTCCAATAAAGTCGGATTTCATTGATTTTGGTGTCAGTCGATGCAGCTCGACGTGCTCTTTCAAATGAGCTATCATTCGGAAAATCGAAATTCGGTTCGGGATTCGAAGCTCGGTTCGGGTCTGGGATTCGACTTTTTCAAAATCCGAGCTCAGATTCGTAATCAGCATATTTTTTTACCCTAGAAAAACCCTTTTGCATATTTTTAAATTTTTTTCGAAGTTGTTGATAAAATTGTTCAGACTCAACTGGCTTTTGCCGCATTGTCGATATTTTGAGCTTTTTTGGCCGATTCGATATTTTGGGATTCCATATTTTGAGATTCGATATTTTGAGATTCCATATTTTGAGCTTTTTTAGCCGATTCGCGATTTTGAGATTCCATATTTTAAGAATTCGGTATTTTGTATGGGAGCCCTTCTACGCTCAAGAAAAAGTTGTTTTTCTCTAATTTTTGAAGAAAAATTAACTGTAAATAAAAAACCAGCCGTCCGCCATTTAATCGCAGGAGTGCCAGCCGTTTGCCATTTAATCGCAGGGAGACCAGCCGAGTGCCATTTAATCGCTGAGCTAATTTTGACGCAACTATGATACTTTACTGAAACACCATTTAAGTCAGTATAGTTGAGTACATGGTATTAAAGGGTCATTGTGGAAAATTGGGTGATTTTAGGAGGATTAAGGATTATGATTAGGAGAATTTAGGATAAAGAGGGGTATTGGATTTGAATTTGGAAAAGCTTCGAGGTAATATGCATATAAATCAGTAAATCCGAGAAAAAAACGAAATTAAATATAATGAAAATATTTGAAACAAATGGTCAAAAATGACAAATATTTGAACAAATATCAATTTTTAAAATTTTCAAAACATCAATAAGCAGGGTTGTACTCCGAACTAACAGGAGCAGGCATTTCGGTTCCCCGCACCGAATCAGCGAGGAAGTTGAGTTCGTGACAGAGGATCGGTGTTTTAAGTAATAATTACAGGATAAAGTCTAAAAATATAACGATCTCAGGACGTATTGGTTAATTTATCAGGAATTAATGGGGATTTGGAGTGACTAAAGGGGATACCTGAGAATATAAGTTGATTTTAAGAGATAAGTAGATCTGAAGATAAAAAGGTTTTCTGGGTATATAAGTGGATTTAGAGGGATTAAAGTGGTGGTTTAAAGTGTTGTAATTAATTTGGAGGAGAAAGTATTGTGAGATTAATGTTTTGAAGGAAATAAGGGAGATATCAAGATATTTAGAAGAATCCTTCTTTAATCAACACAATATATTACTTCAAAGCAGCCGCACTTAAACAGCCATAGCCTAAACTTTAGAAAATTTAAGGAGATCAAACAGCAGATTTCTTACTTTAATGCGCCGCAGGCAAAAATTTGAGAATTCTTTAAGGTTTAATCACCCGATATCCCTACAAATCTGATGATTTACCTGCAAAGCCCCCGATATCCCACTTAATCTCCCGATTTTTCTCCTAATCAATCGATATCCACCCAAGCCATTTTATATCACCCTTAATCCACCGAAAGCCATCCTAATCCCCATGTATTACTTTTAATTCCCATATAGCCCCCTCAATCCCATGATATTAATTTTAGACTATATGGTTTTAAATTAACAACTTTTCACCATTTTCTAACTAAAAAATTGAATTTTTGGGATAATCAAATAACTTTCATATTATTTGATATTTGATCATCCCATTATATCAATTGATATAAATGAAATCAAATTTAATCAAATAGTTGATTTTCCGAGGTAAATTATATGTTTGGTCTAATCTCCAACGGAAATGTGAATTTTATGTGTCATTGGTACATAATGTACTAAAAACTTTGCCTTCGTGCCAAAATCTAGAAGGCAAATCGTTGTCTTGCTATGTTGTTTTTCAAAGTAGAATGGATTAAATCGTCTTCGACTGTTTGTAGGATATACCGTATTTTCTCGATTAATTTCCCTGGGAAATTATTTTTTCAACCTATCTCTGGCAGGGGGAATTAATCGAGGGAGGGGAATTATTTTTTCAACCCATTCCTGAATTTTAAAAAGTATGAAGTTTTGGCATTCTCTTTTCTTTCTTTATTTATCTACTATTTCATTATATTCCCCATCATGAATCCATAAAACATGCATATGGTTACTTAGTTCATTATGTACTCGAAAGGTGTTACGACAATTGCGGATACGCATGTGCGGATGCGACAATTGCGGATTAAAAATTTTTTAAAAATTTTAAAAATGATTGAAATGATATTCCGTTTTTTTGTCCCGGCTGTCAGCTTCAGACTTCTGACGGTTTCCGAATCATTTTTAGACAAATGTGGCACTTAAAAAATCTTAAACTTTTTAAAAATTTTCTATCCTCAATCGCCGCATCCGCACGTGCGTATCCGCAATTGACGTACCGCCACTCGAAAATGGGTGTATTAAGACTATGGTACCACATAAGGGGTCATTGTATGATACGATACTAAGGGATATATATTATATCACCACGTATGGAACCATATAAACTTACCTGCTTTATATATTATTTTTTGTACTATCCCATTATCCCACTATTTGAATTAAATTTCGTCTCCTTCGAATATATCTCCTGTTATCCCTTCAATCCTCTGATATTTCCTGATTACGTTCAAATCTATTGCTATCCTGTAATACGCCATCCCTAAATCCTATACCTTGATATTTCAGATGTTAAATCTACTTTGATCCATGTCTACTTTTTTAAGAGAGGGAAAAAGGAGAAGAAAAAAAAGTGTAATTCTTTTGAGAGAGGGGAATTATTCGAGGGAGGGGAATTATTGTTTCAACCTTTCTCTGGCAGGGGGAATTAATCGAGACGGAGAATTATTCGAGGGAGGGGAATTAATTGAGAAAATACGGTAGTGGGATTTAGGGAATCAAAAAAGGATAATAAAATATTTTCGACCTCTTATAGACTGTTTTTAATTTACTATCTATACTTTTTAAAGGGAGCAGGCCAACTTTCTGCAAGCCCAACTTACCGCAGAGCTATAACTTTGTTCAGAATTGTCGAACCCGGTACGTCTTGGTATGTTTCGATGCGCCTCAACGAGCTGAATCGAACCATACCAGGGCGTCCCGGATTCGACCATTCTGAACGAAGTTATAGCTCTGCGACGAGTTGGGCTCGCGGTAAGTTGGGGTGTACCCCTTTTTAAAAGACATGAAATTTGCCGAAAGAAGCTATCACATCCTTATTATCACATCCTTTTTGCGCCGCAGGCGAAAATTTTGGAAAATTCACGACTAAGTTAAAATTTTTAAACTTTTCTCAAGTTAAAAATTAAAAAATACTACCATAAAATTAAAATCAAAGTTTAAAAACATTTATTTTTGGAAAGAAAATTTTTAAAGTACATTTCCATACCTGGATTCGAAACTTAACCCACATCAACAAAAGGAGATCGGTTAACCGGTTTTGAACTACCGTATTTTGGAGGTTCCAAAGGGAAAATCGAGTGTTTTGTGGATTGATTGTATGTAGGCTCAAGAGGGCTTTAGGGGAATATTTCAATAACCGTAGATTTTGAGTGAAACCAAGTGCTGACTTGCACTGTCAGCAAAATTTTTTTCAGCAAAGCGAAACTTAACGAAACCTAAATTTTTTTAAAAAACGTTTCGGTATCGAAGAACTAATTGGATTTATTGTCGAAAATACACTGTTTTAAAGCCAAATCTTAAGTCAAAAAATAAAATTTTCTACTTTGTTGCTAATAATTTAAAATTTTTAAAAAAACCTCTGAAATCTGAATTTTAAAAAACTTATTTTTGGATCGCGGAATATTTTATGTCTAAAAACCTTTTAACAAAAACTCATTTTTTACAAAAAAACTACTTAAAAATAAAACCAAAAAAATTAAATTTGAATTTTTAAAAATTTAAAAAACTAATGTACGAGCGTTGAGGTGCCGCGAAGCGGCACCTCAACGCTCGTAAAAAAGTAAAAGAACAAAGTATGTTGGCGATAAATTATTCGGTGAATTGTCTGGAATCAGGACAATTCACCGAAAAAATTCACCGGCGAATTGTCTGGAATAAGGAGACAATTCACCGAAAAAATTATTCGGTGAATTGTCTGGAATAAGGACAATTCACCGAAAAAATTATTCGGTGAATTGTCTGGAATAAGGACAATTCACCGAAAAAATTCAGCGGTGAATTGTCTGGAATAAGGAGACAATTCACCGAAAAAGTTATTCGGTGAATTGTCGGGAATAGGGACAATTCACCGTTAACATCTAAAAATTAATTTATAATTCACTCCAAAAAATGTAAAAACAACACAAATTAATCATTCTACTTTAAACTAAAGGGAGAAAAAATAGAAAAAAAAATATTTAAAAATGTAAAGTGTGTGTCATTTGTAGGCTTTAATAGACTAAAACAAAAAAAATTGTCCAATTGATCAGAACAAATAGAAAAAAAAGATGAGAGATAATCGATTAAATATATTTGTTTTAAAAAATTGAAAAAAATTTTTTTTTAATATAAACTTTTAATAAGAAAAATTCATCACAAAAAAATCTCTTACAAACCCATACAGGGCGCAACAAAAAGATGGGCACTTTTACGTTGAGTTATGTCGAAAGACCATGATGTGCCATATTTTCTTTACGCAGTGTATAGTATTGTTATTATAATCAAAGCTTAGTATAATATAACGGGATTAATTAACTCATTCCCCATTAATTAACTCATTTGAATTAAGGTTCTTGAATTGGTTAGTCATTGTTGGGAGTAAATAGTAAATGTCCAAAAAACTCTATAACGAGATTCGACAATATTAACAATTAAAAATTGTTCTGTTATTTTTCAAATTAATAAATTAAAGCATTAACAAAGATTCCGATAGGCATTAATTACAAAACTCAGAATTTTAAAGAGGAATATTTTTACATTTAGAATTTCTTTAAAATAATTTTAGATTTTTGGGATAAATATGAAAAGCAGATAAATAAGAAAAAATATTCTAAGAATATTAAATAATAAAATAAATTAGTATAACAATGGTTGCATTTTTATGTTTCACTTTTAATATACGAGAAATAATTTAGGTCGTTAATACAAAGAACAGTCCAAGAAACAAAAAATAATTTTAATTAATTAATAAACAAACATTTCTATCAAGTTGTAAATAAAAGTTTTTGGAGGTCATTTAGAAAAAAGGAAAAAACTTTAAAGCACTGGAATTAAATTTACCCATTTTCTCAGCCAAAAATTCATTTTAGGAAAATTTTTTATTTAATTAAATACTCCATTTAATTATCTACTAGTTATGTTTGTATAGAAAGAGTTTGCAAAAGTTTAGCCACCGGGCAGGATTCGAACCTGCGACCACCTGCTAGTTGTTGCTAGGCGCTTTCGCTCACTATATGCAGGAGCTCTACCTCTGAGCTACCGGGGCATCGACTAATGCTTTCTCTTTTTCCTTTTTAGATCGTTTATCCCCCGCCTAAGCGTTTTAAATGCTGCTAGGTGAATCATCCTTACAGTATCAGGGGTGGCGCAAGTGCCAAAAATTACGAGACACGAGATTTCACAAGATACGAGATGAGCGCCACCCCTGGTTTGTATGTATGTAATGACTATTGAACTATATTGAGACAAATTGATCATCAAAAGAATATGAAAAAATTTTTCAAAAGAACCAGAATTTAGTTTAGAAATGAGGATTTGTTTAACTTGCACGACATGAAAAGGTGTGAACTTGTATTTGAATGTTTTCTTTGGCTTACGGGCCGAGTTGGTTGGAAGTGCCCAGAAAAGTGACTACCGAAGGAAGAAGTTGAAAGATAAAGTTGTGTAAAGAATTAAGCTTGTCAAAAGTTTTCGAATTGTAAATCCGACAAAATCTCTTTGTGAATTTACTATAAAAGCAAAGAATCTTTTAAATAACCACCAATCGTTCCCATAACAAACAGTCTTCAACAACGGTTCACTCTTTTATCAACGACAGTTTCTCCGCGTTCTACAAAGATGTCTAGGAGCAGAATCGCTTTCTGTTTGTTGCTGCTACTCCTCTCCACGTTTTGCGATGCAAAGTAAGTTTCTCCTCAAAACAATTTTTTGTTATAAAAGTTCAAATTGTATTTTACAGCAATGACACAGAGCAAAGTCAACAGAGCAGTACAACGGGAGAAGGGTTTCAGAGCGATGGACATGAACAGGAAGAAGCCAGCAAAGTAGAGGTGCAGCAAGACAATTCCACCAAGAATGATGAGACAAAGGACGATGGATCGAAAGTTGAAGTTGACGAGGGTGTTGAAGTTCAAAAGGAGGAGGTCAAAAGCCCTGAGAATGGAGAGCAGAACAAGGAAGATGTAGATGAAATTCAGAAGGAAGACATCGCTCCTGAAAACAAGGACAAAGAAGGTGAAGCTGAAGTTCAGAAGGAAGAGGTCATGCCTAAAGAGAACAAAGAAGGAGCCGACGACGTCAAAAGTCCCGAGAACGAGGATCAGGCCAAGGAAGATGGAACCGAAGTTCAAAAGGAGCAGGCCAGCCCCTCTGTGAACGGGAGCAAAGAAGATGGGATCGAAGTTCAGAAGGAAGACACCGAAACCCCTGTGAACGAGAACAAAGAGAAAGAAGATGAAGATCAAAGTGAGGAGGTCAAACCACTTGAGAACGATAACAAAGAGGATGGAAAAGAAGTTCAACAGGAAGAGGTCGGAAGTGCTGAGAACGAGGGTCAGATAAAAGAGGATGGAGCTCAAGCTCAGGGTGAGGATGCCGGAGACCAAGAAAGTGGCAGCACAGACACGACGAAAGAAACTCGATAAATTTTGTTTTGTTGACTTCTCTTTTCATTTTCAGGTTTGTTGAATCTACACCGACTGGACCTTCTTTGAATGGGAGTTTTAATAACCAGACAAGGTAAACTGAACGAACAAAGTTTTTAAAGACTAATTTTATTTTCTTAGTTTTCCACCAAACAATGCTACCTGGGATCCAACAAGTAATGCGCCCCCGGAACCGTCAGATACGTCAACAGAGCCGCCTGGAACGACCACAGATCCAATTGAACCGTCAACAGAAACAACAGGACAAAAGACCGGACCACCAAGCGAGGAAACCAAATCAAGTGCACAAACAACAACAACAGTTGCAGCAAGTACAGAAAGTAGTGGCAATCTTCCCCTAATTGGCGTCATCATTTTCTTGGTTCTCCTGCTGATAGCCATTTTTGTTTGTTGTTGTATGCTGAGGAAAAAGAATCCGGAAGATGATAAAGATTTGGAGAGGCAGGATCTCGCATCCGATGGTGGTTCGTCCAAAACTGAAGGTTCTGAACTTGGCAAGAAATTAAAAGGCGCTGAAAGTGAAGCGAAGACAGAAGAGAAGGAAGAGTAAGAAAAACTTGTTTTAAACTTTCTCTAAACTTCTCAATTTTTAGAGATGAAATGGAAACGGCGCGTGGAACAGGAACCGAACTCTTCTCTTATGCTCCCGGATCTGAGGACACGGCAATTTCAGTAAAGGAAAAAACAGCGGTTGAAGTAAGCAAACGTTTGGGGAGTTGGTCTGCTGCTGGTGGAAGGGGTAGCATGAAAACAGCTGTGCTAAGAGATGAATTGGAAGATGATGAGGCAGGGTTTGAAAATGCAAAGACAGCCGTGCCTGGAGAGGGAAGGTATGGGAAAATATTTTTGTAAAAATTTTAAAATTTCTCAAAAAAAATTTTTTTCAGTGGAGCTACAAAGACTGCAGCAGCACCAGATGCAAAAGAATCGTCCGTAGAGGACAAGGAAGGAAGAGGAGGGGCAAAGACAGCAATTAGTGGTGATGATACAACTGGAGAGACAAAAACTGATGAAGAAAAGAAGGAAAATGAAGAAGAGAAGAAAGAAGGAAAGGAAGAAGCAGCTGAAGGAGAGGAAGGCTCGGAAGAATAAAAGAATTTGTAGAAGTAATGAAAGATGTTGAGAGAATAGATGTAAAAAAGAATAATTGTACATAATTGTAAAAATTAATCTTTTCTTTCCTTCTGTGATATTTGTAAAATATACATATGTGTTGATTTTTGGTTGAAAATGAATTAAATAAAAAATTTTTTATTGAAAATCAAAATTCTCAAATTTTAATGTGTAAAATAAAATTTAACTGAAAAAATATTCGACTAGCAAAATAGAAGGGATTATGGGGATATCCTATCCCCTTTTTATCAGGAGCTAATCGTCGTCATGTTTAATTATCGTTTAAATTCTGTTTTGTATACTTTAAAATAGAAAACACAGAGTCCTGCTAATCTGATATAATTGACGTACACACACATTTCACAAATCCATTTAAATTTTTTAAGCCCCGCCAAAAGGCAAAACAATTCCAAAATTTATCCAAGTTGCCACCTTTACAGGGCAAGATACAATTAGTACCTCAAACTTGGGTAATTAAACCGAAGACTGCAACAAAAGTAAAATATACAAGCAAAAAATAAGAATAAATTTCAGACGCTGCATAAAATAAAAAATTTTAAAGAGAAGAGTGTAAGAACACTAAATGTTTATACTTTCTCTCATTCATTTTCATTTCTCTGATTGAAGGACTTCTCTTTAGTTCTCTTTAAAAAAGCGAAAAAATGCCCAAGCGCTGAAAAATAACGAAATCTCTACAATGCACATACAATCAAAATGGTCAGAAAGGGAAAATATTTGAAATTGTCACTACTCTAGAATCACATATTTTGAATTTGGGTTTTCAATAATGTATTTGCAAGACCTCTTTTTACGGAACGTCCCACATCAGTCCCTGGCCATTTCAGTCCTGAGCTTGTAACTCGGGAATTTTCTAATAATTTTTTGAACTTTTAGTATCATTGGATAGAGGATTAAATTCTCTACAAAATAATACCAAAGATAAAATAAACTTATCAACTGATAATGAAGTTATAATCAAAAAACCGCCACTTTTTAAAAAAGTCATTTTTTTGCATGTTTTTTGATCATAACTTTGGTACCTGTCGATCAAATTTCTTGATCAATAGCTTATTTTGTAGCTTAATTAATCCTCTATCCAACGATACCAAGAACCCCAAAAACTACTCGAACCTTCTCGAGTTATAGAGCTCGGGACTGAAACGTCCCGGGACTGAAATGTCCCCTACCGCTCTTTTTAGCCTTATGTTTTTTTCTTTCGGATGTCAAAGAGACGTAAAATTCGACGAAGAACATAATAAAACGAGAAAGAGAACATAACTAAAAAGAGAATTTTTTTAATAAAAAATTTCTTTAATCAAAAAATATTTCAAAAAAATTTTTCTTGCTTCGGAAAAAACGTTTTTTACAACATTAAGTTATTTATTTCAGAAGACCGTCGTATTTATCTTCATTAGCAAGATAATGGATTCGAACCCCCAACATGTCCCCCTCAAAAACCAGAACACTAACCACTCAACCACCGACTTTAACAATAGCAAAATAAATTTAAACCTTAAGAAGACAAAAATTAAAACAAACCCTCTTCCGGTTGAGAACCTCTAAAGTAGATAATTTCAAGATTACCCAAAATTAAGGGACAATTCGAGTCAAGTTGCATAATAAATGTAAAAAATATTCAGTTAAAATTAAAATATACCTAACTCATTCTCAAAAAAATAAAGAATATATTTATTTATTTAATATTTTGTAAAAACAAGGCAAATAAATAAAAAATTTTAAATGTGAAAAATCTAATTTTTTAATAAAAAAAAGGGAAAGTATACATTATAATTTAAAATGGCAATAAATTTGGTTTGATTCTAAACAAGACACAGATTATAGAAAATTTTTGTATAACCGTAAATATCCAAATAAAAACCCTGGACGTCTATTTCAATGAATATCTTTGGAGGTGTGCTTCTTGGACATAGGGATATTTACGGTGATTTAAATTTTACATAAAACTATTTAGCTTTTTAGGTAGATGAGACTTTACAAGGATTTAGGGAAAATTAGAAATTATATTGGAAGAGGAGGGATTCTAACTTGAATTTAAAAATTAAATGATCGAATATCACAAATTTTAGGCAAAAAATTATTATAAATTAGAACCCCTCAAAGTATAAAAAATACAATCGGACTTCACTTGTAAATAAACTTTAATTTAAAAATATTTTTTGATTAATTATAATTGAGGAGCAAATTATAAGTAATAGATCTAACTAGAGAACGGACGGTACCGTAGTACGACCGATATTTTTCGGTATCGGTATTTCAGTACGGAATACTGTTCAGTGCGAAATTCCGGTCTCTAGATCTAACTTGTTTGTACCAGGGAACGAGCCGTCCTGATTTCCCGAAAATCGGTTAATTTTGTCTTTTTTGTCGGCTCATTCACTGGTGTATACAAATGGCTCTCCCCCGAGGATGCATAAATAAATGAGGTCCGACTGTATATTTAAATAATTTATAAAAATGTTAATTTAATTAAATTAGTGTCCTTCTCATGGCCACAGAAAAATTAAAAAAAACAATTCCTTCAAAATTTCTATAACCTTTTCATTCTCATTTGTGTATTGGATAGAGGTAATTCATAAGCATTTTCTTGATCAGAATGTTCTGAAAATTAAAAATAATTTAAAGGAAGATAAATTTTAAAAAATTTAAGAAAAAATTTTTTGTAAAATTAAAATTAATTTTGAGAAAAAATTTTTAGAAAAAATAAAAAAATATTTGATCAAATAATATATATAAAATACTCCGACTTTTAAAAAAGCAGAGAAAATTTTTAAAAATTTTTTAGAATATATTTAGAAGATTAAAAGAAAAAACAGAAAAGAAAGACGGATAAAAGAGAGAATTAGTAGTTAAATTTTAAGGAAAAATAAAATGAAATTAATTAATTTGGGGATGGACGAAATTAGAATTTACTTAAAAACTGCCCATTCCTAAATAGCGTAGAATTAAAAAAAATATACTTCCCATTGTTAAATTAAAAAAAAATTAAATTGTAATATTTTTTTAATTAAAGAAAAAATAACGGAAAGAAAGGAGAGAGGAGAATATAGGCAATCCCCAAAGAAAAAAATTTTTTGGAAAATATTTTTATAAAAAATCCCCTTTTTTTTTGTTAGTATTTTTAAAAAAATTGTTAGTAAAAAATAAAATAAAAATTTTTTGTTAGTAAATACCGCCTCCATTATTTTTGTCCAAATTATTTTCATCTTCATCCAGTTTTGAATTTAATTTATTATTTTTATTAAAAGAAGGAGGAGAAGGTGAAGGAGAATTTTTACAAGAAGAAGAAAGCAAAGGCGTACTCGAATCTTTAATTAAAAGTTTTGTTCCACCATTTAAATTATTATTTTGAATATATGAAGGAGTTGTGGAGGTTTTTGGTCTAAAAGTAGTATCACTACAAGTAGCATAACCAACTTCATCTTCCATATCATCCATTGTTGCATAAATATCTGTTGAAAGAAAAGGAAATAATTATTAAAGTAAAAGGGAAAAAGAAAAAGTTTTGGGTAGCTACCAGTATTTGTAAGCTTATACATAATTCGAAACTTGTGTATGAGTGACGGGAAAAATAAGGCCCGCATGAAACAAAATTCAAAGAACTGATAGCTACAGGAATTTTAAAATTAATATTGGTAGGAAAACTTTAAAGATTTCAATAAACAGATAAAAAATATGTACGCAAATACTTATGGCAAATACTTATGGTCAATTATTTATGGTCAATAAATTCCTAGGAATAAAAATCTCCGGTACGCAACAATGGAGTTTATTATCCTAATTAAATAAGGTAAGAGAAATTCATTGTCAGTCTATATGGAAAAAGAAATTAGTTTGGAAAATAAATATAAATTGTTGAAAATAAAGTTAACTTAATAGTTAGTAACCAATAGTTCCCAATAAATTAAAAAAACCAACTTTCAACTCTATTATTATTATTATTCATAATTCCACGCATTTGCATAGATTCAGCCTTTTCTTTTTGTGCTAATATAGCCAAATCATCATCAATAATACCAGAATCTCTAGCCTCTGGATTGTCAAAAAGTCTATTTGTAAAGCCCCCATCATCCCCTTCCCTTCCATTTATATTATTATTTATTGTTGTCCCTCCAACACCATTAATTGATAAATATTCATCTCCGCTATATCTATAAAAAAAATTTCGTTGATTTTAAAATAAATGTATTTGCAAGAATTAGACTTAAAATATGGTTCCGAATCGTGACTTGAAATAGAGGACGGACTTGAGTCCCAGGACGGACTTGAATTGAAAACGGGAACCCTACTAGAACAAGCATATGGTATAATGAGACAGGGCCCAATATGAACCTCTAGTTAAGAAAATTTTGTTGGCTTTAAAAGAGACTAGCTTAATATTTTTGTTTCAAAACGGAAGCTGGAATTTTACTTAGAAATTTTATAATTTTTAAATAAGGAAGCTGTCCGATCTATTTTCCCTTTAAAAATCAAAATTTTTTATTTACTTCACTACAGCTGGAGGATTCTTTTCATGATGATATTTACGTCGATAATAAACAACAAAAACAATTAAAATTCCAGAAGATAAAAATAATATTAGTAAAGCCATCCAAACATAAGAAGCAATTGATGTTGACGTTTTTTGTTGTTCAGCATCTTTTAAAAATATTTATGTCAGTATATAAATAAAATACAGAAATTTACAAAAAAGAACCGAAATTACTAGTATAAGGAACTTGGGGTATTCAGATTTTTTAAATAATATTTTACTCTCCAAAAATTGGGATAAAATTCTGAGAAGTCAATGATTTGATTTTGATTAAGGCTACAATCCCGGAGAAATCTTCGGATATCTGAATTCGATACATGGAACCGATCCAGATCCCCCTCTTAACATGTTATGTATAGAACAAATTTTTAATTTAAAAAATCTGTTCCAATATCCCCAGATGAATTTATTTTTAAATATTAAAATTCTAACCCAAAGGTACGAAAACAGGAGGAAAAAATTTAATTAAAATAAATTTTATTAAAAAAACCACATACAAGCCAATCCACAATAACCAGTATTTGGAGTACAACAACCAACCACAGGATCACATATTTGTTCTTCAGGACATTTTCCACAAGTTTGTTTACAATCTTTTCCATAAGTTCCAGGTGGACAAGTTTTCTCACATCTTTTACCCAAATAGCCAGGATTGCAAAGGCTTAAATAAAATTTTATTTTAAAGAAATTTAAAAATTTTTAGAAAAATTGTGGATTTTTAATTCACACCAGAAGTTTAATTACACGATTTAAGGCCCGATAAAATATAAAATTAAGGTATAAAAAGTTCAGTTTTAGATGAGTCCCAATCCGTGGTTCGCCAACAATCTTGGCTAGGTATTAAAGAGATAAGAAGATGCTCTTCCCTCGTTTTGTTATTTTCTGATTTTATGTGAAATGATCATAAAAATCCAAAATTGGACCTTTATTCAATTTAGTACCGTTGTGAGAAAAGAGTCTCAACATATTATCAATTTATAAAAAAATACCATTGTCCAGTAGTTGCTTGACATGTAGACGTTTCAGTTCGGCAGCTACATTCTTTTACACAATCAGGCCCCCACCAACCAGGTTCACAATATTTATCACAAAAATCTCCTTGTAAACCTTTAAAAGGAATTTTGAAAATTATTTAAGTTTCTATTTAACCAGACGCGCATTCACAAGAACCAGTAACTGGATCACACCGTTTGCTTAAACTTGCACAGCTACAATTTAACATGCAATTGAGGCCATAAAATCCATCAGAGCAATGATGTTGACATAAATCGCCTTCAAAACCAGGTGGGCATTTACATTCTCCATCACTAAAAATTTAAAAAGAATTAGGATCTACATAAATATTTTTTTCTCATTTTCGAAAAGAAAGATGGAATTTCAGGAATTATTTTGAGACCAGACCAGTCTACCACAGAGCAATAACTACTAAATCTAAAACGCCATAGCAAGTCAATCTTTGTATCAACCGAAGCAGCACTGTGAAAAGCGTCTAATTATGCCAAAAATGTCTGGACACAATTTTTAAAGCTTCGTTATAAGCTCTGCAGTAGAGTGAAATGCAACAGACCGTCCCATATATTTTTATCCATAAATTTCCTGCCTCGTTAATTTCAAGAACTTTTTTCTTGAACATTTTCCCGCCTCAAAACAAGAACCGATTCAACAATTTAGTTTAAAAATTATTCTCAAAATCCTTCTTACATTGCCGAACATATCCCTCCATTTTGACATGATCTGCATTTTTGACTACAATTAAAGCCCCATGTGCCTTCTGGACATTTAAGCTCGCATTGAGTACCAGAATATCCAATAGCACATTCACACGTTCCATCTACTGAAGAGCAATCACCGCCAAGAGAATTACAATTACATTGTTGTGAACATCCACTACCCCAAGTATTTAAAGAGCAACTTTGTTCACAAAAAACGCCGCTTTTTCCAGTATCGCATTGCAGACAATCTTTAAAAGTTTTTTAAAATTAAAAAAAAATTTTTTAAGCTCACAGCCAGTAACATGATCACAATTTTCGTTATTACCACAAATAGAACTACATTTTGTGGCGCAACCTTTTCCAAACCAACCATGTTCACATACTATTTAATAGAAAAAATAATTTAAAATAGTAATCGTTTTAGTAAGATAAGTAGAAAGTTATTTTTAAACTATAGAAGAAAGCCTTAAAAATACAGATATAATAACAATAAGATCCGGTAAGGAGGAATAATTTTTGTATTTTAAACAGGGTACCCTTTCCAAATCACCAAAAGGGGGCATGGCTTCCCAAAAAGGGGGCGATTTTAGTCAAAAGGGGGCAAATGCCTCCCAAATAAGGCAAAAGGGCCACCCTGATTTAAAAAAAAAGTATCAGGCGTTCAATCAAGCTGGGTCGACAATTTAGAAATTATGTAAACTCGAATCCAAACAGCCAAGGAGTAAAATAATAACTATCTCCTCTCCCCGTGGTTGACAAAAAATTATAAAAAATATTTTTTAAAGAACCAAACCTTCTTCACATTTTTTCCCAATCCTTCCATCCTGACAAACACAATGTCCAGTATGTTGAATACAAGTACCAAAACCAGAACAGTCACAATCGAATTCACATTGTCCACCCCATTTATTTGGTTCACATTTACTATCACAATTATCCCCTTTCCAGCCATTTGAACATTTACATTTTCCAGAAAACTAAAAAAATAAACTAGTTAGAAAAAAATTATTTTTTTACAAAAATTTTCTAAAACATGTTTTTTAGAATAAGCATTATTATTCCATTCCTCTTTTATTTAGTGTTAGTATTCCACTTATTAATCTTCCTTTATTTATTATTACCTTGTTATTTTTGGATTAGACTTAAATAAGGTTGGGGGCCCGGTCCAGTCCGAAAGATTAAGCCGGGCATCGAATTTTGGCCCGAAAAAGATTCGGTCGGGCCGGCCCGATAAAAATGAAACCCGAAAAAAGAAAAAATGACTCGAACGTCGGCCCGACTCAAAATCCCAACCCTACTTTTATATGTAATTATTAGATTCCCTCGTTCCCAATAGTTTCCATTTTACTATTTACTAACAATCACCTATTAAAAATATTATATTCACAAAAGATAATCATTCCTTCAGAAACTTTCCACAAATATCAAAATATTTTTAAAAATACATCTATTTATTTACCCTATCACATTCAGCCCCATTTTCACAATCACATTTTTGTTTACAGTCAATTCCATAAGTTCCTTTAGCACAAGGTTTGTCACATTTTGTGCCAGTCCAGCCAGCTCCACATTGACATTTTCCGGTTAAAGGAAGACAACCCGCATCATTATGACAGTCACAACTTTTACATTTTAAATTTGCTGTTTGTCCCCAACAAGGTAAAGAACAACTTGGACCTCTCCAGCCTTCTGTACAATTACTAGAAAATTATTAAATAAAATCTTTTTCAAGAAAATTCTAAAAATAGACCAAAATCCATATCGAAAATCGCATTCTGCCCCATTTTTACAATTACACTTTGTGGCACATCCCATTCCATAGAATCCTGGAGGGCATTTTTGGTCACATCTTTAAAGAAATTTTTTAAATTTTTTTTTTCTAAATTTTCCAAAAAAAATTTCAAACTTTTCTCCAGTATATCCAGGAGGACATATACACTTCCCATCCACTGGATCACAAGAAATTCCTGCCACAGAAGCACATTTACATTGTTTTTTGCAGTTTTCCCCAAAAGTTAGGGGAGGACATAAAGAATTGCATCCACCTCCAGTATATCCAGGTTTACAAATACAAGCACCAGTTTGTGGGTGACAACTTTAGAAAAAATTATTTTTTTTAATAAAATTAAATTTAAAAAATAAATATACAGTTGTGTGTTATTTAAATTACAAGCACAAGAATGTTCACATAAAGTCCCAAATCTGTCAACTGGACAAACTAAAAAAATAAAATTAATTTTAATTATTTTTTAAGATTTAAATTTGTTTTAAAAAATTTTTTTTATCCTTTTAACATTATTTTCCGTTAATTTCTAATGAAAACTAGTTACAATAAACAAGAAAAAAAAGAAATGCCACGACCCGGGATCGAACCGGGGACATTTAGATCTTCAGTCTAACGCTCTCCCGACTGAGCTATCATGGCAACGAAAGGAAATAAAATAAAATTGACTAAATAGTAAAGGAGAAAATGAGGTAAATATGGAAAACGGAAAGGGAAGCAATAACACAGAAATTAAAAAAAATTTTTTAAAAATACAAAAAAATTTAAGAAAAAAGAAAAACCTTTTTGTGTACAATTTTCTCCTCTAAAACCCGGCAAACAAATACAACTTCCATTAAATCTTTCACATTTAGCCTCAGATTGGCAATTACAAGTCTTCGAACAGTCCAATCCATAATTGTCTCTAGGGCAAACAGATTGACATCTTTTGCCAGAATAACCATAACACAAACATTTTCCGTCTCTAGGATCACATTTATTATTATTTAAACAATCACATTGCGAAGAACAATTTAAACCAAAAGTTCCCTGTTCGCAAGGAGTTTGGCAAAATTCTCCCTTTAAAAATTTCAAAACATAGGGTAAATTATTTAGATTTTAGTTAAAAATTAATTTAAAAAATAGAGGATGATCTAGAGTAAAATATAAATAAATTAAAATATTTTTAAAAATTATCTCAAATTTTCTAGAAAATTCCAAATTAATTTAAAATTCGTTTTTAACCTAAATTTACGTTGATTTATTACAAGAACCGAAAGAATTAGGCAAAATTTGCCAACATTCAGAAAACTCCGAAATTTTTAAATAAAATTTAACAACATCCTCTTAAAAAATAAATTTAAAAACTAACCATAAATCCAGGATTGCAAGTACATATTCCCGTTTTATCATTACATATCCCATCATTTTGACAATTACATTCATAACGACATCCTTCTTCTGGATTTTCCTTCAAAAAAAAAATTTTTAATTTTTTTAACCTCTCGTTATTTTTAAAATAAATTTTCATTTTCCTTCGTTTTTTTCTTTCATCACAAAATTTTTTTAATCTTGCAGTAATATTGTATTTATTTTTAATTAATTTTCTTTTTTTTATTTATTTTGACATCAAATTATTTGTCTTTTTTTGCAATTTTATATTTATTTACAAAACAAGAAAAGATTTTTTCCTGAAAATAAATATTTTCAGTCTCTCTAAAAATGTGAAGATTTTTTTATTTTTAAATTTTAACACTAAAAATCGAGGAAAGGGGCTTTCAGAAAATTATTTTTTCTAAAAATTATTGAAAAAACCTTTTCACATTTGTGAGTACAATGTTTTCCGGACCATCCAGTCTTACAACTACATTCTCCCGTTTCTTTGTCACACTTTCCTCCATTTTGGCAGAGACAATTAGATTCACAATTTTGGCCAAATTTTCCTTCAGGGCATTCATTTTCACAACGATTGCCGATATAACCTTTAAATTTATTTTTAAATAAAAAGTAGAAAAGAGCTTCTATAAATGTCAAAACTTTAAAGAAAAATTTTATTTTGAGCTCCTAGTTCCAAATTTACTTCAAATAATCTAAAAAACCTTCAAAATTAATAAAAGGTCCAATTTTCTATGAAAAATAAAAAATGGACATTTTGTCCCAAAAAGAAAAAAAATTCCAATAAATTAACCCAAAAGAAAGCCCCAAATACCTTTAATATAATTTAAAAAAACCTGAAGGGCACAAACACTTTCCAGTAACAGCATCACACCTTTTTGTTTGTTCACAATCACATTTGTGTGTACATTGCTGTCCCCAGGTGCCAGTTGGACAGGTTAAAGCACAAGTATCACCACTCCAACCATCATCACAAGTACAATGATTGGGCTCTGTACACCGTCCTTTTTGACAAGGAAGATCACAGACGGCTGAAAAATTTTTTTTATTAAAAAAAAATTTTTTTTAAGAAAAAATTTATATGGAGGAAATTTGAGGACAGAAAAGTATTTTTAGGGTAATTTTCGACATAGATTTTATAAAAAAATTAAAGTTGGACATTTCATCCCAGAAAATCAAAAAATGTTTTTATATAAATACCCAAAATTCCGAATTATTTTCTACTACTTTTTCTTAATAAAAAAATAAACTGACGTTTGCAGGTGTTGTCCGAATCTTGAAAATATCCATTGCAGCACCTAAAATTAATCAAAAATTTAAAAATTTTCGAATAAAAAATTCAAAATTTGGGACATTTATCCTTACCAAACTCGTAACACCCCCCCCCTCCCCCGAAAAAATCCTGTTTACCTGATCACTACAAATTAATTTTAAAAATATTTTAATAACCTTGTAATGGTAACTTTTGTTATTTCAGGCACAGATTTGTACGAAATAGTAGATCCAGTTTTGCTCATTTGACATTTAAACCCTTTAGTAATATCTGGACACCTAAGAATAGGAAAAATAAAAAGTCCGCAAAAAGTGTCCGCAAAAAATATTTTTTAATTTCAAAAATTAATTTTCTAAAAAACAAACCAGACAGTAGTAACAATCTTTACGGGCCTCACAACTTTTTTGAAAACCATCTTTTCTTGTCTATAAAAATATTAGATCAAAAAAATTAAAATTTCTCCTCTTACTCTTCTTCAAAAGTGCAGACATTTTGTCCAGTCGGTTCTACTTGTGGTTGTGAAAAGGCACAAATAAATCCAATTTTGTTGATTGAAAATAAAAATAAAATAAAAGCAACAGGAAAATTAAAAAGCTGCGAAAATTGAAGTAATTTAGCCATTTAAATTATTTAAGTTAGAGAACACGAAATAGCATGTAATTTGAAGAGAATTAGAAATTTGTTGTTAGTGGGAATTTTAAGTAGTAAATTTGTATTTTATCTGAAGAAAATTTTTTAAAGGTTATTTCTCCAGAATTTAGCTATTTTTGTGAATAATAAAATTTCAAACAAGAAATTAAATATATTACGGATTGGACGATATTAAAAGTATTTTCAAGTATATTTATTTTTTTTTAAAAGTCACTCGGTCGAGTACTCGCCCGAAATGTTTATTCAACTCTTAATAAATATACAAATATGTTTAGAAATGTTATTTACTAGTGATGTTCGGGTATCCCGACTCCCGACACCCGACTCGGGAAATTTCCCGAGTTTTTGGCCTCCCGATCCCGACCCCGACTCCCGATGTCAATTCCCGACTAAGTCGGGAAATTTTTACACCCCTAAAAATGGCTTTTTCTGATAAAATTTTATTTTTAAACTGAAAAAAATAAAAAAAAGAAAGGGAAAATAAAAAAAGAAAAAGGAAAAGGTGAAAAATATTTAAATTTTTATTCCAAACGTCTTTCGTTGAGCGATGGTTGAGTGGTTAGGTTGATGACTTCACGCTCAATGTGATATTTTATGGGGATGGGTCGAATCCGTGGTTGGGAAATGTGAGTTAAATAATTTTTCTTTTCCAAAAATAAATATTTTTAACATTGATTTTAATTTTTAAATTGTGAATTTATTTTTTTAATACTAGTAATCTTGAGAAAACTGGAAAAATTAATATAGTCATGAATTTTCGAAAATTTTCGCCTGCGGCGCAGACAAATGATGTGAGATTGAGAGGTCTTTAAAATTTAATTAGCCAATCTCAGCAATACCCTCCTCTTAAAAAACCCTTCCCTTCCATTATATTCAATGCTCCTTAATCACTTCTAATCGCTCTATATCCTTCCATGGATGCAATATTTTAATACCAGAGACGAGGTAATTTTGGGAATTTAGAATGCTTTTTTTTGCCAAGCGGCCAAAATGGATGAAATGTGGCTTCTTGACCTCCATGATTATCAAGATTTCTGCCTGCGGCGTTGAAAATTAATTAAGAAATGTTGAAAATTAATTAAGGGAATAGAGAGAGAGAGAGAGAGAGCGGCGCAAAAAATGGAACAATTCTGGCTTTCCAACCTTCAAAAATTCTTAAAATTCACGCCTGCAACGATAAAATCAGAATTTTTGGCGCCGAAGGCGCCAAAAATTTTTTAAATTTTTTTAATTGAAAATTCCCGACTCCCGATCCCGACTCCCGAGGTCATTTCCCGACCCGACTCCCGTTTCCCGATTCCCGAGTTTTTTCTTCTCCCGAACATCACTATTATTTACATTAAGAAAAAAAATTGAAAAAAAATTTAATTAAAAAATAAAAAATAAAACACGCAAAATTCAGACCCAAATTCATGAGAATGGGGGACACGCCGGCGCGCGGCTATAACGGCGCAAAGCCATAACTTGCTGGAAAATTTCTGGCCCTTATAGCTTTTGGTACTAAGCTCTTTAGCTCGATGAGAGGAATCGTTTAATACTAAATTTAGAAGGATTCGGAAATCTTGAAGTAGGTTATGGCTGTGGGCCGTTATGGCCTGCGCCTACTTGGGCTGTAACCGGAGAGTGGTGATATATAGTTGGTGGTGATCTTTTGGGGAGGATTTAATAGAATAATTTCAATTTTCGAAATTAACACCTTTTAAGTTTGCAATAAAAATTATTTTTCTTTAACAAAGTATTTAAAATTTTATTTTGATTTCCTTTAAACTTTAATCGCTGCAAATTTAGAAAAATAAAATGTAAACAGTCAAAATAAAGGGGGGGAGGTAGGGGGAGATGTTCAACATTAAAAATACATGGAAAGGAATAGAAAAAAGAGATGCGCGAAAGGCGAAAGCTTGATCGATTTAAATATATAGAACGACCTCTATTTTAAATTTTATAAAAAGTAGGGGATATATTGGATTTGAAGAGGAAAATGGAGAAAAAATGTTTTTTGGGCAGGCAATTTTTGTAAAAATGAAACTAATTTTGGCATAAGACGTTCGAAGATTTAAATAATTTTTATTTTATTCATTAAAGAAGATTGTCAAGGTCAACACCAGCCTGAAACTCTAGAGATTATTAAGGTTTAAATTAGGGTAGCACTTCGAGCCTTCGGGCGGGAGTGTCGAGGTTTGCCGGGGAAGAGCCTTCGGGGACAGGTCTAGTGTTAGTCACGAGACGATATATCGACGATATTTTTCGAGATATCGCGAGATTTTTTTCGAGATTATCGATCTCGTCTCGATCAATTTTTGAAAAAATCGAGATTTTTCGATATCGAGATTTTTCGAGATTATCGATCTCGATCTCGTATCGGTCAAGTCAGAAATATCGCGAGATTTTTCGATATTTCGATATTTTTAAAAAAGACTTTTCGCGACGCAAAAATGAAGAATTCTGGCCTGCGGCGCAAAAAAATGAAGAATTCTGGCTTAAGGAACTCCAAAATTCTCGAAATTTTTGCCTGCGGCGCTGAAAAAGTGAATTTTTTTGGCCTACGGTCTTCGAAATTTTAAAAATTTTCGCCTGCGGCGCTGAAAATGAAAGAAATCTGACTTCATGTGCTCCAAAATTCACAAAATGTTCGCCTGCGGCGCTGCAAACGGAGAAATTTGGAGGTATTATCGGAGGTAAAGTGGATGGATTAGTATATAGTGGGATTTTATCAAGGGACCTAGTGATTAATCTACCGATATCCTTCTAAATCTGTTAGATTTTTACAAAGTTAATATTATTTACATGTTGTTCACTTTCTTACCTAAATGTTCACTTTCTTACCTAAACAAATTTACTTAACATTTAAATAAAATTATTTTTAATACAAATATTCTTTTACACCTAAATATACCTATATATTTTTTATAACATCTAATTTTATACATTTAATTTGTTTTTTTCTGTGGAGTCCATTATTTATTTATTTTTTTTTTAACTTAACATTTAAAAAAACCGTCATATTGTATTTGATTTTTTTATACGTTACCTCTCCATAAGTGATCCCTGTGGATCCAGGAGTTTTATTTTATTGTTTCACATTATATTTATTTGTGTTCGATAAAGAAAAAAAAAAAAAAAAAAATTGCAGTATTTTGATGGACTTTATTTATAAAAAGTTTAAATTTTTTATTTCGAAAAAAATCCCGAATCCCGGGCGGGATCCCGGATAATTATTTTCGGGATTTTTGAAATTCGGGATTTTTTCGAGATTTATCCCTCGGGATCCTGTCACGGCCTCGGTTAAGAAAAAAATCCCGACTCGGGATCCCGAAAGTGCGATTTTGACGACCTCTAATATTTATATCTACATTTAAAAGTAATAGTAAAATTTTATTTTATTGTTTTGATTAATACCAAAAATGAAACATTGAAAAATTTGTGCAGATTAGAGGACATGGTCAGTAAAACTTTTTGAACATTTTAAAATAAAGTTCAGGTGATGATTGAAATAAATTTTTATTTAATTCTAAGGGATTATTAAAAATATCGAAATATCGCGATAATCTCGAAAATTTTGGACCGAGATTTTTCGATATCGAGATTTTTCGAGATTATCGATCTCGATCTCGTCTCGATCAATTTTTGGAAAAATCGAGATTTTTTCGATATCGAGATTTTTCGATAATCTCGATCTCGATCTCGAAAAATCGCAAATGACTAACACTAGACAGGTCGGGGTTTTTGCCTAAAAATTCGTCGGGTTTCGGGGGACGCGTTGCTACCCTAGTTTAAATTCTTTCGAGATTTGTGAAGATCCACACACAGCAAATTAAATCCAACACGAAATGCAACCACCCCAAGGCGAAAGTCATTTTAGTGTAGTGGGAAAATGTTTAGATTTATAATAAAATAGACAAAGGTTCGAATCCCACTTATGAAAAATAATTTTATTTGAGTAAATAAAGTATTTGGAGTAGCAGAAAAATAATTTTTTATTGTCTGACTGATTAATTTTATTGATAGACACCCAAAAATAGTGTTAATTGAGATTAATTTAATCAATGAAAAATTGTTAAAAGAACATTCAATATACGGCCTATATAAACACTAAATATAAATACAAACAAACATTAATTGTTGTGACTCATCAACTCTCCGTCCTAAATTTGTGTAAATTCAATTAAACGTCATTTATAGGAAATTTATTTTTTTTCGTTAAAAAAATACATCTTTTTAGTTAATATTAATTTAGAAAAATTTTTTTCCAGAAAATCTTTCAGAATTTTAGAAATTAAATTAGAGGTTAAACAAAAGTTTAACAACCTTGTTTTATTAGATGCTAACTAAAATTGGACTTTCTTTCTTTACATTATTTTAGTTATTTTTAGAAAAAGAAAATAATTTTTTTAATTTTCACCAAGTCAATTAAAAAAATTATTTTCTGACTGAGGACAAATTAATAAAGAAGAAAAACAAATTTAAGAAATTTAATGAAAGGAGACTATTTAAATATTTTGGAATGCTTTTTGTATCGGGGGGGGGGGGGGTAGTTAAAATAATTTCGAGAAAATAGTAAAGAACGCTTGTGATGAATTTATATAAAAATACAAATATTTTTAGTTAAAAAATGTAAATGTAAATATTTAGAGAAGAATGACAACAAAAATATTTATTTTTTTTAGTTGAAAAAGATTGTTATATTTTTCATAATTTGGAAAGTTTAAATAATTTTTAGACAATTTAAAAAGAAATGTAAATTTTCTTGGAGAATTAGAGGAAAATAAAAAAATATTAAGGGATTCTTTTAAGGAAATATACCAATTTCTTCGACTCTCCCGATTTCCGAGTCTGATAAGCTAATAATTCTTTTCTTATAATTTAATAATTAATTAAGTTGTTTGTGCAATTAATTAAATTTCTTCCTTATTTTTTAATTTAATTTGATAATTAAATACATAAATCTGCCATCTTGCTTCTCTCAATTAAAATATTTATTTGTTGACTGATTGTATGAGAGAGAGATTTACACTATCAATTAAATAAATCTCTTTAAAGGTTTTTATGTGTGTCAATTCACAAATTATGATTTCTCTCATTACCTTTCTCTTTTAATTAATTTAATTCTTTGTTAAATTTTGTTCTTTCAATCGATTCTTTTAATTAACACAATCAACCTTTATTTTTTATTTATTTTTCTTTTCAGTTTTATTGATAAAATTAAAAAAATATATACAAAAATTTTAACATAAAAGCACTTCAAAAATTAAATAAAAATAAGAAAAAAAATAGAGAGGCAAGTAAATAAAATTTAAAAAGAAAAATTAAAATTATTTATAAGGCTTTAATTTTTAATTAAAAAATTTACAAAGAAAAATCCCACAAATAGGCAAGATAATGTTTATTTTAACAATTAAATAAAAAGAAAAATTTTGCACAGAAAAACAGAAAAGTTAAAATATAATTATGGATATAATTAAAAAAAAGGAAAGTGATTAGAACAGAAAGTCAAAGATTCAGCCCCTCCTACTTTTCAGTCAGTAAGCTGCCCTTTGTTCTAAAAAATTTTTAACTTTCATATCTACGTTGAAAATTAAAAATATTGTAGAACAAAAACCTATACTGTATTTTCTTGATTAATTCCCCTCCCTCGAATAATTCCCCCTCTCGATTAATTCCTCATGCTAGAGTTGGGTTGAAACAATAAATAATTCCCCACCCCTAAATACCCTACTACACGTTCAAATGCCAAAACTCAAATAATTCCTCACCTTCGATTAATTCCCCATGCGAAGGAAAAGTTGAAAAAATAATTCCTCAGGGAGATTAATCGAGAAAATACGGTAATTTTAAAAGTTTGGGAGGGCTAAGTTGTCATTTAAGAGGTATCAAAACAAAAGATAATTTATTTCTGAATTTTCAAATACTCAGAAAATTATAAACAAAATTTAAAAAATCACCAAAGTTTCTAAGTCAAATTATTATTATTATCCCCACCACCACCACCACTAGTTCCTCCTCCTCCATCTTCATTATTATCATTTAAATTTGTTTGGCATTGATGTAAACTATCCAAAGTTAACGCCATTCGTGATCGGAAGTTTAATAAAGCATTTTTAAAAATTCTTTAAAAATATTTTTAAAATTAAAGTTAAATAAAAATATTTACCCATTATCCAAACGATTCATTAAACGTGCTCTAATTGATTTGAGGGCATTACTTAAAATTAAAAAAAAATTTTTTATGAAAATCTTTAAGTAAATCAATCTTATTGTTAGACTAGAGTTGGGCGGTATCGGGATCCCGACAGGCAACGGGCGGTATTTTTTGAATTCGATACCGATTTTTCTGATACCGATCCGAGCCGGTATCATCATTCCAAAATATCGATATCGATTTTAGGTCGGAATCCCGATACTGCCCAACTCTACTCTGGACTTATTTTTACCTAAAAGAAATTTTAAGAAATTCAAAGTATCAAATAAAATGGGTTCCCTTAAATTCCTTTATTTTCATATGTATAGATCACCTTCCTTCCCTCACACCAAATAGGAAGGGAGGTAATTCCCTCTTCTCCACAAAAATTAACAAAAACAAAAATTCTACCTCATATCCGTAGTCACAAATCCTTGAAAAGCTTCCTCAAAAGCAGTCAAATCAACAATTACTTGTGTTGAATGATTTGAAGAAGAAAAATCTACACGAGCCAAAACATTAAATAAATGTTCAAGAGCAACTTTGACGAGATCACCGAGCACCTGGAAATTGAGAAGTTACCTGCAAAATTACCCAATTTTGGGCAATTTTCTTTTATTTTTGGGCAAGCTTCTAATAATTTTTTGAATACTCGGAAAAAATTTGATCAAAAATGAATAATTTATTTAGAATAACTTATAATTTAATAAACCCAAACATTAAAAGAAAAACTTTGAGGGGGGCAAAACACTCTACGAATAAAAAATAAGGGTACAGCTCAAGTAGGCGCGCGTCCATAACAACGCAACGCCATAACTTGCTTTAAGATTTCTGAATCTTACCAAATTTAGTATTAAACAATTCCTCTCATCGAGCTGATGAGATTGGTTTAAAATTAATAAGGGTCAGAAATCCTACAGTTAGTTATGGCTTTGCGTTGTTATGGCCAGGTCGCTTACTTGGGCATGTCCTAAAATATCATTCGTAACCCAAAGATTTTCCAAACAATACAGTTTGGAGGATATTTTTAATGAAATGTGATTTGTTCCCACAGAACAATTCATTAAAAAAATGATTTGTTTTTTTAAAAAAAATATATACCTGTTGTATAAATTTATAACAATAAGAAGCCATTTCTGATTGAACAAAAACTGTACAAAGCATTAATTCTTTAACAAATTCAGAAACGTCATCATCATCTGGTAAATGCTGATAATTTGCATATTCAATAATTGAATGGATTTGTGTTGATTTATTTTTTATATAATGAGATAATATTGAAGAACGATAAATTACTAATTTGTCCTTTAAAAATAAAATTTAAATTAAAAAATTAGATTTTTAAAAATCATTTTTCTTTGTGAGCATCCCCTTCTCCATCCTATATTTCTCGTTTAATTTCTTTAATCTTTAGAAAAATTTCAAATAAGTGGGCATCAGAATAATTTTGATTTTCGACGTCTTTCTTTCGATTTTCAAATTTTTTCGTGAAATTTCGATTTCGGTAATTAAAAATTTTTTCGATTTAAGATGTGTTTTAAGTTTCGACGCAGCTCTGGTGGGCACACAATTCTTTCCCGACCTACTCGGCAAAAGGTTAGGCAAATAAATAAATTTATAATTCATCATATGTAAAAGAAAAAAGGAAATTAGAAGGTAAACCCATAATTTTTCAATTCAAAAAATATTTTTTAAATTAAAAATAAATTAAAAAACCTTTGTATGTTTAAACACTTGCTCAGAAAATTTAAGTCCATTATCTCCCAAACGACGACATATTGACGACAAAGAATGGTTAAGTAAAAATTCAATATTGGCAATAACTGTCAAAAATCGTCTACTTAATTGTTCCTAAAGAAATTTAAAAAATTATTTTTTTTAAATAAATGAAAAAAATTCAAAAATTCGGAAGCCCTTGTCAATTTAATATTTTCTATTTCATAGTAATAAATAGGATTCAAGCCAAAATTAAAGTAAAAAAAGTTAGGGTTGACAGATGAATTAACAAAAAATAATTAAAAAAATTTACAAATTTATGACAATCTTGCCTGAAAAAATAAAGTCTATTAATTCAATTTAAAAGAAATATTTAAAATGGATCATCCTTCTGCCGCAAAAAATGTCTAAACCAGACTAGGACACGGATTTTGATATCCGTATTCGGATATCTACGGCGGATACAGACGGATATCCGCAGACATTTTGGTATTATCTGTATCCATATCCGTATCCATGACCATGTCTGGTCTAAACTTGTTCAAAATTAAATTTAAAAACCTGAGAAATTGTTTGTTTTTGTATATTTTTCGTTTCATTATTTTCTTCTAATTCAATAGATCCATTTGAAATTAAAGAAGTATCTGCTGAAAGAGTTGTGGGCCTTTGAATTGATTTTATTGTTGAGGATGTTGATTGCGTTGAAATTTTTTTCTGTTGATTTTGGCGACTTTTTTGGGGTTTTAATTTAAGTAAATGATCACAACAATCACGAAATCCAAGCAAAAGGACGGTAAATAAATCAGTAATCTTAAAATTGAGAATTTTTGGGTGATTAATAAATATGTATGTAGTGTTAGGCCTTAGAAAAGCTGTGGCAATACACAGTTTTATTCCCTGATTTTTAAAATTTATTTCATTTTTTAATAATTTGGATCTATTTTAAATTTTACTAACTTTAAAATCGCATATAAAACCAAAAATTATAAAGTAAAAAAATATTTTCCTACCATATGTCTCCACTTCTCTCTAACAAAAAGATCAGTTTCACCAGGAAAATTCCCATAAGAAAGAATACATTTCATATCAGGCAATAATTCATTTAATTCAGCCTCAAAACGGTCAGGTAAAGCAGTTCTAGGCACATCGGCTATTAAATCAACACGCCAATTTTCATGAGTTCCAAGTGCAATAATTGCTAGAAAAAATTAAAATTTAACATAAAACAATAAAATAATTCGCTGAAAGGTTATATCAGTTAAAAAAATAGCCCGAAATAATACAAAAACATGCCTAAGGCTAGAATCCCAGGAGAGGATGTGTCAATTTTACAAAATCTTACTCGGATGATAAAATGGTTATGAAATCAAAATTCCGTCTTTTGAGCACTAACTCAGGCGAACACTTTTAATAGTCACCTCACAAAGGTTCCCGTTATCACCATTTCAAGGGACAAAAATCTCCTTGGGTACGCCAAAAGATAATAAAGTAAAAAAGCAAAAAACCTTCTTTCCCTCTCTCAACAAGCATTCCCAAACATTTTAAACGAACCGTTGTACAAAGTTCAAAAAGTGGTTGCAAATGATGCCTAGCCAATTGGCAATCAATTAAAGCTTTTATTGAATTTCTAAAAATTCGAAAAATTTAAATAAATTTTTTTCAGAAAACCGTAGCAATTTAATCGAGGAAAACATAACATTCCATTGAGCAGCTGAATTTATTGCAGGCCATTGAACAAATTGATCATCAGTGTGCTGCTTTGTTACTGATTCCGGTAAAGATCCAGGCACTAGAGCATTTAATAAAAGCCAAGAAGCAACGTTTATTGTATTGGCAAGCATTTGCTTTAAAAAATAATTTGTTAGAATTATCGAAAATATATAGTCGGACAGATTTCTAGATACCACAGAAAGAGGTAGTTCTCAAGTTAAACTATGTTTTTTTTTAATTTAGTTGGTCACCGGTTAGGAGAGCTGCCTAAGCCACAATTAAGCTCTGAATAAAATACCCTACGTTATAAGGGTACAATTTTTCTCTGTTCAAAGAGTGAATCTTATAGTGAGATAAGACTGTATTTAATTTTTATTAATTACATCAATATCCATTTGACGTTCCTGAATCTCTGTAGCTTCAGCAAGCGAAGCAGGCAATAAAGATGCAATAGTTGTGCCAGAACCAGTCACAGCAAAATTTTGAGAAATTTTCCAGAAAGTGTGTAATTTGTCTGTTAATAAACTCAGCAAATCTGTAACAAATGCTTGACGGAAATATCCAAGAGGTCTGGGAGTATCTAGATCATAAGAAATTGAAGAGGTAGCATTCGTATCTTCTCGAAGGAGTGATTGCTCTTCTAAATTATTTAATTAGAAAAATGAAGAATAAATTTGAGTGGAAAAACCTTGTGCATGAAATTGCCTTTGAAGTTCCCACAACATACTTTCCAACCAACCGTGATATGCCATCATACAATCCCAAGCTGGATCAGATTCGGGATCTAGAATTTTGAGATATTTTATCAAACGGCTTTGTTCCTCAAAAGGAGTTGTTATATCAACCAAAAGTTTTCTGATAATTCCTCGAAGTCTGTCAATTTTTTCGTCAAGTACAGCCATTACTAAAAGTAAACTACAAATTTTTGAAAGAATTTTTTATGAAGAAAACCTTCTTTAAACAAGCTAACTTCAGTGTCCTTGAAAAGTGCTTTTGCTCGAGCGTAGTCATTTAAAATGGTAGCATATTCACCCTAAAATTAAGAATTCAATTGGTGTTTACAAAATTTCTAAAAAAAATTCTAAAATTTTAAATTTCCAAAATAACTTTCTTAAGAAGACTAAGAATGGGGATAAAAATAGATATCTGTGTCAATTTTTGTCTGAAATTGACAAGTCCTTAACCCAAATGAAAATTATTATTAAAATAAAAAACCTTTGCCAAATTGTCCTCGATCTGTTCAGCCAAGAAAAAAATAAATCGAAAACGTGTTAGCACAGACAAAGCATTCCTCGTTGAATCCGCAGCATCTTTTCTCGCCAAAACATCTTTAAATAATTGATCTGCTGTTTCCCTTGCCAAATCCAATTTTTCAGATAATTTTATTGTTGTCGGCCATTGGCCTCCAGCTTCTTTTTGTGCTCTTTTTTGTTGTTGAATTTTTGATTGAAGTTTGGCTAAAGCATCAACACAGCTAACTAATGGGAAAAGACTAGCTTTATGTAGTTGTTTAGAAGATTGGTCTTCTCGTTGGATTCGTTCTTCCAAGTTTTTAAGTCCGCGTTTTAAGTCCGATAGGCTTAAATTTAAAATAGAAGAAAAAATATGAGACGAGATAATAAAATGGATAACTGCAAACAGGCCCGTAGCCAGGGGTTAGATTTGGCAAGAGAAACAGCAGGAAAGGTTGCAAGGTGTCCGACCTAAAAACGGTCGAGACCGGTCTCATTCGATAGAGAATGTTCCTAGCAAGGATTTTGAGCGTATTTGCCCGTTTTTTGATCTGGCCAAGATATGGCCTTCCAAAGTCCCAAAATTTGGCCCCAAAAATAAATGTACCTTGCATTTTTGTAGTTCTCCAACAAATACCAACGAGGGTTAAACTTATCCATTTTTCTACTTCCAGAAGAATCTGGGAAATATTTTAAAAGTGTCGAATGATCCAATTTCTTCTGTCTAAAAATTTAAAGTAAAAAAATTTTTTTTGGGAAAAACTAACGGGTCAACGCCCAATTCTAAAGCATCCTCATTATCATTTGTTTCCCCAACATTTCGAAGTAAATTTCGTCCAGGAACTGTTTTAGATTCATCTACCCAAACTATAGATTCTTGAAGAGGGCCAATTTGCTCAATAAATACACGAAACTTTAAAAGAAAATAAAAGGAAATTATCTCAAATTTATTTTCGAGTAATTTTTGCGGACTAATGCAGTAAACACAAAATTCATAATAGAATGGCAAAAAATTAACAAAAAATTTTAACAATGTTATGACAGGATATTTTACAAAAAAATTCGCTCTAAAAAATTGACCCAAAAAACATTACATAATTCGAAATGTCCGCAAAAACAGAAAATAAGCAAAAGAAAAATTTTCTTAAGAACAAACCTGAACTTCTGAATGTCCTCTCCCACCAGATCTAGTAACTATTAAAATATCACCAACACCCCGCTTTGCTTGCCCACCCAATCTAGCAACAATTTTTGAGGAAGACTTCCATTTAGCAGTTGCTAAACAATCTGTTCCACAAATAATAAGGGCTACCTTTTGAAAAAATTTTTTTTTAATTAAAAAAAAAATTCTTTAGTCACTTACAATATCATTTGGATCTTCGCCAAGATTTTGACCACGAATTGTAATCTGTGTTCCAGGTGAACCTTGAAAAAAAATAAAAAAATATTTGTCAAGGGAGTGAAAATCGGTTAAAAACACCTTGATGTGGAGAAATTCCAGTGACCAATGGGGAATTCGAATGTGAAGACTTCATAATTAAATTAAAAAAACACTGAATTTTAAGGCAAAAAATCACTAAAATTAAAAAATTTAAAGAAATTTTGCAAAAATTATTTTTTAGGAACATCCTTTTGAAAGCCGACAGCTGAGTGTAAGAAGAAAATGGTAACAGTTTTACTGTTAATTAGAATGACGGGAAACTACGGAAGTTTTTTTGAGGTTTGGGGAAAAACAATCAGCAGTAGACAACTTTCCCTTTATTCATCGAAAATCACATCATTCTCCACACTTTTTGTTCAAGAATCATCTGGTTGTGACCCCCTTCTTGGTGGAGTTTTCTTCAAGTCAGATGTTGCATCAGTTGGGATGTCTTTCACATCGCCTTTTGATGGCCGTTGAATTGTGACTCTGGCACTGCTAACTAGAAAAAAAAGGATTTCGAAATTATTTATTTAATTAGCCGAGCTAAACTGACCTTCTGGACTTGAACGGCGAGAAGATCTTTGGGATGATCCACCACGTCCTGTTATGCGGCCGATAAATGATGTTGGAGCATCGCGTTCAGCTGACGTGATTACTGCAGAATATTTATGGTTGTGTCGGTGGAAATTCATGTTTTTCTGGATGATCCTTGTCACATCGGCTGGAAGACTATCAGAGCTAACCTTTGGAATCGGGCGAGCTACTCTGATGGTTAGGTTGTTGTTGTTTATTCCTTCAAGTATTGCAGATTTTACGCTTTTAGTGTCTTCCACCTTTTTGCCATTCACACGCGTTATTACGTCCCCATAATGAAAGTTACCATCGGCAATTGATCCAGCCTCAGTGCCGCAGATTGTGACGTTATCCTGAAATTAACAGATACATTTCGCTTTTAGCGCTAAAGCGCTCACCTGAACTTCTCTCATGTTCACCCCAAGAGGCATACCGCCTCGCCGCCATTTAATCTCAAAGTCGAACAGCTCCCATTCATCTTTGCCTTGATATTCTCCCTCTAACTTCCTGATTGTGATCCTGTAGAACGTGTCACGACGAACCTGGATTCTTAATTTCTCAGGTTCCCTGATGCTTACTCCCACGATCCGGTAAAAGTCCTCGGCTGTTGTTATTTCCTTAAAAAGAAAACAGACATTAAAAAGGGGTCCAACTTTTGCTTTGCCGATACCTCATCATTCAAGCGGATGATCTCATCGCCAACGTAGACATGCCCATACAAATAGGAGTCGAAGCTCATTTTACGCACCCTGGGTGGCCTACTTCCCTCAACGAACTCGATTCTGGGCTCTGTGGACCGGCGAGTGACTTGGACGCTTACTTCGGTGATTGACCCTGAGAATAAAAGAAAGATAGGCCTTAAAAGAAATTTATAATGGCAAAAACTAACCACGTATTGACATGGCAAATCGGCCCCAAACAGAAGATTTGTTGAAAAGCAGCACACAGAAGAAAGCAGCGGCAGGAACAGCAAATAACCTAAGGCTTAGTAAACAGAAGTCCACTGCTTTTATAATACATACGACTATTGTCGGAGAAGAAATGCGAATATCAAAAACTATAAAAACAGGTTATTTTTCCAACGAAACAACCTCCGCACAGATCAACCAACAATTGCAACGCCGCTGCTGCTCAACAAGTCTACTGCCGCTACTGTCGTCTACGCCTGCTGCTCAACAAGTCTACTGCCGCTACTGTCGTCTACGCCTGCTGCTCAACAAGTCTCCTGCCGCTACTGTCGTCTACGTCTCTGCTGCTCAACAACTCCAGTCGCAATGTCAGTCCGAAGTAAGTTGGAACTTTCTTCGATTTTGCTTAATCTCTAAGTCAATTGGCGTTTATTTTTTCAGGCTCGGTCAGCGAGATAAACGTCGAAGTCAAGCGCAAGCAATATGACCCCAGGATCGAGTTCGTTGAGAGGAGCAGGCCGCCGAAAGTTAAGAAAGTGGGCTACAACTCCTACCTGAATGGCATTCTCTACGTTGGTGATGAGGTCATCGGGCTGAATGACGAGGTATCTGCGAGAGGAAGGCAAGGCTTTTAATGCTTATCAAAATTTTTACAGGAGATCCGGACAGCAGATGACTTCAACAGGATCGCTTGTGCTCGCAGTACTGAACCAGTCAGGCTCCGAATCCGAGTGCGCCGGGACTGCTACTACAAGATCACCATCAAGAGGGTGGAAGGCGAACAAGGCAATGGGGAGGTGCTGGACTTGGAGATCAAATGGCGACGGGGCGGTATGCCTCTAGGAGTGAGCATGGAAGAAAGTCGGGTGAGTCGATCGGTTTTGGTTTAAAGGGTTTGAGGGTTCTTTTAAATTACAGGGCCGAATCACAATTGGCGAAATACAGGCCGGATCAATTGCTGATGGCAACTTCCACTATGGGGACGTAATGACGCACGTTAATGGCAAAAGGGTGACGGACATCAAGAGCGCAAGGCCTGCAATTCTGGAAGCGATAAACAACAACAAAAGCCTAACCATCCGTGTGGAGCGCCCGGAACAATTGGGGGAAGTTTCTCATCTTCCGGCAGACGTGGCCAAAATCATCAAGCGACAAATCAACTTCCATCGCCATGCTCACAAATATGCTGCGTGCATCACCTCAGCTGAACGGGAAGCGACAACATCTTCAATCCTCAGTCGCATAACAGGACGTGGTGGATCATCTCAAAGATCTTCTCGTCGCTCCAGTCCAGAAGGTCAGTTTGCATTCGCAAATAAATATTTCTAATTTTAATTGAAAACTTTTTTTTTCAGTTGGCACTGCCAGAGTCACGATTCAGCGAGCATCATCATCAGACGTTAGGCCAATTCCGGCAGACAGTACAGCTGACTTGAAGCGAACGCCACCACGCCCTGGTTCACAATAAGCAGATTGGCCTGGAACCCAAAGTGAGGAGAAAACAAGCAGTGTTCGATGAAAGAAGGAAGTGTGATAAATAATGTTGATATACCTGTATTTTTTAATGTTTTGTATCTCATGAGTGTATATTTAATTATGTTTGTTTTTTGCTGTTGTAAATTTGTATGTTTTGGTTGGTAAAATAAATGTTTATTTTTGAGTTGTTTTTTTGAAATTTCTTTAGGCTTTGAATAACTTCCTCAACCATTTTTCTTTCTAGCTCTTAGAAACTTCTTGAGGTTTAGGGAACTTTTTTGATTAAGGAAATCAATATCCAAACTTATTTTACTTTTTCCATACCTCTCTTGAAAATCTCTTGAAAATTTTTGGTTTTTACAACCTACTTTGGCCAACTTTGTAAGCTAAAAGTCGTCAAAAAATGTATACAATAGTTTTCTCATCTTACTCTCATTTTGGCGATAAACCGTCCTGTACTTAGAAATAGAGAGTGAAGAAAGGAGAGAGAGTGAGAGAGAAAAAGAGAGTTTCTTAATTTCGTGCCCGCACAAAATACCGAATTCTCAAAATCGCGAATAGGCTAAAAAAGCTCAAAATCGCGAATCGGTAAAAATATCTCAAAATATGGAATCGGCCAAAAAAGCTCAAAATATGGAATCTTAAAATATCGAATCTCAAAATCGCGAATCGGCCAAAAAAGCTCAAAATACCGAATCGGCTAAAATGTCGAATTGGCTACCCTACAACTCATCCAATCCTTAACTCATCTAACACTTAACTCATCCACACGGCCAAAAACGCTCAACTCATCCAATCCTCAACTCATCTAATGTTTAACTCATCCACACGCCCAAAAACGCTCAACTCATCCAATCCTCAACTCATCTAATGCTTAACTCATCCACACGCCCAAAAACGCTCAACTCATCCAATCCTTGAAATATCGGCCGGTTGAGTCCCTAGCCGGTTGAGTCCCTGGTCAGTTGAGTCTCAACCGGCCCAAGACTCAACCGGCGGTAATCAACCACTCAAACGGCCGGGACTCAACTGACCAGGGACTTAACCGGCTAGAGACTCAACTGGTCATGGACTCAACTAGCCATGGACTCAACTAGCCATGGACTCAACTGGTCATGGACTCAACTGGTCATGGACTCAACTGGTCATGGACTCAACTGGCCATGGACTCAACTGGTCATGGACCCTACTTACCAGAGACTCAGACGGCGAGAGACTCAAACGGCCGGAGACTCAAACGGCCAGAGACTCAAACGGCCAGGGACTCAGACGGCCAGAGACTCAAACGGCCAGGGACTCAAACGACTGGTACTCAATAGTCTCGTTCCAAAGGATTGGATGAGTTGAGCGTTTTTGGCCGTGTAGATGAGTTAAGCATTAGATGAGTTGAGGATTGGATGAGTTGAGCGTCTTTGGGCGTGTGGATGAGTTAAGCATTAGATGAGTTGAGGATTGGATGAGTTGAGCATTTTTGGCCGTGTGGATGAGTTAAGGAATTTTAGCCGTTTAGATGAGTTGAGCGTTTTTGGGCGTGTGGATGAGTTAAGGATTAGATGAGTTGAGCGGGCACGGTCGAATTTTTTAAAAACGAAAAGGGCCGTTTGAGTGCCGCTGCAGGTCTTTTTCTGATTATTCAGGGATCTGTAACTCAGTCCAATCAGGTCGGATTTCATTGATTTTGGTATCATTCGATGCAGCTCGACGTGCTCTTTCAGATGAGCTATCATTCGGAAACTCGAAATTCGGTTCGGGATTCGAAATTCGGTTCGGGTCCGGGATTCGACTTTTTCAAAATCCGAGCTGAGATTCGTAATCAGCACATTTTTTTACCTTAGAAAAATACTTTCTCTTATTTTTAAAATTTTTTTACGAAGAAGTTGGTCACAACTTTGTTCAGACTCAACTGGCCTTTGCCGCATTGTCGATATTTTTCGATATTTTGAGCTTTTTTTGCCTATTCCATATTTTGAGATTCGATATTTTGAGATTCCATATTTTGAGCTTTTTTAGCCGATTCGCGATTTTGAGATTCCATATTTTAAGAATTCGGTATTTTGTATGGGAGCCCTTAATTTTCTTGAATTTTTTCTTTAAAATTTTCTTTTCTTTTGATATTTAATAAAAATATTTTAATCAAAATTATTAATAATTAAAATCTTCTTAAAATGGCTACATCCTCTCCTTCAACCCATCGTTCAAAACCAAAAATAATTTACGATAAACAATGGCAAATGACTATGCCAAAATTGAAATTACTTTTAAAAAAGATTTTTATTTTCCACGCAACTTTAATTATTGGAATATGTGAAATTAAACTTATTGGGAATTTTTGTGTTTGTTTTTAGATTTTATTCTAAAATTAATTTTCTTTTTAATTTTAAGGCAAATCGATTAATTGGTTATAGACAGGGAAATCTTCGACGTTTTGCTTCAATTATAGCTTTGGAATGGGCAATGCTACATTTGGATTTGCCTATATATTTACATTTATTTTCTGTTTTTAATTCAAAATTGAATGTTTTACGTTATAAAAATGAGGTTTTTATTTTTTAAATTTTAATTAGTTACGGGTTTTAGTCTTTATGGGCCCATTTTCATCTCCTTTTTCTCGGCTTAAGAATAGAGATCGGCGCGGGGCGGGATCCAAACGGGATTTTCCGAGATCCCGAAATCCCGGATTTTTTTGATTTTTGTGATCCGGGATTTGTCGAGATTTATCCTTCGGGAGTCTGTCCGCAAATTTTTGTCCGCAAAAAACATTTTTTAAAAATTATTTGTCTTTAAATTAAAAATTTTAGAAGCTTCGAATCTACTGCTTAATTGGCTTTGTTCTGCTACTTTTAATGGCCCATTTAACCTATTTATTTTATGTTGTTGAATCGTTTGAAGTCAATTCTTTTATTTATGATCTATCAGCAATTTGTAATGGAATTTGGATTCATTTATGTTTATTTTGCTATGGTTTTATGGCTTACAATATTGGAATGAGAATGCTTTCGGTTGATTTTATTTTTTTTTGATAGGAGAGGCCAATTTTTTGCTCAATTTTTAAGGCTGTAGTTTGGAATAGGTTAGACACGGGAAAATTTTCCCCCTTGCCCCCCCCCCCCCTCAAAAAAAACTTTGGCCACGGGCCTGGACATAACGTCAATATTTAGATAAAAACTTGCAAAATTTCTTTCACCTTTTTTTCAAATGCTCTACTGATTACGCTACAGTGAGCGACAACTTTTTCTTTTTTTATATTCTTAACTCACGCCCTAGCGTTCTAAAATGAATGAAATCACCCCCATAAATTACCCTTACATTTCTGTATATAAAAATGTAATTTTCTTTTTATCTTTTAATAAATATTTTTTAATTTTTAGGCTTTCGTTTCTGGTCGAAAACTTTTGGATAGATTATTTTCAATTCAATTTATTAAATTTATAACTTTAAATCGAAAATTTCAAGTCGGGTTAACTTTGGTGTTGACAGCTTTACTCTCCTTTTCCCATTGGTATTCTAGTGATAAATTAATTATAAGGCATCAACAAATTAATCTTCCTCGTCATACTTCTACAAAAAATTCTTTAAAGGTTTGTCTTTTATTTATTGTATGTTTGAGGTTTATTTTTACTGGCTGAGCCTGTTAGATTTTTAAAAATATTTTTGTCCTTGTTCAACCCCTTTTTACATTAAATGGCGTTCTCAAGAATTTGATTCTAGGATATTTGTGGGTCTATGTTAAATTTTATAAAAATCACCAACCATTTTATTGATTCTTATTTTGGTTTTATATTAACAATTTGAGTTTAATTTAATTTTGTAAATGTGAAGGACGGACACAATTTTTTTACTAAACACACGAAATAAGATCTACCGGGCTACTGTCTTTTAATTAAGAACCCTTCTATTTCAAATTAACATTTTATTTTTTCTTAACTTCATAATTCAAGAGCTTCTATAAATTCTTATTTAACTAATCTAGCAGCTTTTTTTGCTTTTCCCTGTTTTAATAAATCCCATTTTAGGTAGCTGTGCTCACAGATTTACATGCTGGAGCAGCTGTTTATGCTGAACAAATTGCTAAAGCTGTTGAAAATGTAAATAAAATTAAAGATTTGGATGCTGTTTTTCTTATAGGTTTTTCTGTTTTTTTTTTTGATTTCAAAAAAGAAACTTTTTAGGCGATATAATCGACGCTCCACGCGATTTAATCGAAGAAAGAGTTGAATCTTTGAGACATTTGCGCTCCCATTTTGGAACATTTTATGTGACTGGGAATCATGAATATTATTATGGAAATGTGAATGAATGGTTTGAATTATTTGAATCTTATGGAATTAAAATATTGAAAAATAGGTTTTTTATTGAAAAAATAATTTAAAAAAATTTTTTTGCATTTTATAGAGCTGTAAATTTAAAAGGATTTTGTTTGGTTGGATTAAATGATATTTACAGCGAGGAGAGCGGGTATAATTATTTTTTGATTTGTAGTTAATTGATAAGGGAAATAGTTTAATTTTCTGTTGCAGAGCCATAACCCAAAAATATTTTATTTTACTTGACGAGAAAATAAAAAATTTTAAAAAATTTTTGGGAGTTAACAAAATTGGGAGTTAATGATTTATTTTTAAAATTAATTGTGAATTGCGGTTGTATAAATTTTTTAAAATTTTTGAAACTCCTGGTCTAGGTCTAGCTCCGAATTCAATTTTTATCCTACCTAAAAAATTATTTTTAAATTAAATTTAGAATTCATAATCACGAAATGGACGTTACTGCAATTAAAGCATGCCCTTTAAATGAAACAACAATTGTTTTGGAACACAATCCCTCTGCCACAAAACAAATTTTGGCCTTTTCTGAGAACTTTTCACACCCCGTTGATTTAATTTTGTCAGGTTAAAATTTAAATTTCTTTTTTTTTTCAAAAATTCTTCAAACTTTTACAAAATTTACTTTAAAAAAACATTCTTTTTTCAGGCCATACTCACGCCGGTCAATTTCTCATAGTTGCTCCTCTCGCCCGTTTATTCTTGCCATATTTTTATGGCCATTATTTTTTAAATAATGGAGCAACACAATTATTTGTTTCTGCTGGAACTTTATTTCAAAATGCCCCAATGAAGACACCTTTTATGTCTGAAATTTGGATTTTGGAAATTAGACCTTTTAAAAATTGAAAAGAAAAACATTTTTTGATATTGTCATTTTTATTGCAATTTTTCGGTTAGACACGATTCCGTGCACACGTTTCCGTGCACACGATTCCGTGCACACGATTCCGTGCACACGTTTCCGTGCAGGCACGTTTCCGTGCGGGCACGATTCCGTGCACACGTTTCCGTGTCCGTTATAAAAAACACGTTTCCGTGCCCAATTATTTAAATATTTTTATTTTTTTTAAATTTTTATAAAAAAATTTTAAAAGTTATATTTTTTATCAACTTATCAACTTTGCTTCAGTATTTTTCTTTTCAATTCAAAAAATTTACGCGGAAAAAAGTTTTTGCCGCTGCGGAGGAAGCCGGGCATGTCGAGCGGAACGACGGCCGCCGCTTCGCTACGGTCGCCGCGAGCGTAGCGAGCACGACCGCAGCGAAGCACGGCCATCGTGTAGCGAAGACCATGCCCGGCCTACCCTCCGTAGCAGCACAAAAACAGTTTTTCCAGCGAAGATTCTATTGGTCATAGGTTAGAAGCAGGGTTCTTCTAATTTTTTTAAAATTAAAAAAAATTTTTTTGAGATTTTTTCCTCCATATCCATCAATATCCCCTTGTTGATGTCTCGATGTCATGCACAAGTCCCTTGATATTCACTGTACTCCTCAAAACCTTTTCTTATTGTTTATTATATTAAAAAGAAATTGAGCACGGAAACGTGTTTTTTATAACGGGCACGGAAACGTGTGCACGGAAACGTGCCTGCACGGAATCGTGTGCACGGAAACGTGTGCACGGAATCGTGTGCACAGAATCATACCCCACCGGCAATTTTTAGCCCAAATATTATAGGAAAAAGTTATGAGAGAAAGATTATGGAAAAATAGTAGGCTACTTTTTATTGCTAAGATTTTTGGAAATATTTTGGATTATAAATAGATAGTTACATTATGTTTTTGGATAAGTATTATTTAATACTTGACGTCGGTAAAATCGTGTTTGCGGGATCCCGAATGCTGGGATTTTCTCTAAATCTTTGCGGGACGCGGGATAACTAACTCCCGCATTTCGCAAAATCCCGCAAATCGAAATGCGGGATTGTGTGACGGAATCCCGCAACATCCCGCGCTGAATCCCGTCCCGCACCGACCTCTACTTAATATTTTAAATTTTTTTGGGTTAAATAAAGGAGCCTTTAATAGATTTCAATTATTTAATATTTAAAGCAAAACAAAGTCTAATTTCCAGAGAAAATAGAAAGCAAAATATACCTAATAGTATTTTTCCATTATCTTTCAAGTTTACCTAATAATTGTTCTTTATAATCGTTTTAATTCTTTCTTTTTTGTGCCCATTATATTTTTTGTCTATTCAAAGTAGTCCGGTTTATTTTAATTTTGATTTTAATGCATTTATCTTTTTTTGATCAAAAAATATTGCAAAAATAAATTTGTATTTTTTAAAATAAATTTAATTATAAAATTGAGATCCTCATCTTTTTTTTATATTTTATTATGACACAATCTTTAATAAAAAAATAAAAATATTTGTCAAAAACTCTTTTTTGTTAAAAACAAATTAAAATATTATTTTAAATTACTCGTAATTTATTTATTTAAAAAATTCAAAGGAAAAATGTCAATGCTAGCTGAGCCTAGACGAAAACAACGAATTAGTGTTGACCCACAAAATTTAAATTGGGTAAATAATGAAAAAAATTTTGGAAAGAAGTTGATGAAACAAATGGGCTGGAAAGGTGGTGGATTGGGGCCTGAAGGTGTTGGAATTAAGGATTGTGTTAAAACAAAGGCTAATAATGATCAGAGAGGTGAGTGACAAAGTTGTTTTTTAAAAATAAAAAATTTCCCCACCTTGATGAATATGCTGTCCCTTGGAGTTGTCAAATGCTGTCCTTTAGAATTGTCAAAAATTTTTGGTCTTTTTTTGGATACTGAGAGACTTCCTCGTATCTATTCGAATATTGTTTGCGTTTCCCCCAAAAATCCCCCAATTCCATTTAAAATTTAAAAATAAAAATTTATAGGACTTGGATCAACCAAAGATTATTGTGTTCCCCATCATGATGAATATGCAAAAATTTTGGAAGATTTGAATAAAGCTAGGGAAAATAAAAAAGAAAATGCTTTTGAAAAAATTAAAAAGAGGAAAAAAGAAGAAAAATCTGAAAATAAATTAAATAATTTTGAAGAGGATAATGAAATGAGGAATAAAAATAGAGAAAGGAAGAGGTATTTCTCTTTTAATTTTTAATAGAGAGCGAGCTGGATCTGGATCCAGACCTTGATTTTTCCTGGATTCAGAGTCCAGATCAAGGCATTTTTCAGAATTCCTTGATTGACTCAAGGTCAAGAATCTGGTCAAGGTACCCAACCAAAATCAGGGTTAAGGTTTTTTTTGAAAATCTCGCTCTAATTTTTAGTTATTAAAATATTATTTTAAAGAAAAACTGAGGAGAATTGTATGGATTTACAAACAAATAATCTTACAATGGATCAATATTTTGCTCAGAAAATGGCAAAACTAAGAAAAAAGTAAAATAAATTAATTTTTGTTTTTAAAAGGGGATTGCCTTATTTTCTCGATTAATTAACTCTTTAAAAATTAATTAACCCCACTCTGTCCCACGGATCGGTTGAAATATTAATTTTTTAGGGGGGGGGGGGGGGGATAAGGAGAGACTTCTTCCGTGTCTATTTTACATATATTAAATATTAATTTTCCGTGGGAATTAATCAAGAAAATTTTGTTGTTGTAGAATTGATTTTCATCTTTTCTAATGTTTTTGTGACATTTTTAAAATAAAATTTAAAAGTTTTTAACACCTCTTTCTTTTTGTTTGTTATAACAATTTTAAATATTTGTATATATTTTTAAGTACATTTTTATTAAACTTATTTTTAATAGAAATTATTTTTCTTACAAGGAAACATCGGATACTGTGTACAAAAATTTGGTAATTTTTTTTGCTACCAATCTCCTTTCCTTAAACTTAACCACTCCTAAATACTCAAATTTCGAAGGGCCCAGAGTCATTTTTCAAAAAAAAAACTCGGATTGCCTAAAAATTTCTAAATAAAACTTAACGTGTAGAGCGGTTAATAACCTATTGCCAATTTTTGTCCTGACCCCCATTTCGAAGAATTACGGGGCTTTAAAGTTTTCTACTTTTGAAGTGGTCAAGTCTTCCCTCATTTTTCTTATTAAAGAGAGATTTTTCTCTTATTAAGGAGAAAAAGAGACTCACATCCTCAGTTTTTTCTTTCCTCTTCTTTTCGATTTTTGGTTAAAGAAAGAGAAAATAGGAGAGGGTCTTCATTTTCCATCCTCATTAAGTCTGGAGTTCTTCGATTTTAAATAATTTTCTTTTTTAGATAATTAAGATGATTTCTCTACCAGATGAAGTTCAACTTGATGTATTAAAATATCTTAATTTCAATCAATTATTCTCTGTTAGATTAACTAATTTTTACTTTTGCAATTTAATTAATAAATATGAAAGAGGCTTGGCAAGAATGAAATTTAAAGGAATTTTCCTCAAGGTGACCCTTTATCTCTTTTTATGGGGATTTTCCCCTTTTTAGTCTTTTTGACCCTTTTTTTGCATTGCCGCTTAATCATTCATATAATTTTTGCATGCGGCGCTGAGAGTACTTATATCATGCTTCAGCTTCGAATCTGGAACTCAGATTTGATAAAACACAATATTGCTGGTTGATTTTACACTCGAAGCTAGAGCCACCCCTTTTGCACTCTGCTTTATTTTGAAATATTAACCTAACTTTCTTTCAATTTTTTCAGACTGAAAAAACTCATCTTCCATATAAATTTGTTGAACTTGAATCTGGAATTTTTGAAGTTGCTTTAAATGATCAACTTATGAATAAGGTTAATTTAAAGTTAAATTATACGGAGCAATTCAACTGAGTCCCGGCCCTATAACTCAAGTACGGGTTGATATTTTTTAATGTTTTTTGTACCATTGGATAGAGCATTAGATGCACTACAATATACCAAAAAATCAAAATTTTTGATTGATCGCTAAAAAAGTTATGAACTAAAAAAATCTGTTTTCGATACTCTAATGATCATAACTTTTTTAACAGTCGCTCAGGAATTTTTATTTTTTGGTATATTGTAGCCTATTTAATGCCCTATCCATTGGTACCAGGAGCAAAAAAAGTGACTAACCCTTCATAAGTTATAGGGTCCGGGACTCAGTTGAGATGATCGTAAATTATATTTATTTTTTCAGTGGCAATCAGCTATAGATAAATCAATTCCATTGCTTTTATATAATTCTGGACCTAACAGAAACTTTATTCGTATTCGAAAAACGTCAGATTCAGAGGATGAGGAACCAGATTATCTCCTAATATTGCCAAATATTCCAAAAAATATTAAAGAAATGGTTATTGCTCGTTGTTGGTTGGAACATCTATTTAAATGTACTTTTGGGTGGTCAGTTTTTGATTGTATATTTAATCCAGAAATGATCAATATTTTGTTCGATAACGACAAATCAATTTCTCTTAAACTTAACATTCAATTGACAAATCTTGATGCTGAAAAGAAAAACTTTGAAAATATTTTGAATTTTTCTTTCAATCATTTATCAACTTCTTACTTTAACCTCAATATTAGTGACGATATTACAGAGCAACATACAAATATTTTATTTAATAAGATAATAAATGAAGGAAGTAAATTCTCACAAATTTGGTTAAATAGTTCTAATTTTGCAAGGCTTTATGATATTATAGAAGTAAATTGCATGGCACGCGGACATATCGAAACGGACATATGGGATATTTCAATGTAAGAACAGTTACTTTACTGATTTCGGAACCTACGGTCACTAGGTCTTGATAGTATATTGTCCTGCTGAGGAATAGAGTTTTTATGTTTTAGACCAAATGTAAACACTCAAGAAATAATTTTTGTCACACCAATCCCGATATGTCCGCACGTTAATTACATATACCGTATTGTCTCTAATACAAGCCCTGGGCCTCTATTTTTCAATACCCCTCATTGAGTGGGCTTCTAATATAGCATGGGCTTCTATTGGAGATGGGCGTTTATTTTTCAATACCCCTCATTGGGTGGGCTTCTATTAGGGCATGGGCTTCTATTGGAGATGGGCTTCTATTAGAGACAATACGGTATCTATAAAAAATAAATTTAATTTTTAGTATATAGCAACAGCGAGAGATTGTTCAAAAATTGCGCCTGCTATTGATTTATTCATTCATAATTACACAAATCATAAATTAAGTGAAAGAGCAGAAAAAGTTGAAATTAAACAAGAAGGGCGTATAAAATATACAAATTATCAAATTTCCAATATTTACAATTCAGAAGTGAAATTTTCATTTCGTAATGAAGAAAAAAATTATATTAACACTAAACCATATAGTGAGTTTAAAATAAGAAAAATGAAAGTATAAAATTTGAAACGTTGATTTATGGATAACGATAACTTTTTAAAAATTGTTTTTCATTGACTTTCGATTAAATTATTTTTTGTTTATTTTTTTTCATTTGTTAACAGGTTAAAGCCTGCCAATTTATTTTTAAATATTTTTAAACACATAAGGTTATTAACCGGTATCCTCGGTATGGCCGGTTTTCGACCCCCGCTTTTCAGTTTTTGATTGACCCTCCTGTTTTTGGTTAATTAAGGCCGGGTTTACACGAAGTTTAGAAAATTTTTTGGGTTTAATTTTTGATTATATTGATCTTATATAAGGACGTATTAATTCATAATTTTTTAAATTTTATTTATAAATTTTCTTGTCTTTTTGCAATTGCTAAAAATATCTGTTAATTTTATTGCAGATTTTTTTTCCGTTTATTGACTTCAAATACGTAAATGCTCTAATTGAAGCACATGTGCTTCTATTTTTCGATCCTCTCGTAGGGTGTGCCTCTATTAGAGACTGCGTTTTAAATAGAATTAATAGAAATTATTTTTTTTAGACAAAAATCTCTGAATTTTTTAATTTATTAGTAAATGTTTATTATATTTTTATTTCTTGGAATATTTACTCATTTACTTTTATTATATTCAATATTTGATATTTATTATTCTTCACCAATTGTTAAAGGAGGAAGGAATTTTAAAATAATTCCAAGCAATTCTAATAATGTTTTAACACCTGCTGACAGAATTGTTTTCTTTTCTGCAGGTTAAAAATTAAATTTAAAAATTTTTTTTTAAATTTTAGATGGCCTTCGTGCAAGTTCTTTTTTTGACAATCCCGGTGTGTCTCCTTATATTCACTCTCTCATTGATGGATCGAAGGTTTGATAAATTTTTGAATTATTTTTTAGTTTAATTTTGACTTAAAAAAGTTAAGAAGTCTACTAAAAATTATTTTTAAAAATTAAAAAATTTTTATTACTAAGGTTGACGGTTCCTGAGAAACTTTCGGGAACAACAACCGAAATTTCTATTAAATCAGTTAATATTGTCTGGTGACGTTGAGGGTGTCAGAAATAATTTTTGAGTGTCAGCCTTACAACAATTTTTTTGAAGGATATTTTTCCTAATTTTTCTGATCCGTTCTAATTTTTCCTTTCTTCAAAATTTATTTTTTTATCTTTTTTCAATTTAAGGCAGTTTGGGGTATTTCTGAAAGTCATGTGCCAACCGAATCTAGACCTGGGCATGTAGCTCTGTTTGCTGGATTTTATGAAGATGTTAGTGCTGTCACGCGTGGTTGGAAGTATGTAAATTTTATAAAAATTAATTTTAATCAAATTATTTTAGACACAATCCAATACCTTTCGATTCAACTTTTAATCAATCAGAATTTTCTTTTTTGTGGGGAAGTCCGGACATTATTAATTTATTTGCAACAAATATTCCTCATTCATTTTCTGAATTTTATTCTCCAGAATTGGAAGATTTTGCAAGTGAAGAGGCTTCTAAACTTGATGAATGGGTATTTGATAAAGTTGAGGTTATTTTTTCGGATATTTTTTTAGTTTCAAATATTTTTGACTTGTTTAGAGTTAATCTAGTAGTCCCGATATTTAAGCACTAATTGTGATATTTAAATTTTCTCCCTTTAAAGTACGAGCGTGACAACTATACATCAACTATTATTCGAAAGGGATGTGTCTCTTAATTGGTGAAGGCACCAACTATCCCCATTATCCCACAGATTCAACTCTTCGATTTTTTAAATATATTTAATTTATTTCTGAGTTTTCAAACTTATTATTTTCAAAAAATTTTTAAGGAATTTTTCAATCGTGCAAAACAAGGGAATACCAAAATTACAAAACTACTTTCAATTAAACGTTCAATTTATTTTCTTCATTTGCTTGGATTGGATACAAATGGGCATGGGTACAAACCTAACTCCAAAAAATATTTAGAAAATATAAAAATTGTTGACAAAGGAATAGAAAGAATTGTTAATTTATTTGAAAATTATTTTAATGATAAAAGGTTTTTTATTTAAATAATTTTAATTTATTTTTTAGAACAGTTTATTTATTTACTTCGGATCATGGAATGACTGATTGGGGTTCTCATGGTATCAAACTTTTTATTTTTTAATTTTAGGGATCGTTTGTTTTTAATTGTCTTTAAAACATTAATTAACGTTTTCCAAATTTTTTTATAAAATTTTTTTTTAATTTTACATCAGAATTAAAGAATCAGGGACTATTAATTAGAGACAGGACTGGGAAGGTCATAGACAAACCATTAAGAGGGGGCACACGGACATATCGGGATATTTCAATGTAAGAACAGTTACCCTACTGATTTCAGTACTTACGGTCACTGGGCCTTGGAAAGTATATTGTCCCATCGAAGAATAGTTTTTACGTTTTAAAAAAATGCAGACACGCAAGAAATTATTTTTCTCACACCAATCCCGATATGTCCGTCCTTATGTCCGAACACCGAAAAGGGTGCTATGCGAAATTTCGATCTCGATAACCGAGCTTTTTTTTCGAGATCTCGTTTGGATCCGGTTTCTAGTCTGATTTTTTAAATTTATCAATCCTTTATCTTTTCTATAATACCGATATTTGCTTTTTATTATTTTAATTTTAAAATTTAATTAAAAGGTGATGGCACTCCAGACGAAGTCCAAACTCCATTCGTTGCTTGGGGATCAGGAATAGCTCCAACAAAAACAAAAATTAATTTAACTCAAGTAGATATTGCCCCCCTTCAATCAGCACTTTTAGGCATTGGAATACCTTCAAATTCTTTTGGAATTGTGCCAATTAATTTGTTGGGGCATTTGTCTGATAAATATATTTTTCAAAGTGTTTATGAAAATTTTAAACAGGTTTTTTTGGAAAAAATTTTTTGAAAAAATTTATTTTTTAGATGTCAGAACAATTTTTAATTAGAAGAGCAGAGAGGAGAGCACATTCTTTCCGTTTTTTATTTTGTGAATATTCAGAATTGAGTTATGAAGGTTTGGTAAAAATTGAAAATGAAATTATTCGGTTGGCACAATTAAAGAGATATGAAGCTGCTTGGAAGGTCTGTATATTTTATTCATATATATATATAAAAGTATTGGTAAAATCGCTACAAAAATTTAGAACTCTTTACAGAGTTGAGATAATGGGCTGAAAGTTTTACATGTCCGGGGTCAAATCTTATTGGGCATTTGGGAAAAATAAGGACGGAAAATTTTAGGAACCCCTTGGTACCTAAATAATAGAGGTACCGGGGATATCTCGGGACTGGGTACAGATACGCGTGTCGGACTAACGGGAGGGCACTTAAGCATCAATAGACAATGTCGATTGCAAAAAACCCGAAGTCGAAATTCAAATTTCAAGGGTACTTATGCGTGAGCAAAGAATCAGACATTTCCGGTGAATTGTCGGGTGTGTCGGTATTTAAAATTCGAGTTTTTCGAAAATAACTCGAAAACGGATAAAGATACCGAAAAACTTCTGCTGGTAGGATTTTAAGTTGGGATATGTAGATATAGGTAGGAAAAATTTCAAAGTCGAAATTCGAACTTGGGGGTACTTATAGGGGGGCAAAAATTTTTGTAAGAAAATTGTCTTACCGATAATTGTCGGATTTCTCTAAATTGAGGAAAGCCAGGGGGCAAATCTCATAGGTGAGAGAGAAATTTTGATGGGCAGTTGAAATTTCGGCTTGAAAAAGTGGGATTTCGAAACTTAAGCAAGTTTCGAGTTGAGGGAGGGATGAAGTAGGGGAAGTTGAGGGGGAATTCGAAATTAGGGATCCGGGATTTCGGGATTTTTAGGGATTTTCGAATATGGTCGAATGAGTAGTCATTCGAAAGCGGATAATGAGGGGAGTTGAATGGGATATATGGTAAAGCCGAAAGTCGAAGTTCAGAGTTCGAACTTCGAAATCCGGGTTTTTCGGGATTTGTGGATATGGGTGAGTGGGTATTCGTTCGAGAACGGATAATGAGGGGAGTCTAAAGGGATAAGGGATAAGTATGAAAGTCGAAGTTCGGAGTTCGAACTTCGAAATCCGGGTTTTTCGGGGCTGGGGGATATGGGTGAGTGAGTAGTCATTCAAGAGCTGGGACTGAGGGGAGTCTAATGGGATAAAGGATTAAGCCTAAAGTCGAAGTTCGGAGTTCGAACTTCGAAATCCGGTATGTTCGGGGTTGGGATATATGGGTGTGTGGGTATTTGTTCAAGAGGGGATAATCAGGGGAGTCTAATGGGATAAAGGATAATGTCGAACGTCGAAGTTCGGAGTTCGAACTTCGAAATCCGGTATTTTCGGGATTGGGAAGTATGGGTAAAAGGGTAGTCATTCAAGAGGGGATGTTCAGGGGAGTTTAATGGGATAAAGGATAATGTCGAAAGTCGAAGTTCGGAGTTCGAACTTCGAAATCCGGTATTTTAGGGAGTTGCGGATATAGGCAAGTGGGTAGTCATTCAAGAGCTGGGACTGAGGGGAGTCTAATGGGATAAGGGATTAAGCCTAAAGTCGAAGTTCGGAGTTCGAACTTCGAAATCCGGTATTTTCGGGATTGGGAAGTGGGGTCGAATGAGTACTCATTCAAGAGGGGATAATGAGGGGAGCTTAGTGGGATAAAGGTTCAAGCCGAAAGTCGAAGTTCGGAGTTCGAACTTCGAAATCAGGGATTTTCGGGATTGTGAAGTACGGTCGAATGAGTAATCATTCAAGAGCAAATAATGAGGGGAGCTTAGTGGGATATAGGATAATGTCGAAAGTCGAAGTTCGGAGTTCGAACTTCGAAATCCGGGATTTTCGGGGTTTGGGGATATTCGCAAGTAGGTAGTCATTCAAGAGGGGATTATCAGGGGAGTCTAATGGGATAAAAGATAAAGTCTAAATTCGAAGTTTCGCGTTCGAACTTCGAAATCCGGGATTTACGAGGTTGGGGGATATGGGTGAGTGGGTAGTTATTCAAGAGCTGGGACTGAGGGGAGTCTAATGGGATAAGGGATTAAGCCTAAAGTCGAAGTTCGGAGTTCGAACTTCGAAATCCGGTATTTTCGGGATTGGGAAGCATGGTCGAATGAGTACTCATTCAAGAGGGGATAATGAGGGGAGCTTAGTGGGATAAAGGTTCAAGCCGAAAGTCGAAGTTCGGAGTTCGAACTTCGAAATCAGGGATTTTCGGGATTGTGAAGTACGGTCGAATGAGTAATCATTCAAGAGCAAATAATGAGGGGAGCTTAGTGGCTCCGAAAAACCCATCTAAAAGGAATGGCGAGGGCCGAAGGCCCGAGCTGACACCCAACTAAAAGGAATGGCGAGGGCCGAAGGCCCGAGCTGACACCCATCTAAAAGGAAGGGCGAGGGCCGAAGGCCGGAAATGACTCTAATTGAAAAATGAGTCCAATCGAGGGGAAGACGAGGGCCGAAGGCCCGAAGTGATTCTAAGTGTAAGGATGAGTCCAATCGAGGGAAAATAAGGGGCAGACGAGGGCCGAAGGCCCGAAGTGACTCTAAGTGGAAGGATGAGTCCAATCGAGGCAAAATGAGGGGAAGACGAGGGCCGAAGCCCCGAAGTGACTCTAAGTGGAAGGATGAGTCCAATCGAAGGGAAGACGAGGGCCGAAGGCCCGAAGTGGCTCTAATTGAAAGGATGAGTCCAATCGAAGGGAAGACGAGGGCCTTAGGCCCGAAGTGGCTCTAATTGAAAGGATGAGTCCAATCATCCTTCTAATTGAAAGGATGAGTCCAATCATCCTTCTAATTGAAGGGATGAGTCCAATCATCCTTTTACTTGACAGGATGAGTCCAATCATCCTTCTAATTGAAAGGATGAGTTCAATCGAGGGGAAGACGAGGGCCGAAGGCCCGAAGTGACTCTAAGATGAAGGATGAGTCCAATCGAGGGGAAGACGAGGGCCGAAGGCCCGAAGTGACTCTAATTGAAAGGATGGTTCCAATCGAGGGGAAGACGAGGGCCGAAGGCCCGAAGTGACTCTAATTGAAAGGATGAGTCCAATCGAAGGGAAGACGAGGGCCGAAGGCCCGAAGTGGCTCTAATAGGAAGAATGAGTCCAATCGAAGGGAAGACGAGGGCCGAAGGCCCGAAGTGACTCTAATTGAAAGGATGAGTCCAATCGAAGGGAAGACGAGGGCCGAAGGCCCGAAGTGGCTCTAATTGAAAGGATGAGTCCAATCGAAGGGAAGACGAGGGCCTTAGGCCCGAAGTGGCTCTAATTGAAAGGATGAGTCCTAATTGAAAGGATGAGCTAATCTTTTGTTCCAGGTATAAAAAATCGCTAGCGGCGCGCGAAGCGCGCCCCCAAAGCCGTTAGGCTTTCCAAGGGGCAGAAGTTTCGTAATTTAAAGAACCCCCCGATGTATTTTACCGCCACAGTATCCTGATATATACCCCAGTGGCCAAACCCATCGCTAGTTAATAATATAAAATATCAAGGCAACTCAGTTTTTAAAAACTCATAACTGCCGGCCGAAGGCCGGCACGGATTTGGGAGTTGTGGAAGGGTCCTACAACATTTTAAGGCGCATTTAGGAAAAATATAGCCGCGGCGCCACGACTTTGTCTTTGCGCCGAAAAGACCCCCTAAAGTTTCTAACTTTTGAACCGTAAGTCGGAGCGGAAAACTTCTGCTTGGAGGCACGCGTCCCACTATTAGGGGAATTCAACAAAAAAAAAATTTTCGAAATCGGATGAACACCCGTTGACTTATGCTAAATTTCGCAGGATTTCGACCCCTGCCCCATATATTCGCCGAACCTTAACTCATTTTTGGTAAGAGTTAGGGAGAAACGGTTGGGAGACCTAAGATAGGTCTACAGAAGACGCATCCAACAACATTTGTTTTGTGGGGGTCACTTGAGTCTGGGGGTGGGATACTTGAGTCTGAGGGGGAAAAACGTTTATAGTGAAAAATCTTTGCTGGGGAATGATTCTGGAAGTTGTGTAGTGTTGTAGGCAAGAGTATTAGGCACATTTATGTTAAGGGTTACTTGAGTCTGGGATGAAGTTTTGGGGGTGTTATGGTCCAAAGAGTCCGGGTCAAAAAGTCGACTTTTTGCAACGTGAATTAAAACTCGATTTCGATAGCCTAAGTTAAAGAGCGTCCCCTGGCGGTCAGAAAAAGGTATAATATGTTGGGGGTCCACTTGAGTCTGGGAAAGTTATAGCCAATGTGGCCAAATGTCGGAAAACTTTATGAGACTCTAACGTCCCGGGGAATTTTTTTTAAATTTTTTCGAGGCCGGATTCGTACTCGGCGGGTGTCAGAACACCATATAGGTCGAAT